TGAAATTGGTTTCAAAATGTCTGATTTGAATAGTTTTAGAAGGACTCTTTTGGGAAGCACTGATCTAGTCCATTGTTATACAGCTCTATACATCAAGTTTTGTGGTTATTGATTGACTAAGGCTATAAAAATTGGGAGAAATAATTTAAATTCATGCGATGTATATTCAGCTTTGTAAGGAATGGAGTGATTCATTATGAAAATATGAACAACATGAACCATCTTAAGGGCTTGGTAAAACAAATATTAGTTTAGTCTACAACTTCAACTCTTTGTTTAGCTGGGAGAAATGAAAAACATGTCATGACTCGTTAATAATGTATATTTGGTATCCAAGCCACTCATCGATCGATTGGCGATGTATTAAAATTTAGACTAATTAAATCACATAGAACATAATATTATTGTTTTTATATAGAAGTAGGAAGATTACAATAAAACACTAAGATAAATGGATAAACAACTTCTGCATTTATTACATACTACGTTTCGGAACACATACAGGACGGTAACGTTAGTATGTAATAAATGCAGAAGTATATCTTAGTGTTTTTTATATAACATGTATACATATATAGGCTTAATATCTTTTGGTTTACAGAGATAAATTCAACTAGTTGCATCACTTTTAAGAATTTATATCAGACAACAGTTATATCTTACAATTCAACAAATTACTGCAGCACTTTATAACATCGTAAATACCAGAGCGTTAAATTAGTCTACCTATATAGATTTAATATCTGCTGGTTGACAGAGCTAAATTCGAGTATTTCCATAACTTTTAAGGATTCATATCTGACACGCAGTTCTCTTACAACTCAACAAATTACCACAGCACTGAAAATTGTTACATAAAATCTTTCAGGTATTACCAATAACGTCATGATATTGACAATAAATGCATGCAAGAATGTTAATATAGCCATTGAAGTGAAGACCAATACTCTTTTGCAGAATTGTAAAAAAACTGGACGTAGGAGTGTAAATCTAAAAAAAGATACGAAGCTATATAAACGAGAATAAGGCGATTACCTTTCTTAATCCAAACAGCTTTAAACGCATTCATTTCATATTTTTTAAAATTCTCATTCATGTATTTTATTGTACTCTAAGATTCAATTCTTATCACAACAGAGCCCCGTAAATATATGTCATATGTCACCTTCGCAGAGTGATTTCAAATTACGTTAATATTTCACCCTTTACGAGTCCCATCCTTCAGATAGGTGTGAATTTATTTTTCCTTTATAAAATTGTTTGAACAGGCGTATAGTGATTTCAAATTTTGTAATAATATTTCATCCTTGACATAGAAACGCTTTTCTTTGTAATAAAAAACTTATTAGGTGATTTTTCAAAATTATTTATGTTTACCTCAATTGAACAAGGCTTGCTTTGGGATATACAATCTTTCCCATTGTCATTTAACTAGAAACCCACACTGTCCTATTCTAAGTACGGTTTACAATTTCCACTGTCAAAACGAGAGTGACGCCGTCACGACGACCTTTGTTTTTAAGGATTGCATACAGCCTACAATTTACATACACCTAAAAAAGAAATTTTTGATACAAGAAAAATTTTCTTAATTTGCGATTAGTGACATTTAGTTTTAGTGGAATTGCAGGACACCTGATGGAATGGTGTGAATTGATTCTATCAGTGTCCTCGATACACATAAATATCTAGAAAATCTCTTTACAAAGCCTTTAATAACGACTGTAAATTGGTACATAACGCAACTTTAATGGCTTGATATTAGTGGACTTGGTTGGTTCTTCCAAAGATATCCAATATATTTTTTATTTTTGAATCTCCGGAAGGATATAATCTGTTTAAATGGTACTTTGCAGAGTAATGATTATGTGTCAATTTTTGCTGTGTGTAAAATATTTATGATAATATTTTTATGGATCTATATTACTTTTTAACGGTAAATTCGTTTCATCTGTATTAGTCAATAAACACCACGCAGCAAGCTTTATCGTCCCCCTCAACTGTTGAGGATTTAGAAGCCTGAAGGTTAATCGACTTGTATAATAAATCAAATATGTCAGCGCATTATATTCTAGAAATATTACTTTGATTTTTTAGTGTTGTCCTACTTTTCTACATATTACATGCAGTATGAGAAGAGGGATATGTCGCCAGCGGCATAAGTCTACTAATTTTCCATTTCAAACTGTCGAGATATCTTTTGTGCCTCGGTTTATTGTCCCATTCGAACGGCTAGACGCTTTCGCAGACTAGAAAGTTGTTGGTAGTCATGGTAGTTGGTCGTAGGATTTGGATCAATTGGATGGTTTGGTAGTTACGAATAATTGTATAACCACCCTGAATGGCTTCTTTTCACAAATGATGGATTAATGTAAGGATCTATCAAAATCAAACTAACATCATCGCATGGTGATGAAGGATCAATCGATGTTGTCACTGCTGTCTTTGGGCAGCATGTCTCCACCCAATACTGCTTTTACATTTGCAAAAACACTGGTTTGGATTCTCTGCTGTCGTGGGACAATATGCAGTTTATCCAAAACGTTTGCATAATTGGATTTTAGATAGTAACAATATTATTTATTTAGCAATATTAGAAATGTGAATATTTGATTTGCTTTATTGAACGTAGTTTTACGTTTAAACTCAAAGGTGTGTCTCATAACGGCTGGCGTACATTTCAAAATTGATTATCTCAATTTTTGAAGTCATTTATATTTGAACAGTGACATTTAAATCAATAGACAAAATTTAGTATTGTTTTATTTATTATTGATGTATTTATGATAGATCGATCTAATGCGCCGACGTAATGTGCTGAAAATTCTTACAATTTCGTCAGTAAAGTATACAGTGTTTATGTCATGTAAAAATGGATTGTTAGAACTAGTTCATCAAATCCACAAAACATAGAAAATATTATGAACTCACAAAGATTCAAATTACAAAAAATCATAATTATTTCAAACATGGTATTAAAATGCTGCTTAACAATACACAGTCAAGAATAATGTGTCAAAATCAATACTTCGCTCTCTCTCTATCCTTTTGTTCCATAAAATACCCTTAATGTGATTTTCTTCACATCTGTTCCGAGACGGGGCCACTCAAATGATGATTCACTAGCCCTTAAACATGCATTGTCTTCATGTGTCCTTTCTCTTTCTGTGAAAAATCGTGCTGGAATCGATCAATATGATGACATCAACACGTTGTTTGTCATCCTCCAAAAGTCTATCTGCATTTTCTTTCTTTAAAACAATGAGTTTTAAGACAAGAAGTTTTTTTTCTTCCTGACGAACGGACATTATAAAATGCATTAGACCAATTCATAATTGTTTTAAAAAAATACGTGTGCCTTATTCAACCATGCCAAAGTCATTTTTAGTCAAAAAATCAAAATATGGAACAGATGAAAATAAAAATGGAAAAAGTTTCAGGAATAATTTGGAAGACAATAGGAGTGATATCAGTATTCAGGCAGCATATCCAGTAAATGTCGATTCGGAGGCAATATTTATACAGCTGAACAATGGTGAGTATTGCGTCAAATATCACTTATTTACACAGCATTTAACATCATTTATAATTTCTGCTGATCGATTTTGCAATATTTTTTCTATAACTGCATGCTTAAGTCTATTTTACTTTTTACTAGCGACCGTTAAATCAATAATTGTTTATTGTTCGTTTTTTTATTGTAATTAACTTGAGCTCATCGCATGCTGACGACGCGTGTTTAGGAAACAAAATCCTCGTCAGGACATCTTGGTGTATAAATTGCCTTTAAGGTTAATTATCAAAATAAGCTCTCTGAACATGAGGCTATTTGTCAAAAACAATAATAAAACATACAAATTGTATTGTTGAAAAGGTTAATAGCCGTAAATAGAAATGAATTAATTATATTCAACAATTGCTATTTCAATTTAAAGATTTATTTTGTTTATTGTTCGTTTTTATTGTAATTAACTAGAGCTCGTCGCATGTTGACGATGCGTGTTTAGGAAACAACATCCTATGTGTATAAATTGCCTTTAAGGTTTATGGTCAACATATGCTCTCTCTGAACATGAGATTATTCATCAAAAACATACAAATAGGTATTGTTGAAAAGATTAATAGCCGTAAATAGAAATGAATTACTAATATTTAACAATTGATATTTCAAGGGCAAATATTATTAGGCCCTACTTGGTTGATAAGTTATTTTGCTTTCTTATAACCTATATTCTCCCTGGGCTTACACCTTTATATGTTAAATAAGTTTAGTTTGATTGATCATGAATGGTTATCAAGTTTATTATCACATATTGATATTGTTATAATAATCCACCTCCAATAGTAAAAATTGGTGCATAGTCATTTACTGTCTGCACATAAAATTTTTAACTGATAAGAGCTCAAATTTCGCTTTACCGTATCACTTAAAAAAAACGTTTGTATTATACTACTTACGTCATGATAGCTTCATGTGAAATTGTTTATAGATACCTTAATTGTAACCAATCGTCACTTCCGCTGCTATTTTTTTTTAAAATGCATTATTGACTACGCATTTTCTTTCTGAAACATGATACGGATAACTGAAATTAGGCTCTATCAGTAAAGTAACTATCTGCGAAAGTCAGTGCATTTTTTGTTGTAAATGCACAACTATGCTGACGACTTATAAATTTAATGGGTTCTAATAATTGTCGGAAACGCCACAGTTATCTAGACAATTCTATAAACAGAAGGTTCCTAAAAACAATACTTATTCACCTTTTTCAGGGTATATGCAAAGTGTCCCAGCTGCCTTCGAGCATTCACAAAAAGAAGACTTGATTGGTGAAGGTGAATCCATGACCAGTCCAGAGAGCAGTAAAACGGCAGAATACTCCTGTTACCCAAGTCCTGTCCTGCTGGAGTCTAACTCCCAGTACCAACCAAATCACTACGGTGGATTTATTGTAGTTGATGGCCGTACAAAGCATAGGCAAAATGGTTCCCCACGGCAAAGGTTTCGGTGTGATGAATGTGGCAAAGATTATGCTACCTCTTCCAATTTATCACGCCATAAACAGACTCATAGAAGTCTCGATAGCCAACTTGCCAAGAAATGTCCACACTGTGAAAAGGTTTACGTCAGCATGCCAGCATTGTCCATGCATATCCTTACTCACAGTCAGCGTCATATTTGCAATATTTGTGGCAAGACGTTTTCACGACCATGGCTGCTACGTGGACACATCCGGTCACATAGCGGTCAAAAACCCTTTGGCTGTTCTCATTGTGGCAAAGCCTTTGCCGATCGTTCAAATCTGCGTGCTCACATGAATACTCATTCAGCCTTCAAACAATTTCAGTGCCAATATTGCAAAAAGACATTCGCTTTGAAGTCTTATCTAAACAAGCATCACGAATCCATGTGCCTTAAATAGTGCTTTCTCTCTAGTGCCTAATGCTATCTATGTCATGCTTTAGTCCTTTATTTCAATTTGCATAGAGATAACCCTCCCTTCCCCGAAATCAAAGGGATTGTAAAGAAGTTTTCTAAACTTTGTATGTATGACACCATTCCGATTTCCAGCAACGTTTGTCGCAATTACATCATATACCGTTTCTACAGTTCTCACCTCAGTAACAGCAATACGCCAACATGGCCCCAATACACATAAAAAAGAAGTAGAAAACCTCTTTACAACCTCTTTAAGGAGTATAGCTTTGCTTTTTAGAATTACGTGTATTTTTTTTTAAACTGAATCTCCTGGATAGGGTTCCTTATACCAAAGTTACCCAATTTGATAGTTGGGTTGTTATAAAACTAAATCCACAATCCATTTCCTCTGACCGAACGGAAGTATAAAATGCTTCGGAAATGGTTAATGCTTTTATTATTTATTTTGTGCAGTCTTATATTTGATATACGTATCATCCCTACATAGCAAAAGGCCGAAATCCTTAAAACATTATATATTAGTTTAAACATTTAACAAATAGTGATATACTAAATTACCATCTTGAGTGCCATTGATCTGAAATCTACTTCCTTGATTTTTTTCTTTATTAAACCTTGAACGCAAGATTCATAATAGTTATTTTCCTACGAAGACTGTAAGTTCTATTATAGTTTTTCACTCAAAGGGAATCCTATCTCATTTATATTTAATAATACCTGTATTAGCAAAGTATTCCTTGTATAGTAAGAACAGCTCATCCCTTCCATGTCTTCCCATGCAAATTTGCCAAAGAAAACCAGTATTAGCAAAGTATTACTTGTATAGTAAGAACAGCTCATCCCTTCCATGTCTTCCCATGCAAATTTGCCAAAGAAAACCAGTATTAGCAAAGTATTACTTGTATAGTAAGAACAACTCATCCCTTCCATATCTTCCCATGCCGATTTGCCAAAGAAAAATTATTTATTTCGATAGGATATATTATGCTAAATTATGAATATTTATTTGAAATAGTCCCAAATAGTCTATATTGTGTTATATATATATTGAAATTTTTATCGCAAAAACAGTCTTCCATTACATAGTTTATATATGTAGGCTTTTTTTTTTTAAATTTATATTTTACTTATAATAAGATTAAAACTCTTATAATTACTTTTTAGTCTTTTTGTATAAGCTCCCATACCATTATGTGGACGTGTCGGTGCCTATACCCGTACATCAACTCGTGTGGCCTTATCACACCTTGAAGAATTAGCCAGCGTAAGGAATTATATAAAAAATTTCCTTAAAACGCTGGTATTCGCTGAACAATTGACGTGTTTAGCTGGTTTACCTCGAAGTACAGTGAGCTCGTCAAAATCTTCGACGTATACCTACATATAACTTTTACGTCTCACATACGTGGAACGTGGGTTGCATTGAACCTATGCTAAATTTATCTGAAAATGAAGCTATCGATTGTCATAATAACAAGTAAAAAGGTATATGATACCAATGCTGAATCTAAGTAATCGTTGCAAATTTCGAATTTTAAACATTGTAAACCCGGTTCTAGACCTCGTAGATTAAATGTTGTGCATCCTTTACTGTTGAACCAATTCACTTACAACTTGGCATACAGTCCACAAGAGAAGAACATTTGTAATTTAAAAAGTTTGAGACAATTTGGGTCATTTAATAAATTTTGAGTGTTTGAATATCGCACTCTAACTTTTACAACCAATTTTCACGAGTTCCTTCTATGTCAACACGACCGTATACTGAAGTGAACATATATGAATGTGACCCTGTATCTCGCCATTGCCATACACTGCAATCGTATACGAAGTTATGACCTAAGATTATTGAGTTTGGGATAGATACTTCAACCTATCAAATGTCGAAGGGTTATCATTCAGAAACCCTTAATACATATTATTATCAACAGGATTTTGAGTATTTGAGACGTCGTTTGTTTTCTCACCAAGGATCCCCGGGTTCAATCCCGGCATATGTTGAGGTAGTACCTTCGTGTTACCATGCTTTCCTCCATGTCAGTCATGAAGGATATTCAGTCAAATGAACAGCTATGGGCCAAACATTATGCAATTCAAAAAGGGAAATAAATAAGCCTTGGGCTAAACGTTAGACAGGACGAGATCACTTTTGTGTATTAGATCCAATTCTGACCCATTTAGAATTATTTTTAGTTTATTTTTAGAAATGAAAAAATTGAAAAAATCGCGGGTAGTCATTCAGATCGTAAGGGGAAAATTTCAGCTGAGTTATTCAGTAATAGTGTTCACAGTTCACCGTCGAAATTTGATCCTTCAAATCCATCTGTGTCAAGAATTATCCATCCCTTTAACCAAGGTGATACGCCCTTGGTCATTAAAGATCACTTATCTCGCATTGAACAATGCAGGGAACGTTGACATTAGTAAAAAAAAAACTGAGCAGAAATTGAGGACGGGAAACTCATTTCACGTGAAAAGATAACATATCTTATCTACATTCACATTACAAGATGATGTACGCGAATTTTTCCTTTCAATAATATATTTTTTCTTTTTTTTTACAGTTTTTTCCCAAATTCTCAAAGCTTCGATAAATGGATAGTGGTAACATCATTGTCTTCGCCAACTTCTGATATTTATTATTTAGCTAATATAACTGGCTGGAAACTGCTTGTGTTGGGTGAAGAAAAGACATCAAACTGGAGGTTAGTTGTTAAATTATCCAATACTTGAAAAACAAAGAACAACAGAACCCTCAAACTTTATTAAATTCTACAAAGCTCTAGACGTTTGTCTTTCAACAACCATCGCATTGCAGAAGTCATGCCCCTTTTCATGCATGCTCAAAATGGCCTACGCGGCTTTGAAGGCACACTTGAAGCGAAAACATTCCTTTTGAAATTGCATTGTTTTTCAGTGTGATAGCTGCTTTCTGATCCCCAAGCTTTTTCTAATGACGTATTGTAGCTGAAACATTGGGTGGTCATAAAGATCGGTAATATATTTTTGGACATGTCCATGCAAGCAGCTGTTTCGTGTAATAATATTACATGTAGGCCTATATTTTTCCCAATCAGATGTTTACTTTTATCAATTTGCACACCTTTTAATATTTTTCAGCAATGTGAACTGTCACTTTTTAAGTTATAACGACCGAGAAAATGAATTATTTACAATTAAAACGTTATTACCAAAGGGAAGTTACTCCCGGAAGACTCTTGGATATCTCTATGCTATTGTAAATGGTGCTCAGGTAATATACGCAACAGACGACAATTACCGACCAACAGATAATCTTACAAATTTTAATTTGGAAACTATGGAATTCGGTATGCGTTATAGTGGTCAAAACCTGTTTAATGCCTATTCACATTTTGGCCAGTCATCAATATGGCCGAAAGGATTCCCATTGGAGAAAATCTCTGACCAAAAATCACTGAATTATCATGTTGGAAAATTTACCACACCCTCTATTCAACAGAGTTTAGTGAACGGTGATCCTGACGTGGATTCTATTTTTAGATTAACAAGGAAAATGAAATCCGAACACATGAACGTGTTATTTGATAGTGTAGCCCCTCCTGTGATCGTTCCTAGTGGAGTTCTGTCCCCTTTTAGTTCACAAAATACATTATTTTTATATGATGCATTCTGGGCTTTGGTGTTACCGATTTCAACGTCATTTAAAGGCAGTGATATCTGGAAAAACTATTGGGCACAACGTTTACTGTGGGAAATAGGTGGTAATGTCGGATTTTACCCTCCAAACGGAATCCGCAAGAGAAATACGGAATCTCACATAGAAGACGCCAAGTATGAATCGGCATTTTACTCTCGGACATCAAAATTAATCGAATTTTTACAGAATTGGCGATGTAATGTTGAGTTAAAATTTTTCAAGTGCGTAGTAAAACTTTCTGAACAAATGTATTTAAATAAATTTTGGACAAAGCAAGATGTTCATGTCGTAAAAGTTTGGCTCAAAGACCTGAACCATTTTGGGTATATTGAACCTTCCAGGGCACCCTATGTGTTTCCAACCACTTCAAACACGACGAGTGAACATTTAATAAGGGTAGTTTATAAACCAACTGAGCAAAAGCAGTCTCAGATGCAAGCTTCTAAAAGTATTCTTCAGTCGAAGTGGGATCAGGTTTTAGGAATTACGTCGTTTTGTAATTTAACAAGGTATCAAATAACCACTAAGAGTTTAGCGTCTAAAACGTATCCTAATATATTGTTGATTATTGTGTTCAATTTTCCAATTTATGACAATATTCCCTATCTACAGTTAATGTACGGTGTAAAATTTTCTCATATTGTCTATTGTGGAAATAGTTTGGAGGCTTATTTAAAATCTTCCAAAAAATTGAGGTTTTCTGTGTCATTTTTGGAGGTAGATGTGCATCGCGGCTATTTTTTTGAGAAGTGTTTATCTGTGGCCATGAAAATGAATCACAAAGTGAAAGGTTATCTCTTGATAGGAGATGATACTCTTTTAAATTCCTGGAACATTCCGAGTCTGCCCTTAGATAAATTGTGGTTCCATCAGCATGAACTTCTCCTCAGAGACAAAAGCAGTGGATGGCATTGGTGGAATAAGGAAATGGGTAACACGGTTTTCAACAAGACTTGGGAATATCTGCTACAGCAGTCACTGACAGATCCATCTAAGGAACAGATAATTAATTCTTATATGACCCGATTGGAAAAAGCAACTGGTTCAAATCTTGGTTTGTATCATGGTGCGTCTGATATTGTGTATATTCCTATTCGTTTTAAAAGTCAAGCGATATATCTGTTTGATGTGTTTTCTAAACATAAAGTGTTCATGGAAATATCGATTCCGAGTGTTGTGTTTGGGTTAGACGACAAGGCTAATATTGTTAATTTAGCCGGACAATACCTCTGGTACGATGGAAAACGCGAACATGTACCGGAATTATTTCGAGCCGATCAAATTTTTCTTCATCCAGTGAAATTAAGTGCAATAACAAGTTCATTGAAAACATTTTTCTGTAATAAATTTTTCCCTATAATATTGGGCGGTGCTGAAATGGCTAACACTACATATGTAAAAGTAAACCCAAAAGTTAAAGCAAACCCAGAAGTAAAAGTAAACCCCAAAAAGAAATCCTGACAGCATGGACATGTTATTTTGAATTCCATCAATTATTTTCCATAAGAAATATTCACTGAGTTATGTTCTGTTGTCTCTACCGATGACATCAGACATCAGAAGAGGCTTAATAATTTAAATGTGTAAGCTTATAGCTTTTATTCGGATCTTTCCATTTACCTTGGTGTCTGAGGGTTTTATTAAGTTGCGACACTGATGTAAAAATCTTGTCAATTTTTCTGGAATTAAGAAAGAATCATAGAAGTCAGGAGAAAAATCAGAATTGGTGAAAATATGATTTATGTGTCACTTAAATGTTTCTGTATTGATGCTGCATTTTGTGTTAAATCCTAAGCACAATGTAGCATGATACGAATGGTTGTTTTGTTGTTATGTTAGAAATTAAAATTTTTTTTAAATAATGCATGTGTTCCTTGAATGAGAAAATCCCCTATGTGCAGTTAAGACTATTTATTAAGCTGTAACGTGCTCCCTGACAAAAGAGGGCGTCGGGGAGACAGGAATCTCACAATCACATTAGTAGCTGCTGCTATTAATCAGCTGCTTTTAATCTTCAACAGCGGCTACTATTCTTCAGGACAAACTCCCATCCGCTATCTATCAGATTGTTTAACCACAACTGCTACTATCTGCAACTGCTGCTAAGCTGTAAGACTGGTCAGCAACTGCAAGTACGGTTTCTTTTCATTAATTTTTTTCCGCTTATGAAGTAAATTTAATTTATTAAAACACAGATACAGCTAGATTTCTCTGTAACCTTTTGATAACTTTTTGCATTCACACATATTGTCTAAAATTACCATGCTTGCATATTTACTGATGGCATCGTACAACCTAGTTACCGTTTAACTGACTTTTTTGACATTATCAACATTGCCATCGACAGAACCCGAAAATTTATCAAGTTTTTATTATTATCGAAATATCTGTAATATCGGTCAAATAAATCCAGAAGTAGAACACGTTAAGTAATGACTGTAAATTTAATTGAAATGTTTCGTGTTTGGTTTATCATAAGATATAATTATCCCGCGGGCTCATATATTTTTCACTCTTTCTAACCTATAATGGACTACCTGTGATAATAAATCTATGATTTTGTTGATAAAGAATTTATCAGGGAAGTCATTTTCAACTTAATACAATACATTTACATTTTTTATTATTTAATGTCATAAATGTTTTAATTATGCCCATACAATCTGTATCGAGGTCTAGTAAATGTTACGTAATAACCATTGTTGCTGACCAATGCCCCAATAAGATTAATTCAATTGAAATATACAAGGCTTAGATTTTAGTTTATCAAATGACAAAATTATGCCGAAGGCAAGTTTTTCTCGACCATCAAATCTTTGACTTAGTAGTAAAAGAATCTTTCAGGGTGTTTTATATTTCTACAACTACAATTGAACTTACAACAATTTCGAAATGCAAAATGCTTGGTATTTGGTTTTTCATATGATACATTTGTGCCATTGGCACATATCATTGAGAATGGCTCCTATTTTGACTCACGTTTATACCTTATTAGATTATAATCCGTGATAGCAAATTTATGATTTCTTGGTTACAGAATCTTTCACGGCGGGTTTTACTTTTAAGACTTTTGTCTTAGTGATTTTTCCACTGGTTAAGCAGCAACACACTTTCTTGACTTTAGACCACAAGAATAAGAGAAATATCTCAAGAAATTCTGCCACTGTGATGAAACTTGCTCCAAGAAACAATCCCATCTGTCCTCCAACTATTCCTGAAAGAAAGAGAACCAATTAAAACACTTGTTGCTTAATCGAAGTTTACCGATTTTTGTAATGGGACTGTAATACAATCAGCTTGAAAATATTAACGGGGTCTGTGTTCTCTTAACATTACATCTCACATCTTTGAGATATGCTTCTGAAACACTTTTGAAACGTTTTTGTTGAATACACAAAAATCCATTGTTTATGGTCGATGTTATGGTCCTTGGTGGCAGTAACCTGTTCAAAGAGCCTGGTTATTCTGATGAGAGAGCGGTTTCAAGATGCTTGGGAATCAAGGAGATCAAAAGATTTCGAACCAGGGTTGTGCTATGGCAATTGCAATGAAAGAGGTTGCTAAGTGATATTCATATAAGTAAACAAATCCAGTAAGATCAATACAGAACATGACGTAAGTAAATAATTACCCATTATGGAAATGTAGGAATAAACAGGCACATGGGAAATCTCCTCCAGCAATAAATCTTCATAAAATATTGTTACATCAAAATATTCAGTTCTTAAATTCAGACAAATACAATTATCGTTGACAAAAAATGTAATAATTCAGGAAGTAATAAAGTACACGTACGTATGTAGATAGACAAATTTCCATCAAATTGTATTGAGTTAGCAAACAAATATGATAAAAGTTAAGTTTTCTGAAGGGCAACGTCACAATTTACAACAAAAGAAGTTTTGTTTATATAACAGAAGTAGCCTACTCCTTTTGATTTCCATCTGTGTAGGGAATTTTAAACTGAACATCTGGTATCAAACAGGGGCTCGATTTATTGTCCTATCCAAAGGACTGAACGCCTTTTCTCGTTTATCCAACATGCATGATAGCCTTGAAAACAAAGAAATGGAAACGCATCATTAAATACATTATATAAAACAAAATTTACCTCCCATCGAATTTGCTGTCTATGATATTTAATTTTTGAAAAATTTCAAGCCCAGGCACAGATGGAAACATACCAAACGATAATTTGGTTTCATATGTGTTGAATTTACAGACTCTGGGACACGTGCAATTGTATTCATATATGTTTCTTGTATACGCCATACCTACAAATAAGAGTCGTAATGTAATCTATTTGTCCAGATGTTGTTTAACTTAATGGAACAGCGATGTTTTCACCCTTGTCCTCGGACCAACAAAAGTATTGAATGGCGCCGCGTAATGCCCTGTCAGCTATCAAAGTATTGAAATTATCAACATACATACCCTATTAAACATGTATGTACAATGTACATCTTATCGAAATGCACTGGCGTAAATATCATAAAACTAAACAAAATTGTAAAATTTGCAGGTCTCTTTGTGAGATGTACATAAAACTTCTATTTAAAATCAGTAAACCAAATTTTCTGATTATACCAACATAACTTTGCAACGTGTTCATGTACCGATCGAATTCTATTCTTTTACTGATTTTGACTTACGTAAAGCTGGTTGATAACAGTCTAGCCATTGTCCAACTGTACACATTGGATAGGTGGAATACTCTGAAATTGAAAGAAGTGACATCGAGTTTAGTCCATCTGCTTCAGATTGATCCCCTGGGCAACGTCGTGTAGTATGCTCCAAGAAACTGTTAAGCTACCTTTTTCGTTGAAGGTTCTTACAAGATAGGTTATGGTCGACGGAAAACTAACAACTTACTGTGATCAACGGAATTCCGACAAAATCCATATTTATCTAGAGGGTAGAATATTTGCCTTCATTTGTTAGCAACACTCAATTGTCTACCGATAGTAAGGTGGACCTGAACCCAATTGAAGGAAAAACTGAGCTTTAAAGGATAACAACTTACCCAAATCCGCCACGGATCTACAGTTACAATCTTTCATGACAGAATTTACTACGCATTGTCTAATACAGGCTTCTCTATCATATGCTATTGATGTGGATTTGGAATTTCTGCCAGACAGTTCGGAATTCATTACACAAAATTCGTCACCATAGGCTCTGAAGGGTTCGGGGAGAAACGTATACTGAAAGTGATAAATCGCATGTTCTTATTCACACTTCATGAAAATTATTATTGTGGAAAAGAATCAGCATTCATTGACCATGGTTGGAGCATCCTTGTATAATTTTTAAAATTTACATTGAAAACGTCAAGGGTACTCACAGATCTCTTTTTAACAGCTATTAAAGATGCTATGCCAGGAGATAAAAATATACCAGAATCTGATATCCGCGAATCTTCATGTTGATCATGCAGCTTCAACTGTTAAAATTATTGTAAATTAATGAGTGACAACATTTTCACCAGAATAACGACAATTGACACAAGATATGAGTGAAACAAAGCCTTCCTACATGTATTAACAAGGTTTTTTTGTTCAAAAATAAATTTCCACCTAGAATAACATCGGAATCTCTATTTAATTGTACCTTCAGAATTTTCACAGTTGAACCCAGTTGGCATGGACAAAGTTTCTTGTCGTCCAGATTGAACAGTAAACCGTGACTCCGTGTGATGAAATGGCTGATTTCACAGATTGACTGTAACATATTATATAATTGAAGAAATTCATTAGATTGTAATGACCAGACAAGCAAATTCTCAATGTTTTAATCCCTACCTTTAATCCTGCCATGTACCTTTTACCAACAATGTAACTATCTTGGTCAATTTTAGCGATGAAGTTAAGTGCTCCATGAGAACCAGCAGAGTCAGCATAATAATCAAACGAGTCGTTCCGATTGAGGACGAAACATTTACCCAAATCGGTGAAGACTGGAATCCACATTTCACTACAAGACACATTTTGTCCTTTCCACATGCACACCTTAAAAATATCCTTCACTGTAACATTTGATATGTTATGTGCCTCGTCTAACGGAGTATTCTCCACTTGAATAAAACCACTGCTGGATTTATTTAGTTCAAGATGCGCTCCAAATGAACTGCGGCTTAGAAATACATTAAGAGCCGCTTTGGGTTTAGGAAATCGATCCACTCTAAGATATGTCAAGTCACATATTGTTACCATTGGAAATTTTAATTTTGGTTTTGGTCCAATTTTCACGACTGTATTGAACGGGTATGTATGATAGTCTACGAGCATAATATGAAGAGTGACAAATAGGCCAGTTCCCATTCCAAGCACACAACAAAGCCATATAAACCTACAAGAAAATTAAACCGATTGCTTTTTAAATTTGAAATTTAATAAGGCTACCACCACAGTCAAATAATTCAATACCAACCCTTTTAGTAGTTGGTGTTTAGTTATAAGGGGGCATTTAACTGAGAGGTTATTGATTGGTGATATCTCCTGTTGTCTTTTGATGAACTGATTCTAACTAGGTCAAAATACATCCAAAATGGAAATTTGGTTTGAAGCATTCTCAAATTTGTCCACGATGTTCTGCTATTTATAATTGTAGGTGTATACAGATAGAGCTTCACTACATAGAATACAGTGGTTAAGGTGTGGCGCAGATGCTCGCAAGGCAAGTTGACTTTATTACACCCCATGGCACATTTGGCCGAGCAAAGAAAATGTGTTGATCAAGGTTTGCAGAACTCAACCAAACAAAAAAAACTTGTCAAACAGTGTTGAATATTTAAATAGTATTTTTATTTATTTTGTCGTACTAGTAAAAGAAGAGAGTTTATTTTTGTTTCTTTTTTTAATTTAGACAGGGTAAGTCGTATTTTAATTTTCCTACCCGTAATAGCACTGCCACAAAAGGAGGGATCTGAGGTCCCACCTATTAAACAGATGAGGAACAGAAAAAGCGGGGCGCCGACAGATGAAGAAAGACAGATGATGAAGAACAGATGAAGAGAAGCAGATAAAGACGTTGCAGCAATCCCTCCTCCCATTTGTGTTAAGTTGCCTTTGAATTATTTAGAAATATTACAACAAAATTACATAAAAAGCAATAATGATGTTCAGCTCGAAAATCTAAAAGAAATCAAAATATTTTTTATTTGTAATGTTGTTCAGTATTAAACAAAAAAGTTCAAAAGAAGTTTACGACAGAAGGTTCAATATTTTATACTGGTTATTGTTACTGTACTGCCGAATAGTTTTTATTTAAAATCAAAGCTGCCAGTGAGAAACGGGAACCAGAACTTACCTCATGTAGTTACTCCTATTTTGGGATAGAACATTCCTACAGCCATGGGCGGTTGTCTCGTACATAAGTTCCTTACATATTTTAACGTCGTCTCCGTGTTTATCCTTCGAAGGGTCCATTTTAGCTGTAGATAGTTTCAAAAAGGATGCATCCTTGCAATGGTAAAAATTATCCGTGAAACGATTCCGATGAAAAATTTATAACATTGACAAACATTAACGGAAAGTAAAAAAATATCGATTTTGGTTGAATCCAACAGGAATAATGTGTTGTGATCGGGAAGGTTGAACCCATTAATTATTTATTTACAATCACTTAGGAAAATCATTTAATTATTAATACAATATTTTTTCGAACGAATTGAATCTTTATCAAAACAATCTGATTTTTATAATGATCAATTTACATATTATTTCATTTGCAATTCTTTTCAATTTCCCTGTCACTGATTTTTCAGACATTAACGTTTCAAATTCATATCTGAAATGTAGACTTTCGTATTTTTATGCACATATGAGTTCAGTGGCTGAATATAACTAATTTTTTAATTTAGATCCACTGTTCTTTGTAGGATGTTGCTGGCCAGGTAGGGCATGCTCACCATTCTGGAACACTAAATCTCACCTTGCGACTTGCTACATTTCGGAGAGTCCACTTAGCCAACATCGCGTTTGGTTATTTATGTGCCTTCAGAGTTTTTACTCCATATAGGTTGCAAGTTAAGTTATCTTTCTCCCAATGTGCCTTCTACATTATTTATAAGTTTTAAAAAATTTAAGGGACAGTGACAGCTCAACTCCTCAGCTAACCGAGCAAATAAGAGAGTGCACTTGTTTTTATGTTTTTTGTTTTTAGGCTAGAAAGGTGAATCGTTCGTAATTCACCTACTCGCTTTGAAGCTATGGCAAGAGGCTGTGATATTGGCCTACTATAAAACAATGTTAAAATCTCTTCGACGTTTTTGGTTCCACCATTTTGTTTTTCAGACTACCATTTTGTTTCTCAGACCACCATATTGATTTTAAGACCGCCATTTTGAAGTTCACAATAATAGGAATTATAGCAATATCTATATTTTATAGGTTTGTATCTTTTCTATTTTCTTTGATAATTTTATTCACATCCCATGATTTTATGTGAGGAAAGTGTAACCACCCAATAAAATAACAATGACTACATTGATAAATTCAACACTGACCACCAAGTTAAATCACGGGGACCAGACCTTACCTTATGTAGTCACTCCTATTTTGTCATTCCTACAGCCATAGGCGGTTGTCTCGAACATAAGTTCTTTGCATATTTTAACATCGTCTCCGTGCTTATCCTTCAAAGCGTCCGTTTTCACTTTTAGATCGATTCAAAAAAGTAAATTAATGCATCCTACCTGACCATAAATAGTATTACAAATGTAATAATTTTCCGTGAAACCGATTAGGATGAAATATTTATAACATTAACAGACAACATTAACTGAAAGACAACACATATCGATTTCGGTTTAATCAAATGGAATGACAGGAATAATGTGTTGAGATTGGGAAGTTTTATTTACAATCACTTAAGAAAAAACATTTAATTATTAATACAATTTGTTTTCGTTCGAATTAAATATTTTTATCTAAACAATCTGATGTTTACAATGATGAATTTAAATACTACTTTTTGCAATTCTATTCAATAATATTGATTTTTCAAACATTAACGTTTCAAAACTGAAATCCATACTTTCGTATACTTATGCACTTAGGAGTTCGGTGGCTGATTATAAGTCATTTTTTAATTTAGATCCACTATTCTGTGGAGGATATTGTTAGCCAGGAAGGGCATGCGCCCCATTCCGAAACGCCTTTTCTTATTTGCCTCCAGTATTTTGTCTTGAGTATTTTACTTGTAAAGCAGCTAAACATTCCAAATTGTTTACGAGTAAAGGGCAAGGGCAATAACTCATGTAAAAACAATCAACCTAAGCAATAAAGATTATCCGAGAGTTATCAAACACATCAACATTAATTTGTATACCCAGATAGCTTTAGCAATTAGAATATAGGTTACGTCATTTCCTACAAGAATTGCTGCTGTATTAGGCACCATACCACTGTCAGAACCTCTTAATAGACCGAAAGAGACACTTCATTGAAGATTCAGAAACAACAGGCCAAAGTAAGACAATAGCAAATACCAACGAAAAATAATATTTTATTAATAACAGTATTATTTCAAAATCTTTTTAGAATGTTAATTTCTGTACATTCAGATTGTTATTAACCAGAATCCAAAAAACATCATGGTTATAGCAAAAGGACCTCGAAAGCAATAGAAATTCTAGTTACATTGACGTCCTTGGTAGGCTTAACATCAACACATACTGAAGGAAATTACCAAATGTACTTTCAATAATCTTTAAAGTGTATTATTTATTCTTTGCAAGCACTTCGTGACTACGCCTAGTGTTTTGTGTAGTATCCACGAAAGGGGCGGAAGTGGGCCTGTAACTCTCTAATATCTTATTATTTTGCGTAGGGAAAGAAGAGCCTATTTGATGCCTTTAGTCGCCCTTCCTAACAGACAGCATTGCTTGTGTTTCTGTGGGACTCATGCCCTCATCACCATCTACACGGCACTGCGAATGTATCTAGATAAATCAACATTAAAAAGAAGCTTATGATTTGACAGGAAAGGTATCTGATGAGATGGGTTGTACTTTAACAACTTTTGTCAGCGTGATTCTGTTGTTGGAGAAACAACAACATGCTTTCTTAGCTTTAGACCACAGGAATAAAAGAAATATCTCCATGAATTCCACCACTGTAATGAAACTTGCACCAAGGAACAGTCCCATCTGTCCTCCAACTATACCTGAAATAATCAATGTGAGTTATATTTTTGCGTCTATTAAAATTGCATTTCCTCCAAAAATGCTATTAACGACAATTTTTTAAGTTTATCTTGACTTTTGATGCACTGCTTTGAATTATATTTTTTCGTATTTTCAAATAACCAAAAAGTTTTGAAATACCTTAAATTGGATAAAGGGACAAGGAAACAAAACCAAATCGGAGATTGAGGTCGACCAACCGACTAGCAAAGTCTGAGAGCAACTGGATTTGCAACAAATATTGGGAGCATCTGATGAGAAGCTGAATTGAGTCGACCTGGTCTCACCAACGGTTCAAAGGCCCTAGTTGCTACATTGTTGATGGACTAATTTACATTACCGATTACGGAAGTATATGAATGTACAGCAACGTGCGAGACTTCTTCCAATAACAAATCTTCATAAAATATTTTAACATCGAAATAGCCAGTCCTAAATGATAAAAATCCATTACATTAATCAGTGGCTTGCTGATTTATATTTAAATCAATGATGTTTTCTACAATTACTTTAGTTAGCGCATCAGGGTTGGCTAAATATCAGATTTGCCATTCCGAGTATGTGTTCCCTGTATTTCAAGAAAAACTCGACTTTGCAATAACTATTTTAAATACCATCTTATCATAATTTACAAACGTCGGACGGAAAACAGAAATGGTGCAATTAGAACTGCATGATGATTCTTCATTGTTGCTACAGAAAATTTCGAAAATTCAGGTTGCTTGGTGGTTTAGGACCTACACCTCTCGATCCTGCTTTTTCGTCCAATTCAAGAACAAGACAATAATTCACGAACATTGGCTTGTTAGAACACAGCTTACATGCTGAGGACCCAAATTGCTCTTGATATGCAAACACTAGATATAAATCACGCTCTTATGCTTGCATACAGCATAAACTTTTTGACATACCTTCCACCGCTTTTCTTCTTTATAATGTTTAATTTTTGTAAAATTTCCAGGGCTGGAACTGAGGGAAACATACCGAGAGATAACTTTGTTTGGTACACATTGAACTCGCATACTCTTGGACAAGTACAATTGTATTGAGATATATTTCGTGTATAAGCTATACCTGCAATTAAAAACTTTATTCAATTCAATTGTGTCTTGGATTGATTTCATTTTTTATCATAGTTGGTGGTAGTCATCTCCCTTAACGGATATCAACCTCTATTGAGTTTTTGTTATGATAAAATAAGTATTAATTCAAGCAAATACATATAACCTAACAAATTGTCAATATTCACAGACAAAGATGTGCGAAAAGACCTTAAGCTGCCTCTAAGTGAATTAATGACAGTAATTAAGTAATGGTGTATCATCCGACAGAACATGGGCACCAGAAGCTTCTCCGAAATCTATTATGCTTCACATTTCAAGCACATGTAATGATGACGAACCAATTGTTTTATTGTGTTACATTTACTTACGCAAAGACGGTTCATAGCAGTTTAACCACTGTCCTATAGTACACATTGGATAAGTTAAAAATTCTGAAAAAGATCATGAAATCTCAGACTTAGGGAATAGACATTTCATGTTAGTCTGTTTTCGATGGTTGATTTCTAGATCCACAACCAACCTCTTGCAAGCAATGGAATACGATGATTTATAGCTGGACATATTTCTTTCCTTCCAAAATCCACAAAGCATATACTTAAAAACATTTTCGCTTTCCATCTGGCGGGGATTTGCTAACCCTATGGCACAGGAAGCCTCGGTGTGTCGGTTTTCGCAACACCAATACGTTTTTTTACGTATGATTAGGGACAACTTGGTTGAAAAATCAGAAGGTACGAAGTCCTTGTAAAACTAAATTAGAAGTCACTAGCTAAGCAAACGCTGCCTAAGACTCACCGGAATCTGTTACAGATCTACAGTTACAGCCTTTAATAACATAAATTACTACACAGCTTCTAATACAGGATTCTCTATCATATTTTATTGATGTAGGTTTGGATTTTTGACCAGACAGTTCAGAATTTACTACACAATATTCGTCCCCATAGGCTTTAAAGGGCTCAGGGAGAAACGTATACTGAAATTTGAAGTAATTCAGTCTCCAAATGTATGAAATCAAATATGGAAATATCATTAATGTTATTATTATGTTAACTGATGACAACTTCCCAACCAATCTAGACCATCTCTTCCAATTTCTCAATGCACTATATTTTCCATCCTACACCATCCTAAAATTATTCATGTTTATCTTACATTATCGAATGTCTCATACTTTCAACTCACATCACAGATGGGTGAACCACTGGAGAACAGGGATTGCCTTATTGCTATATCATATAAAAGGTGATTACGGAGAGGATACTGGAGATGTACAACCAAGATGTTGAAGAACAAACCAAACTTACAGATTTCTTGTTGACAGACATAAGACATGCACCACCAGGGTTTAAATATATACCGGAATCTGATATTCGGGGATCTTCATGTGGATCGTGCAGTTTAATCTATAATATAATATTAGCATATCGGGAAAATATGGTAGAGAATTAGAACCCGAAATGGCATGCGACTGATGAAATTTAATATTGGTATCACTGTCAAGATCCAAAATAGATATACATGTAGTAAACTTATGTGCTTCTTCAAAAATGTCAAGATTGCTTCTTCAAAAATAATGGATTTGATGATGATGAGACGAAGTTCGTAATAGGTTGACATTGTGAAGATGGGTTTCGTGACAACTGAGGTCATATTTGCTAACACTGCAAAGGCATTAATGATAAACAGTAACTATTTTTGACATCCTTATTTTCAGCACATTTGGTAATATACCAAAATGTAGTCTGACCTACCTTTAATCCTGCATTAGCATTGTCATCAACGATATAGCCTTCTTGGTCAATTTTAGCGATGAAGTTTAGTCCTCCATGAGAACCATCAGAATCAGCATAGTAATTTAACGAGTCGTTAAGGACAAAACATTTGCCCAAATCAGTGAAGAGTGGAATCCACATTTCATTACACGACACAGTTTGTCCTTTCCATATGCATATCTGAAAAATGTCATCCACTGTAACGTTTGATATGGTGTGCGCCTCGTCTAGCGGAGTGTTAGTCACTTCTATAAATCCTTTATCGGATTCATTTATAGCCATCATTGAGTTCAAAATGCTGCGACGAAGAAATACTTTTCGAACGGCTTCAGGATTAGGGAACCGATTCACTCTAAGATATGTCAAGTCACATATTGTTACCATTGGAAATTTTAATTTTGGTTGTGGTCCAATTTTCAACACTGTGTTGAAAGGGTAGGTCCAATAGTTTTCAAGCCCCATGTAGAGGGTCGCGAATAGAGTTATTCCCATTCCAATCACATAACAGAGCCAAAGAAACCTGTAAAATATAGACATGGGTATTCATAATAATGCTTAGTTTAGTGCACTTTGTGTTGGCAGCATCACACATGAGGACTAAAATTTTCATGGCCTGCCTTTAATTTAATACAATAAATACAACATTTCCTGATCCGTGCGGCGTATTTCTTTTCAGGTCAATGGACACGGATTGAAAAGAAGAACCAGAGCAGCTTCTTTGCCTCTTTGGAGGGGGAGAGCGGTGTTGCATCGGACTTTCTTATTTGGTACAAAGTGAGGAACCATTGAAGAAATCTGACTGGATCTGCTTCAAAGAGTTTTTCTGCTACATGACCAGACTGGTGTGCTTTTGCAAAGGACGGTGCTCTTGGATCTATTTTTCAAAGAATAACTAAACAAATACAAAATGAGTCTTCAAATTACAAAGATCATCTGAAAAAACACCATAACACGATGGATGAATCACTCACGAATTATAAATTAACCATGAGGCATCCCAAGGGTAGTGTTCGCTGGAAGCCTCGTACGCTTGGCTCTAGAGCTTGAAGGTCAGTGATATGGGCATTTGTTGAAATTGGCCTACCTAATAAAATTACTTCGTTTGTTGGACATGATGTTCCTACAGCCATGAGCAGTTGTCTCGGAAATAAGCTCTTTACATTTTTTAACATCGTCTTCATTGGTATTGTTTTCTGTGTTCATTTTAGATTGTGTTCCCAAACTCTGAAGGTCCAGTATGTCGTAATATTGAAGTCCTATAAAAAGAGTTCGAAATCATACAGATGCTGTCACAATAACATGAACAGATTGTACTTTTTAAAATAGTGCCCAATACCTTTAGTACCGTAAAAGTACGGCTTAATATCAGCCGTCACCTCGCCTTTCCAAATTCAAATGGAATGACCGAAATAAGTAACATCCCAATAAGTGTCGTCTTCTCTACTCGACCCATAATGATGGAAAACCCTTGCTATGTCCTGATGATTGTTAAAGGGACCAAAAACAAAAAATTATTAGTTCAGTCAATAAAGGAATCACTCTGCGACTATTGTGGTGTTCACTGAAACCAAAGATCTATACATAACAACATAGTTTATGACGTCAATCATTATAAAATTATATGTAAGAAGGGAATTAGTTTGGCATACAATAAAGTTCCTCTTGATCCTCGAAAATTTCCTTTCCCTGTAGGCATACGCGTTCGATTAATAATCGAAAGTGGCCAATATTGAACTTTGTGATGCCTACAGGTACTAAATCTGACCGAGAAACAGTATATAATAATCAGTATAAGCTTCGTAATGGAAAGGGATGACTAGTTTACAAACCCAGTCACAGAGTGTCAACAGGTATACAACACGAAGATTCGGCCCCCTCTATCGACACTCAACAACACATAGCGGAGCTCAGATTTAGCTTCATTTTTCAACAACTTTAGTCGGTCGTCACTTCCAAAGCGTTCTTGACTTTCTCTTGTGAAGTTATTACCCTAATTCTAAACTCTTACTGTACGTTTTGGTTGAATAATAAGAGCATCGGTTGTCAGATTATAATTCTAAAAAATGAAAAGCTGGATTTGACCTCTGGTACGGCAAACATATAGACGACAGAATCTCTCTAAAATATGTAACTGAAAGAAGTGTTCATTCAGTATTTCATTGATTCATGAGAAGGACATTTTACTTACTTAGGACGCAGAAAAAAAGACAAAACAACAAAGGTAAAAAAAATGACATTACCTTTCAAACTGATCCGAGGTCAAACATATATAAAATTAAATCCAGCTCTACGTTTCCTGTAGTCAAAATCCAGGACAGTTTCTCGTCAATTCCAGATAGTCAGTGGTCGAGATCTAGGATAGTTACTAATCAATTCCAGATAGTCACTGGTCAAAATCCAGGATAGCTACTGATCAAAATCCAAGATAGTTCCAAGTCAAAATTCAAGAATAATCGCTTGTCAAAAACCAACAATAATCGCTTGTCAAAATCCAGTATGGTTACAAGTCAAACTCAAGAATAATCGCTTGTCAAAATCTAGGATAATTACTAATTACTAATCAAAATCAAGGATGGATACTAGTCAAACTCAAGAATAATCGCTTGTCAAAATCTAGGATAATTACTAATTACTAATCAAAATCTAGGATGGATACTAGTCAAACTCAAGAATAATCGCTTGTCAAAATCTAGGATAATTACTAATTACTAATCAAAATCAAGGATGGATACTAGTCAAACTCAAGAATAATCGCTTGTCAAAATCTAGGATAATTACTAATTACTAATCAAAATCTAGGATGGATACTAGTCAAACTCAAGAATAATCGCTTGTCAAAATCTAGGATAATTACTAATTACTAATCAAAATCAAGGATGGATACTAGTCAAACTCAAGAATAATCGCTTGTCAAAATCTATGATAATTACTAATTACTAATCAAAATCTAGGATGGATACTAGTCAAACTCAAGAATAATCGCTTGTCAAAATGTAGGATAATTACTAATTACTAATCAAAATCAAGGATGGATACTAGTCAAACTCAAGAATTGTTTCTGGTAAAAATCTAAGAAGAGTTGATGGTCAAAATCCAAGAACAGTTGCTGGTCAAATTCCAAGAATAGTTCCTCGTCAAAATTAAAGAATAGTCGCTGGTCAAAATCCAGTTGCTGTTTAAAATCAAAAATAGATGTACAGTACAGTTGCTGGTAATAAATTGTCAAAATCAAGAATAATTGCTGGTCAAATTCAAAAGCACATGTAGTTGCTGTTTAAAATCAAGAATAGACGTAAGTCAAAATCCAACAGTCTTTGGACAAAAACCAACAATAGTAATAGTTACTGGTTTAAATCAAAAATAGTTTGTGGTCAACGGATATAAGTCACAGCACATAAATGAAATAATACCCCAGTTCCTCTGCACTATCTGTACTTGGCATGCCTCTGTACTTTGTACATTATGTCTAAATAGTACAATATTATATATGCTCTCATATATTTAATTGCAGTTCTGAACTAATGTTATTAAACACGTTCGTCTAATAAGGACTAAACAGCAATTAAGATGTGTAAATAAGTATTTGTATCGACAGCAAACAATATTGTTTATATGTTTCAAATATTGTTCATAGAAATATTAAAATTTCATGAAATGTTAAAGGGAAAGGTTCGCCATCATCAGGGATTGGTTAAGTCTTGAATATATGTAAACAGTCTTCAGAATTTCTCGAAATTAACGAAAATCGCACGATTCCTTCACAAATACCTTAAACTAGGAATTTATCTTTCTATTTCTATATATGTCTTTTCCATATATGGAGGATTCGTTATTTTTACTTACTAAGGCACTGGTATTGGTAAAAAAGAAACAAGCATCAAGAGAAGAAATCCAAATTGTGCAACACAGCCATTTTTATCACAATTCTTGGTTTTTTTTTACGAAGCTGGCACATATTTGATATTATTCCTTACTGTTATTATTAAAGGAAAAGTTGTTGAAAATTTTTTTAGATATTGTTGAATACAGGGAGACACTATTTGATCACAATTATTGTTATACGCCCACATTATAATGTGGTCGCCCTTGTCCGTCCGTCCGTCGGTCCGTCTACAATTGGCTTGTGAACGCAAAAAAGACTACAGTTTTCAACGAATTTAAATGAAATTTGGTGTTAATATTTATAATGATGAGATCTTGGATAAGTTCGAATTTGACGATCTTTCGATGAATGGTTTTTGAGTTATTGCCCCTGGTTTATGAAAAACCGTCAAAATTTGTTTTTGAACACAATAGAGGGTACAGTTTTCATCCGATTTAAATGAAATTTGGTATGATCATTTATAATGATGAGATCTTAGTAAAAGATTAAATTTGACAATTCTTCGATCAACGGAATTTGAGTTATTGCCCTAGACTTAGTAAAAACGCAAAAAAATTTGTTGGTGATAGAGGTGACAGTTTATGTCAGAATTTTATTAAATAATGTGTGTTTGTTTAAATCAACAATATCTTGCATAAATTAGATTTTTGGTATAATTTGATACAAATAGGTGACTGCCCTTGATATACTGAATGTATCTTGCTAGGCAACCACTTGTTTTTATGAAGCCATCACACACTCGTCCTTCAAATGAGATACTATGTTTAAATGAAAATTCCACCGGGAATTAAAATAAAAAAGTAAGGTCAATTTGTTCAGAGGCGAAAATCCGTTTATCATAATGAATTACATATTATATTACTCTTAAATATTTTCACTGTTAAAATGTTCTCAATTAATAAATAGTAGAGCGATATAGAATTGTTTCGGGTTCTGTTTTAATGAGTTGCATTAACACTTAAAATATGACGAAAATATTCAAAATGGTCCTTGAACGTATCGAAAGTAATTATCACCTTTTTCATACAATCGTGTTTATTGTTATTTGCCTGATCGATTTTTCAATTAATTCATCGTAAAATAGTTTATTTTATTTTATCTCTTCTCAATCACATTGAAGGCCAAAAATAATAAAAAGGATAAAGGCGTCTAGTATTTTGAATAATACTAAATACCGACATTGCGTTGATGATTTGAAAATCAAAAAACAGGGAGCATAATTAAACTCTATTAACCTTTTAACAATCTGCAAACGTTTTGTTCATACATTATGGATTTATTAATAATGTAATGGCTTTCAAATACATAATTGCTTGACATTTTGGTTTCAGGTTTCTGTCAACAAAGTAACCCATTTTGTTACATTTGTTGCAAAAGCTTTATTAAAAGTTTGTCAACTTGCTGTTCCTTTGTGAGAGGCGGCTAATGATTTTATTGTAGTATCTTTGAGGTAAATCAATACACAAAGCTTTGTTATGATGCAAAGGGAGAAAGGGGGGGGGGGGGAATAATGTCATCATAGTGTAGATCAATTGAAGCTTGAGGGTAGACTCATTCGGCAACTTCTTTACATAAGCAAATATTCTGAAATGGTTCTTTAGGATGGTTGAAACTGGCATTATAAGAGATGCTTCCACTAGGGTGAAAGTTTATGTTCTTGGCTACTTTTCTGCTATAATGATACAATAAGGTGTAATATGCATTACTTTACCTACGCCAGAACAATGAAACAAGAAACAAAAATGATATGGATTTTTGAGCCAGCCGTATGTATAAGTGTGAGCCAGCTAGCTCCACATAGCAGCAGATGAGATTAAAATGAACCAAAACTTTGTTTAATATGGCATCAAAATATCACAGAAATATCTAAACATCATAGAGTTCAACAACCTTTCTTCTCACATCCTAAACCTTTCACTGATACAGATAGATCTGTCTCTCCAGTCCCCGGTCTGACCAGAATACGTTAAATCATGTAACCTTACATCTTGCCAAGCATGCATATTGAACACCTGCTGAATTAAATATAGAGATGATGAAATACATCAAAGAAATATAATGATACTATGTTTTAACAACAGGACGAACTATTAACCAGCAATATCTTTACCAATCTAATGTAAAATACACTATGTCATGTCTACTTAATAAGTATAATAAAGATCTTGATAGGACTAGTTCTTGGTACATCTGCTTCTATGCACAGAGTTCTTTTGCAACGGAAATTGGTAAACTTAATAAAACACAGAGTTGTAACACAATAATAACTTTATTGATTTTGAAATTATATCAAAATAATCAAAAGACTTGAAACATTTACTTTTCCCTGGTGCATTTATTGTCAATTATCAAGCTGAAGTAATCTTAATTACCATTTAAAAAAGAAATGTTCACTATGGTTTGATCCGTCCATGAGTTTGCACACATATCGTTGCTCGAATACAGTTGAATTCATCTGATAAACGGAGAATTGGATATTCTTTACTTTAGAAAATAGAAGAAGCAAAAACACAAGGATCCAGTAAGGAATACAAAATTTAAGAAAAGGGAATCCAGTAGTGAAGGTGCCTTCATAAGGGGGAACAGGGAGCATCAACTCCAAAGCTGGAGACTTTGCCATTTGAAGACGCTATGGAAGGTGTTTCATCTTGCCAGAGACCGGAGTGAGCAATTGTGTGTAGATACAATAGGTTTTATAAGTTACCACTTGTGCCAGAATAATGGAGGTATCCCTCTAAATAGAGGCAGTCTAGGATCTCGGAATAGAGAAGGTACGGGTCCGGACACATAACAGTTTGTTGGATTCTTTTCCTTTTTTTTGTTTCACCAACAACACAAACACCATACTTCGTCTAATCGCACCTTTACAATCAATCATCGTAGTCAATTTCTACAACTGGCGGACTCATACTATCGCTGACGTCATCAGAAATAGACTGATGTCGACTCTGACAATTCTTCATATGTTTTCGCACTTCTGCTTTTCTCTTATGTTCAAAGTCACAATAAAGGCACTTTTCCTTAACTAACAAATGCATTTCAGTGATATGCCTGGTGATACTATTCTTATGCTTCTCAGCGCCACAAAATGGACATTTAACATTATTCAAAGCGGGGAAATTTCGTCGCTGAAAGAAAGAAAACAAAAGTAAAATTGTACAATCGAGTGGTAGGACCGTACCCTTCGGTACACAACAAAGATGAAAATCGGTTAAAACCATAACGTGTACAACATTCTCCAAGAACTTGTATTCACAATGTGCGCTCAAATTTTTGCAAGCTCTGTGGATTTAATATGTTCATACCTGGTATAATGAACTGGCCGATTGACTAATCGCAAACTCTCTAAAATTTTACTTGATAAATCAAACTTTGATAAATACGAAGATGTATGTTGAAATTTTTATTAATTTTTTTTAGAGATGTGGATATAAACAAATGGAAACTGATATTCTTAAAGTATTTGCAAATCAAATATACGATTAGACGGCTGACATGACTCTTATGTTATTGAAATTGATATACTAAAAGTAATTATAAAGTAAATGTACATCTACAGACAGTAATATATTGTGTTGACCAATTGCATTTAAAGGAATTGAAAAGAGGTTTTCTAAATATTTTGTGCGTATCGGAGACACTTATAGCATCAATTTGCAACAATCTAATTTCCCATTAACAATCATGTGATAAAACATATTTCGCGATTAGTGACTTCATCAAACTCTTAGTTTTAGTGGAATTGCAGGAACCACAGACGTCCGATTAAAAATTGGAATGGTGCAAATTGATGCTATCAGTGTCCCTGATACACATAAAAATTTCGGAAAACCTTTTTACAATCCTTAATACCGTTTTAAAAGTCACATGTGCAAGTCAACGTAATCATATGTATATCAAAATTTTCTTACCTTAACACTGAATGTGGCGATTGCTTTTCTCTTTTGAGTAACTTTCCGATCGTGATGTATAACTAATATGTGTCTTTTCATACTATTTTTATGTTTCTTCTCACCACAAAAAGGACACACAGCATAATTCGCTGACTTAGCCTGAAACAGTACAACATTTTGATTTAAAAAGTTGCATTGAGTTCTTCAGAAGCATTGAGTGCTTAAAGTCTTTATTTATTTTCGCGACGACACACTGCGGCTCAAATGTTTTTAAGCATGATACAAAAATACAAGAGTGAAATAATTGGCGCACATTACATCGGAGCTGAGGTTTGGCATTTGATATTGCGACTGAGAGAAAACGATGACTGATAGCAATTGACGGTATAATGTATTTAGTCAACCTGGGTATCATTAACAAATAGATCCTACTCCACCCTCTCCGTGTTGATCAACGAAAAGGTCTCTTAAACAACACACTTATCTTAATTCTCCTGTAATTACTGATAAATCCCTATGTGCTAAAAATAAAATCGAACATGTTTTTAAGAAAGCGCACACTTTTCAAACTAAGCTTTCTGAAGTGTCTTATAGAACATAATGTCTTTTACCGGAAACAGAGTTCTTAATGTCTTTAGAGGTATCGTGGTACGAATCCTAAGATTATGCATCTGTTTGAAATTAAAATTTAGGCGAAGCTGAAAGCAAAAAATCGAGTGTTCAAATAATAGGCTATAAAACAAGGCATATTGATTTGGCTGTATCATTAAACAGCGGTCGTAATTAATATTGACTCGAATTTTCTAGAATAACCTGCTTTACTGCACTGTGCCTCTCATATGCAAACCATGTTATGGTACATTAGAACCCCGGTTCCAAACCTGGGGTGTTTTCACCCCCTATGGGTGTGGAATTAGGTTGTCGGGCTGTGGCCAACTGGTGTAGGAGTAGGATTTATTTTGAATTGGATGAAACAAATTTTGGGGGTGTGAAAGGTCCAGGTGATTGCTCCAAGGGGGTGAAGGCTGAAAAGGGTTGGGAACTACTGCATTTAACAGAACCTTAGTGAAAATGCTTTTGTCGATTAATATGACATATGGGCAGTATTAATTATGTGGACTATCGGAATGCGATGCCAAGTTGACTAGTTTACTTTGTGGTCCAAGGTCAAACGTTGAAGGGGTTCCAGTTGGTCTCTTCTATCATTCTGTCTTGCAAAAAGTTCGAAACTATAGTGACAACCTACCAGTGCAATTTGTCAGATGATAGAGCATTTTACATCTTTGAGTGAATGCACGATTACATTTAGGACAATTGACTCGGATATTCAAATGCTTTTCTCTGATATGACGGGACACACTGCGACGATAGGCGAACAATTTACCACATTCTGGGCAGGGAATCCGATGAAAAGCCATTTCCGCATCGCTTACACTTAATCTTGTGCGTTCCTACAATAGAAATTTTAGACAATGATTTGCGATGGTAAATTGGTGTTCTAAGTCTATGAATAGAGGGCAACTAATCAATATATCTACTCTAAAACATAAATTTAAAAAAGAAATTTGGTCAGTCGTGTGTCCTCATGCTGCGATAACAATAAACAATATTACAGCCGTTAGACCACATTGCTTTCTTTAGTTTCTATGGCAATTAAGGCAAACATCATGAACCACATAAAAACATGAAAGATCGTATCAACTACATTTTACCTTGGTCATTGGTATTTTGATTCGGAAAAGGAGACACAATACGTAAAATAGCAGCGATAAACTATCAACTAAAAAATACACAGCCTGGCCTACTAGATCCAAACACCAGCAATAACACAGTCTTTATGAACAAAAATCGATTACTTACACAGAAATAGAATTCTTAAAAGTTTTCAAAACAAATTATAAACATTAAACATTGGGCAACTCCAAGAGGAGCACATCGAGAGAAATTTTACTAATACAATAGCGTTAATCTGACTTTCATTTTCACTATTCAATGTTATTGTCCAATGCAATTGAGCAGACGATTTCGTAGCGTCAACAACTCCGACCTGCATCATTTCCAATTGAAAGCTGGCTGGTTAATGTAGACACCTAACCCATTCCCCCCTCCCTTTTTGAAGGGGGTTTATTTTCAAATCAACCATTTCCGTGTATCCAACATTTGGTTCCCCTTACGATCAAACAATAACAATAATAGTAGCTTATTTGCTCGTGCTGTTATTACCGATATTTGAGCACCATTGGTAATGAGCGAAAGGATACTGGTCTGGAATTGGCAACGGCGTAAACTTGCAGTTTACGTTTAATTGCAGGCAAAGCTGATATCAGATTAAGAAGCCACTCACCCACCCTAGGACTAATCGGTCCTAGTTATAAAAAACACATGAACATTAATTGTCGATTTTATTGCTACCATAAATGTAAAAGTGTGACCAGATTATTTGTGGATTATTAATTGTGACTAGTCATCGATAACGTTTCTAACTTTTGTCATAATTTACCTACAGTAAAAATCTGGCAATGATTGTCATATTGGCAAAGTCTCTGGACCAATTACAAATGCTGAAATCACATGAAAACATGTTGGTTTTACAAATGTTTGTTTTTTTCTTGACCAGCAGTTGATGTTTTTCGACAGAATACTGTGTACATGTGTATTTCCATAGTCTCCACTGTAATATCAACTGAAAGAATCACACGACAGCATAAACTCAATGATCACTAAACCAATGTTTTATTCGTAATGCTCTATGTTTTCGTTATCTTCCGTTCGAAATATACACTTTTTCACATGACTTTTCCATCCACATTTCCATGCAAATTTCCGATTGCATGGTCTATATGGACATTCATATTTCTTTTCTCCGTTACCATGCACATTCTCTACGTGTAGGCGAAGCTGAAATTTGTCTCCACATGACCGACCACAGACTGGACAGATAAGCTTATTATTTGTTGGGTCATGTTTGGTCATGACGTGACGCCGTATGTTATAGAATTTGGGCGAGGAATAATTGCATTGTTTACATGTATAAGACTTCATATGCACTATTCGGTCCGGTTGTTCAGAATCGGCATATTGCACCGTGGAAGCTGTACATATCTTTTCTCGATCTTCAGGGTCGGCAGTTTGACGTTGTCTTTTATAACTAGGCATGTAGACTTGTTCATAATAGTCCTTGAAAAAAAGAAAGAAAACAAAGAGATTTATTCAAATTGTTTATTAGAATAATTCTAGATATACATTCCACATTGGTATATACACATTATACAGAAAATAGCGAAATAATTTACATTACTTATATCACAACAAATTAATGATATGAACTTGTTTGTTCACGGGTTATATTTGGCCAACAGAACATACATATTATGAAAGACATTCTTTAAGAATGGTAATATTAGGCTTGGCTCTTACAACCTACGTTTCGCATTTACAAACTGACGATGTCACTCAAGATCTACACTTACATACGCATTAGAAACTAGCAATAGTACTTCAAAACCTTCTCTTACAGACTCTCTTACAGACATACCAACAGAACTTCAGAAACTACCCTTACAGACACATTTTTCATTGTCAACAGAGCTTCAGAAACTACGCCTGGAGCGGACATTACAAGTCAATATTTGATAACATGCCACAATATGATGCAGTAATAAGATTTGTGGCAGTTATTGAAAAAAAGCCTTAAGCCTTTGCGTAATATTATAGTGAATGTCAACATTTTCAATCAAATCAGCAACTAGATGGATACAGGTCATCTGGCAATGCACCGCATCAGATAATTACAGAGCAATTGATTATATTTTAGCAGATATTGACAGAGGTTGAAATTCTAGTTTTTATCATTTGGAAGGAAGACCCGCTTCCAGAATCCTATCTCCTATACCGCCCTTCTTTTTAAAATTTTTACCCCAACTCTGCATTGAAACACCTTTTAACAAAGACAAACAAAATTCCTACTGTTTAGAGTCTAAAATCTTCAACAATGAAGCCCTTTCTTTACATTTCCTCATATGAATTTGCATAGTTGACTTTTGGGTGAATTCCTTTTTACAAACTTGACAAGTGTGACGAATGTTTAGATGCTTTTCTTTGATGTGTGCTGGGAGATTTCGCTTATATTTCAGAACTTTTCCACAAACTGGACAAGAAACTTGATCATAACAACGTAACTTCTTTATCTACAAAACATAAAGAGAAAATTTCCTTAAAATCTGATCAAATCCTTCGAATGTATGTGTTCTAATCTAATTTGAACAAAAATGAATCACTTAAGAGCATATTAAATCCAACGTAACGTTTACCCCGTTTTTTATTTACATATTTTATAACCACTGCATAGGAATTGAAATGGCCCATTCTTATACAAAATATTATTAAACGAAAACTATTCAAATGTCTATAAAATAAAATGGTCCAGTTTTATACAATATATTTTTTAGATATACATGTATACTGTTGCCAATGTCAATATATTTTGAAATGATCCGGTTTTATACAATAGACTAGAAATTAGAACCTTTATCCATTGTCAAAATATTCTGGAATAATCCGGTCTTATACTTTTTAATATTAAAATATATCCTGTACCCAATATCCTATGCACTGAAATGATCCGGTTCTATACCATATACATGTATTATCAAAATATATCCTGTACCATATGTCTCTATGCATTTAAATGATCCGGTCCTATACCATATATTTATTTTTGTTATCAAAATTCATCCTTTACCCGTTATACATCTGCATTGGAATGATCCGGTTCTATACCACAATATATATATTTATCAAAACATATCATATACCCAATATCCCTATATTTTGAAATGATCCGTTCTATACCATAAACATGTACATGTATTATCAAAATATATGCTGTATCCAATGTCCCTATATTTTGAAATGATCCGATAATACACAATATATTATCAAGATATATCTATGGCAATATAATAAATAAACTAAGAACTAACGATCCGAACTGCAAAACGGAACCAGGCATACAAACACCATATTGGCAAAACATTGGTAGCAGCTTATAAATTTTTCACATGAGGAGATCAATCATAGGTGAGTAAGTATTTCGTAATGAAACTTGGTATCAGGTGTCTAGTATTTTAATACAATATATTATTTGCCCATTTCCAATATATTTTAAATAAACGAATGAACTTATCAATGCACACGACACCTTTTTAAAATATCACCAAATCAAATGCTTAACATAGAGTATAAAATCACAAAGGCACTTAACACATCGACACCATACAATCTCAAAAGGACGGGATCACATAAAACCTAATAAGACAAATGACTCTATTGGCATTCTTCAGTCGATACACAAGAAGAATACAAATGCTTGTTCGAATAAATAGTTTAATTTCTCCCATGTTCAAAAGACTGACAGGATGGGCCAAGCAACCGAAACCGCATCTAGTACAACAAGCTGTGCAAGTAAAAGATTACTCAAAAGTTGGAATCGAACGTTGGTCAAATTGGTGAATTGGTCTCATTTTAGGTTTAGCTTCCGAATTCCAAAGTCAAAAATGACAATGTTGCACATAATGCATAATTAATTTGAAATTTGTAACTACTTCATCCAAAAGAGTCTTTGTTACATAAGTTGGTTTTCTGAAGCCTCTTTACACCGATCCTTATGTTTCAACATGGCAGCTTTTTGAGTGAACTGGCGAGAACAAATTGGACAATTAACCCTATAGTTAAAATGTCTTTCTTTCATATGGCGAATCATACTTCTTTTATGTCTAAAAAATTTACCACAAATTTGACACGGTACACCACTTGCATCAACCTAGAACAGAAAAAAATAAAGTTTCTTATACTAATTGACTGCTTATTCTTCTTAGGTCTTAGTCTTTTTCATTGCTTTAGTAAAGCTGCCTGCAGTGATAATACCCAATTCTTCTTCTTAAGATTACTTGACATAAGTGTCAAACACAAATCATTCGAGCGAATAGATTTTTAAAAAAGAAGATTGTAGATTTTTTCCTATAATAGGACTATTTTTTTTTTTAGGAAATTCGTGGTCTAAGTGATAAACTGTTCAAGGTCTAAGTGATAAACTGTTAAGGTCTAAGTGATAAACTGTTTAAGGTCTAAGTGATAAACTGTTCAAGGTCTAAGTGATAAACTGTTTAAGGTCTAAGTGATAAACTGTTTAAGGTCTAAGTGATAAACTGTTCAAGGTCTAAGTAATAACTTGTTCCAGGTCTAAGTGATACACTCTTTAAGGTCTAAGTAATAAACTGGTTAAGGTCTAAGTGATAAACTGTTCAAGGTCTAAGAGATAAACTGTTTAAGGTCTAAGTGATAAACTGTTCAAGGTCTAAGTGATAAACTGTTTAAGGTCTAAGTGATAAACTGTTTAAGGTCTAAGTGATAAACTGTTTAAGGTCTAAGTGATAGACTGGTTAAGGTCTAAGTGATAAACTGGTTAAGGTCTAAGTGATAAACTGTTCAAGGTCTAAGTGATAAACTGTTTAAGGTCTAAGTGATAAACTGTTCAAGGTCTAAGTGATAAACTGTTTAAGGTCTAAGTGATATCCTGTTTAAGGTCTTAGTGATATCCTGTTTAAAGTCTCAGTGGTAATCTGTTCAAGGTCCAGTAAGTGTTGAACTGATTTAAAAATATCAGAAGTTCGGAAACAATCAAATGAAAATTATTTTGTGACCATCAGCTTAAGGTGTTGTAAGGCAGACGAAAAATAACCTCCTGTAAATATCTAATCTTAAACCTCCTATTAAATCACAAAGTTTTCTATTTTTGACAATTCTATCACTGTTATTCCAATGCTTGAAGAAACACTGGGTATGAAAAAAATGAGTTAACCATTCGGCATAGGTCAACACGTTTCTATCATGGCCGTTCAGATGGGACAGTAAACCGAGGATCAATTCATACGTTTACGGCAGGTGGAAATCTGCAACAAGTGGGTCAATGTAGCTTGTTATGGCAATATTATTGCTAACTGCATGGCATTGTTGATCATAATTAGTACATAAGGACAAAACAACATATGTATAACTTCAATGTATTTCATTTGACAATAGAAACAGTTACAATTATATTATCTTTGTTTCACCTTATTAAACAACACATTGGAAAGAAAATTGCACTCTCCGAAATGGGGAAAGAGGTGCTGAGTTGACAAAACCAATCGTAGGGTTGCATAATGTTTTGCAGAGAAATTAATTTAAATTTAAATTTAATTGTATACAGATATCTTTTTATAGCATCATAAACAGGGCAAATTATCACTACCGAGGATCTGTCCATCGAGCACACATAGTTAAATAGATAGTTAGTTATGACACGACTCCACACTTGTTTTTTTGAAACATCATCAAAAGGTCCAACTTGAATGCAAAATGGGGACCTCGCGAGTTGCGAATGTCGGAATCTGTAAGCCACAAGATTATCAACGACTGCTAGCAACTGACGGAATCTGCCAACAACAGGATTGTCAACGACTGCTAGCAACTGACGGAATCTGTAAGCAACAAGATTGTCAACGACTGCTAGCAACTGACGGAATCTGCCAGCAACAGGATTGTCAACGACTACTAGCAACTGACGGAATCTGCCAGCAACAGGATTGTCAACGACTGCTAGCAACTGGCGGAATCTGCCAGCAACAGGATTGTCAACGATTGCTAGCAACTGGTGGATCTGCCATCTGTTGATCATGTTATAATTTCTAGAATTGAAGACGCATTTCTCGATGTTCCTTTCGCTTTGATTCCCTGTGATGCTTTGATTTCGTTCGACCTGAACTTAAGGCAAATACGGATAAAGGCTGCCTTCTACCGATTTTCATCGTATCAAAAAGGTTTGTTCGATGGTTTATAACTGAAAGTTTTACATTTTCTAACATGTTTGATATATGGCCCTCTATCGGTAAAGAAGGCTGAACAATAAGGGCATGAGGCATCAATATGCATTCTTCGTATATGGCGTAAAATATTGAATCTCTTATTGCTGGTCTGGTCACACGATGGACAATAGTAGATAGTTTTCCCATTCACTACAGATGACATGACTGGCATTGCCTACAAAACAAAATAAAATTTTATTGGAAATTATGCAAGTACTTCTTCAATTTTATCTTGGTATTTTGTTACGTTCCTGAACAAACTATATTTCAGAAATGCAGTAATGGTGAATACGTAGTTTATTACTCCTACAATTTCATGAATAAATGAAATTAAGTTTTACGTACTACTTTCCTGCACCTGTTTGGACTATTGGAATTCAATAAAGAAATCGTTTTCGGTTATTAATGAGTTATTTAAATGCTTTGTTGTATTTTGCCAGTTTCAACAGCTATTTATTTAAGACTAACGAACTAATAGGACTCCTTTATTGGCTTCAATTAACTATGTAAATCCCATATATGCGAAAGGTACTGAATAAAACACAAAACAGGCAAAAAAAAACTCGCATCAATTCACAATTTTAATATTCATTACAACTCAATAACGTTAGCAAATATTGCTACCGTAACAGATTAAATAACACTTTGTACTGGTCGAAAGTTTCAAAACTGAAATTTGTTAACAATGATTAGTCTTATTTGTAACAAAGTCACATACTTTTCAGTATCTGTATGTTCAAGGCACTAAAAATTGTTTATTAAAATATGTCTTTGAATAGCTTTGTTTTCACAGTTATAAATATTAACGAAGTGAACATAGATACAACTACATATTTGTCTCTTTTACTGCTTGGCAAGAGCGTAGATGTATTGTCATGTTAGATCTCTGAGTGAACAGTCGTCCACAGAACTGACAAGGCACTCGGATGTTCAGATGTTTCTCTCTAATATGCCGCTTGACACTCCCTTTCAACTTGATGCCTTTACCACAAATTGGACATTTATAAGGGAACTCATCTGATGTTTCGTTTCTTACCTACAAGAAAAGAGGAAATGGTATCACTTTCGATGTTCAACTACAGTGTACTCTGTGTAATTCGACATGCATTTGGACCATATAATATGCATATTATTAGGACTAGTGCTTAACATATATTTTATTTGCAATTATTACCTTAATGGATAAGTTCAGTAATTAAGTGAAATAGTAAACGCAATTTGAAGGTAAGCTAATAGTATCGGCATACTTTTGTGCTGGAATTGTTCATGCAATGTTAAATTAAGGAACTGTGGCCAATATACCGGGAATCGAGTCTACTCTTTTCTTATTTCCAACGGTTGAAAGATGTTGAACATGCACAGCAGACAGACAGGACATCTATTTATTGTATCATCCACTTGACTTGATGCATTTTCAACGCCAATCCCTCTTGATAGAGAGAAACCAGGATAAAACTCTGGGTCTCCCGATTAGCGGTTAACTTCCTTAGTCATGCGCGATCCATCAGCAATAATGAAAGTGGTTCAGATCAACAAGCTCACCAAGATGCATGATCGTCACTGGCTTCTATCACTGATAAGGAGGGCTGGGTTAAAACATCCGAAGTTATTATCTGGACGATGTCGTAATCAAACCACGGAAACTCGGGTTAGGGAGTAGCAGGGACATTTTTCGGGTATATTTTTGGACTATAATGCCTGCTTTACGGACCGTCGTCGTAGAAGTCGAAGTATGGCTAAAGGTGGAAATAGACGAGGTATGGTAGAAAATGCCAAACGTATAAGGGCCGTTACCTTGTTAATTTGCTTCTTCCATTTTCTACTGAATTGATAATCTCGGACATCGTGCCTCGTTTATTCCCACCTAATGACTACCAGCAGATGCAAATATGAGTAATAAAAGTAAACCTATGTCTATAAACTTTATTTAAGTATTTCTGCGACCATAATAACAATAATACAATAGTTTTTGATTATCATACTAAGTGAGGTACTCCAAAAAATAGTACTAAAAATGATATTCACATCTTAAAGTTATGATACCATAAATAAATGTACAACCACCAAAAACGCAATAAAATATGGATTTCAATGAAGCTAAATGGACTAGAAATGTACAAAAAATAAGAAAATCTTAAAATCTTGTGATCATAAATGCATATTATTAAAAACTTAAATTTTGGCATTTGTCTAATGAATGGGTTTTGGAATGAGATGAGTAAACAAAGTTCAACAGACATTCCGCTTATTTTGTAGATGCTCAAATTTGTGAAAACTATACCCCCATATATAGAGAAATGTGTCCCTTAACGCATCTGAAATTTTTAACTAAAAAATCCAACTGTAAATTTTTTAACGTCAAAACTATTTTAAAAAGTATACGTAAACTTTTAAAGTTCGTTATGTTTTTAGGAAGCTGTAAACTATTGTATGGATTTAAGTAAAATTAATGCCTAATTGTAGAGAAATATGTCTCCTACGTATTCTCAAGGTTTCAACTAATAATATCGAGCCATTAAAAAGTCAAACACCAAAACTAGGTCAAACTGCTCAATAAACAATTAGTACTCTCATCAAATTCAGTTTGATCAAAATACATAGATACAAATAGCATACTTTAGAAATATTTTCAGGTATAATTTACAACGTTCTATAATGAAAATGTTTAACAAAAAAAGCGTAATGCCCCTTTAAACTAAAAAGAAACGATGTCAAACCCAGTGGGAGACTGATCAAGTATTCTACAAGTGAGGTCGGCTTTGCTTCGCAGTAAGTAATATCAGCTTCTGATGGAAATGGACATTTGACCGACCTTGCTACAGGCGAATTCTGTTTACTATTGGACCTTCATCGACTGCTAGTAACTGCCGGCAAAAGTCTCTCAATTGTTCCTTGTAAATGATTAATGAATTTTTTAAAGTATGGTTGGATTTCATAGAAAGGAAAGAACCGCAAAAATTCAATAATAAAAAAAACATATTATGTTAATATCTGCATGTAAGACTATGGAAGGGACGACAAACAACTTCGACGATACATTTTTGGTAAATTGTAGGTTAACGGGGTCTGAGATTTTGATTTTAAAAAGCATAACGGATAATTAAAAGCAAATATTAGGAGTATATATTAAACCATATATTCTTAAGATAACATGACTAAAAGAATAGTGGTAAACATGAATTTAGCAATTTATATTTAAAAATGATACGAGTTGAAAGAATAGTCATCGGGAAGTTTTAAAAAACTAAGGATAAAAACTGGATATGAGTTGAAAGCTTTTTGTGTTAAATTCTTCAAATAAAACAAAATTATTTATTAAATAAATTATAAATCAATTTATGATCAGTATTTTTTAATTCCTCCGAACAACAAGTTGAAATATGATTGATCAATTTGCCTCGAGTCAAGAAAGCTTCGCTACATTTGGGGCATTCAACAAATTTATGCTTATCTTTTATGTGTCTGTTTACACTTCTTTTATGAAATAGGGAACCACATTTAGGGCATGTAGTCTTTGTTTTATCATCTAATTCCATAGTAAGAATCTGAAATGGAAATAGAGATATTTTTGATATTTTGATTTGGAAGAACGTTATGGAATTTCAACCAATTTGACTAAATATGCTTATTATTGCTGTTAAAGCCATGCCAAAAATGTAGCGGTGAATATCAAAGGTAAATATAATATTGTTTCACATATTAAATTAAGTACGTGATTGGGAGAAATAGATAAATCAAAGCGCCAAAAGTATTTTAATATCATTTTCCTAAAATGTTTAAACATATGAAGGTACGCATTTGACAGTTATCAGTTATGTCATATTTTGTAAGTTAAAAACTAATTGAATGACTGATTCAAACCATAATATAAGAGCAGTCTATTTTATTCTTGGGTAGACCTATTACTACTTAGACTACATAAAAAAAGTGGACTGATCTTGTTAAGGTTTTGAGCAATTCTGAACGCGATTAATGTTGGCTCAACTCTACCTGACGCGCTTAAAAATAAATCAAATACCGAGCTACAAACCGTAGAACAAAAAAACTAAAATCGCTAAAATAAATACGAAGCTATCGTAGTAAGAAAAAAAAAGAAAATCCGTAAAATGATACAAATGTGATCAAATGGTCATCTCGAACCATATACTGAAATCCAAAGCTTCGAATTCAAACCCTTAAACCAGTAATGGTATAAATGTATCTTACACTATACAACATACCAAATACATACACACACAATTATCGCACTATAGACTTCAAAAGTATGTGAATAAACTAAACCCCTTCAAACACCAATTAAGTATGCTTTAAAAACACTAGGCAACAAAATATATATATTTACACGGTAGTACAAGACATACACAACAATAAGAGTACACTGGACTAGTTCTAAATTCTCAATTAAAAAAAATCTTTGGTCAAACTACATAGACTATAAAAGGTATGAATATAAAAAAAAAAAAAACACAATTGTTCACAACATATATCAAAGTTACAAATTTGTATAAATTCTTTGGTGAAAAACAGATTTCATTTGGTTGGTTAGCTTTTTAAAAAATATTATTGCTTGAGGTATTTTATGGAATTGATTGATTTTAAGTCACTAGATAAATGCTAAATAGTCAATTGGGCCTTACCTGAAATGTGTGGTTATGGTTTAAAACCAAATTTTTTTGATCCAATTGTTCCGGTCTGTTGGATAAAATTTTGATGACATATTTGTAGTAATTTTACTCTAATTGAACTCTAGGATTGGACAGTAATATCTAATTGAACTCTTCAACTGAAGAGTAGGCTATTATTTGAGTTAACTTTTCATTTGAACAGTAATATTTGATTCAACTCTTCAGCGAATAGTAATGTTTGAAAAAAGTCATTAAACTCTTGGATTGAACAGTAGGTTTTCTATATTAATAAACTCTTCGGCTGAAGAGTAAAATTTGATTATACATTATTATTTGATTTCACTCTTGAACTGAATAGTAGGTTTAATATCATTTTGTTTTAAATTAAACTCTTGGATTGAACACTTAGTTTCCTATTTAAATAAACTCTTGGATTGAAGAGTAATATTTGACTAAACTCTTGGATTGAAGTGTAATATTTGATTATACATTATTATTTGATTTCACTCATGAACTGAACAGTAGGTTTAATATCATTTTGTTTTAAATTATACTCTTGAACTAAACAGTAAGTTTTCTATTATAATAAACTCTTGGATTGAAGAGTAATATTTGATTAAACAGTAACATTTCATTAAATTCTTGAACAAAACAGTAATATTGAATAAACTCTTGAACTGAAGAGTAATATTTGAATAAACAGTAATATTTGAATAACCTCTTGCACTGAAGAGTAATATTTGAATAAACAGTAATATTTGAATAACCTCTTGAACAAAACAGTAATATTTGAATAAACAGTAATATTTGAATAAACAGTAATATTTGAATAAACAGTAATATTTGAATAACCTCTTGAACAAAACAGTTATATTTGAATAAACTCTTGGACTGAAGAGTAATATTTCATCAAACAGGAATATTTGCATAACCTCTTGAATTGAATAGTAGTATTTAATTAATCTTGGATTGAGTAATATTTGTTTAATTTCTTGAACCTAACTACTAATAAACAGTACCAATTGATAAAGCTCTTGATTAGAACAGAACAACTTAATGTAACTCTTGGATTGAAGAGTAATATTTGATTAAACTCTTGGACGATCAGTTCTACTAAATAAGTAATTAAACTCTTGGATGATCAGTTCTACTAAATAAGTACTAATAAACTCATGGATTGAACAGTAATATTTAATTAAACTCTTAGTTTGGTCAGTTCTACTAAATAAGTACTAGTAAACTCTTGGATTGAACAGTAATATTTAATTAAAGTCTTGGTTTGGTCAGTTCTAATAAATAAGTACTAGTAAACTCATGGATTGAACAGTAATATTTAATTAAACTCTTGGTTTATGAGTTTTACTAAATAAGTACTAGTAAACTCATGGATTGAACAGTAATATTTAATTAAACTCTTGGTTGATGAGTTCTACTAAATAAGTACTAGTAAACTCATGGATTGAACAGTAATATTGAATTAAACTCTTAGTTTGGTTAGTTCTACTAAATAAGTACTAGTAAACTCTTGGATTGAACAGTAATATTTAATTAAAGTCTTGGTTTGGTCAGTTCTAATAAATAAGTACTAGTAAACTCATGGCTTGAACAGTAATATTCAATTAAACTTTTGGTTGATGAGTTCTACTAAATAAGTACTAGTAAACTCATGGCTTGAACAGTAATATTTAATTAAACTTTTGGTTGATGAGTTCTACTAAATAAGTACTAGTAAACTCGTGGCTTGAACAGTAATATTTAATTAAACTTTTGGTTTGGTCAGTTCTACTAAATAAGTACTAGTAAACTCATGGATTGAACAGTAATATTTAATTAATCAGAGCATGGTACCAGCGAGTGAGTCCCAATATGTCAGAATATACTTTAAAACCCAATATAACTGAAATTTTAGCTTTTGACTTGAACATTTACTCAACATCAAAATGTGCTTTTAAATGGAATTCTATGCATATAGACTTAGATCTGGATCTAGTCATTAGTGACTACTGAGGTAATTTCGAACAATTCAAACATTGCTTTACTCCATATTCATATTGGCTTTTGGAGGTGGGTTGATATCATCATTAAAGGGACAAATAAGAAGATGGCGATTTCTGGACCCTGTCTGTGTAAAAGCTTTACCACATTTTGGACAAGTGCAACGCTTATTCAAATGAATGATATTGATATGTTGGCGTAGATTTCTTCGGATCATCAACTTGCCACACTGATTGCATGCTACCTTCTCAAAACCATAGTCATAGACCTAGAAATATAAAACATTGGTTTTCACTCAAAGTTTTTTTTATTGAATTCAAAATTATTACAACATATCTTCATAAAAAAAAAACATAATTCATTGTTTAATGCAAAAAAAATATTTTTCAATATTTATATCAGACTCAGAATGAAGAGTTGGAAATAGAGCTAACATTGAAAACATTTTTAAGTCAACTGTGTTGGAGAAGTTATTATTACATAAAGTTTATATATAAAGGCTTACTTCTTCCTTTCACGTTAATAGCAACAGAATAGCTGACTTTACAAAAGCAAAAACCCAAACATTGTTGAACACTAGGAGAAAGAATAAATTAAGAAGTCCAGTTTTTATGAGGCTGGAATTTTCTTTAAGTATGTTTGATTTATTAAACCTATAGATATATATATTTATATATATTTGGACACAGAAATATCATAATACATCTAAAAGTTTGCTTAAACAGCTAGTAGAGTTGACATTCAGTTATAGCATCCACACTATTGCAACATTCTCTGAAATATTATCAATTACAAAACTACTGTTAACAATATGTTTAGGACACAGAGGAATATAGTTGTTTAAATATGTTCTTTACCAGCTTACAGAGCTGAATTCAGCTGTCTATATCAAAGCAATTACAAAACTCTCTGAAATATGTTCTACTCACAAAACTACCCATATTTATATATATTAAAGTTTGGTTCGAGTGGAATATAGGTGATGAAATATGTTCTTTACCAGCTTACAGTGCTGAATTCAGCTGTCTATATCAAAGCAATTACAAAACTCTCTGAAATATGTTCTACTCATAAAACTACTCATATTTATATATATTAAAGTTTGGTTCGAGTGGAATATAGTTGAAATATTTTCTTTACAAGCTGACAGAGCTGAATTCTGCTGTCTATATCAAAGCAATCAGAAAACTCTCTGAAATATGCCCTACTCACAAAATTACCTATATATATTTAAGTTTGGTCAGAGTGGAATATAGATGATGAAATATTTTCGTTACCAGCTGATAGAGCTAGGATTTCAAATGAAAATAAAAGTAAAAAATATAATCAAAATGCATTGTTTTTGATGCATATATTGAAATATTTTTATTTTGTAAAACTAATGGAAAATACAAAATCAATTATCGGGCTTGGAAATCTTTCAAAAACTATAATAGTGTAAATAAGTCTTACAATCATCATGCAAATTTGTAGTCTTGATTATCTTAATATCCAGTTTTCATAGTCAAATGTGTCTTGTGTATCATAAATTTGTCAAAAGCTTTTTTTTTGTTTTACATACAAAATATTATTATTTTAATTCAAATTCACTTTGTTTACACAGCACCTCAATTCTTAAGATTTCTGTTTAACCTATTGATTTGTCAACACAAAAATAACCTCATTTAAAACCTAAAAACAAGAAACAGTTTAACTTATAACAAATTCAAAGTGCTAAAGACTAACATATGAAAATTATGAAAGTGCTTAAGGCCAACATAATGATAAATCATGAAAGTGCAAAAAATCAATCAAATAATGCAAAAAGTGCATATCTAGTGCATTCTAATGATGAACAATCTGTTATTGATTAAATGTTAAAGAACAAACTTTGTAAAATATAAGCCCTCAAAGAAGGAAATCCACCCAAAAGAAGAAATGTAATATCAAAGGTAAAGTTGCATACATCTTAAAGCCATTACAGTGATTTTGCAACTTTCTATAGCACTTCATAAAGTATAAACCTTTCACATCAACTTATTTGGGAAGAATTTTGTTTGGCACTGTAGTTATTTTCCATTGGGGCGCTAGAGTCTGACTTCTTTGTACAACCTACAATGTGACGATTTAGTGAACCAGTTTGTGTAAAAGTCTTTAAACATATTGGACACATAACTCTTCTATTGAAATGCTGTTCTTTGATATGCCGATTAAGATTTCTTCTATGAGCAATAAGCTTGCCACACATTGGACATCCCAGTTTACTTGTGACCTACAAAATATAGTAGATTGGCTTTAATTTTATCGAGCTGATCAAATATTGGAAGATATTATTCATATTCAAGAGTGTAAGCTTAATAAAGACAGAGACATGCACCATTAGCCCTATTCCTTAAAAATAGAAATTCTACTTTAAAGTCAATTAACAGTCAAATATTGCCTTATGTTAAAATTAGAATCAGCAATTATACTGTTAACAATACAACTATTACACCTCTAGATTTCCTTCCTTGACGCTTTTTAGAAACACAATTATTGTGTGAACTTTTCAGGCAAACAAGATTGTGAAAGTTCATATAAACCAGATCATGAAATTTTGAAAACACAAAATAAAGATATGTAGGGTAAACAATCATGAAATTTAAAGTCAACAAGATTATGAAACTTTGATAAACAAAATTATGAAATATGGGAGGATAATGGATAATTAAGAACATAAAATCTATAGCAGAAGAGATCATGAAATTTAACATAAAAATTATCTGCATGGAATGAGTAGTTAATTTCAATTCTAATGGACTTACATATACATCTTTCTCTTAAATTGATATTCAAAACTGTAGAAAACCAAGTTTTAAAATTTTCTGGCAGAATTGTGCTAAATATTATTGTATGTTACAGATGTAAGCTAGTTTCAGTTATAAGTTGGATAAGTTGCCAAGTGGATATGTATATAAAATATATATTCCAGTACCAACTCAACATAACTTGATGTGGTGACAAAGATCAGACACCTAAATCAGGTTGAACTGACAAGCCGCAATTAGTTTTAAGCTGATGTCTTTTGAGCGATCTGTTTCTGGAATATGAGGCATTACAAACATGACAAATATAACGCAACTTCAGATGTTTTTCACGAATATGAGATAACACAGTTTTTCTATGGGATAACACATCTCCGCAAACAGGGCACAAGAATTTCTGATTGCCAACTTCTACTATTACCTACAATGAATGAAAAAAATATTGTCAGTTCCTTTTCGATTCCAAATGAAAATTTTGAAAAGAAAAAAGTCATGAATGAGTACGAAAGTTTCAACAATATTCCAGAAAAATTGATGGTACGAAAAATACTTTAAAAATTCAACATTGGTCTCCATAGATCATTGGTGGGAACGCAATATAGCATGTTACAAACTGAAGAAATGACAAAAGTTTTAGATTTCCAATTGTCAAGAGACCATGGTTTACTGTCTTAAGTGCTTTTACTTTGTCAGACCTGTCTATCTTGAATCAGCAACTGAGTGAAACTGGAATTGACAAATACAAAGGTGTCTGAAATAGAGTCTCACATCACATTTTGGCAGGTTGGCAACCTCAAATTAGAAAATTGTGCTAGGACCGGACAGCCATGCCTACTTATTACGGTACAATTTGTAAGTTTGAATTCTATTCCATCACAAAATATTTATGCAAGTGCTTAGTCTACTACTGGTCATAAAATTAGGATTTTTAAAAAATGTGTACTTAGACTCTGACCATTGCCCTTGTGCTATCCATTCCATCTGTAAAAAAACTCTGCTTTTGTGCAGAATACTCATATAAGATAAGACATCAATTCAATTTATTATGGAATCAATAAGTTACATTCAAAACACAATTTTACATACATAATCTCTTATAGGATACAAGATGCAATGCCTTCTCTATTCAATAATCAAGCAGGAATGTGCTATGCTATGGGCAGCTGAAAATGACCTCTATCCGTAACATGCAAATATTTAGACCCCTGTATCTCTTAAGAACTGAAGTTTATATCCTTATGCAAACCATATACATTGTTTAAATTATGACTATATGAACATGAAAAATAACAAATATTTGTAAGTGTAAGTACAAATTATTAAGTACAAATCATCTGAACTGCAAAACAAAACCCGAAATCCATAACAACATTTTGGCAAAACATTTGTAGCAACCTGTGAACTTTTCACATGAGAATAGAGTAGAAGTATTTGATAATGAAAAGTGGTATCAGGTTTCTAGAAGAGTAAGCATATATCATTTAATAATTGTATAGTAAGCTTAATATGTCTTAGAATTTTTGATTTTCCTCTGTTTTAAGATCTGCCTTATTTGCTTCAGAGACAGAATCTTGACTGGTGTAAATGCCTTGAGAGAGTATGTTTTTCGTTGGGGATGTTGATGAAGCAACAACATTTACATCCTTTTCAATATCAGGCTCTTTACTAAATACCCCAAGTGAATCCATAGATTCAAGGTAAAGCCTGCTTGTCATTTGTAAGGAATTTCTTGATGAAGGACTCATCCTGGGGCCTCGCAAAACTGTGCTTTGAGTCACCACGGATCCCATGCTTAAATCGTGAGTCACATGACTAGATAAGTGTCTTTGAAGGTGGTACTTTCGACTAAAGGCACGTTTACAAACGCTACAGATGAATTTATCTTGTCTATGTTTATCATTCATATGACTGTACAGACTATTTTTATTATGGTAAACCACCCCACAATACCGGCATTCATACACATTCATCTGTGAGTTGCTCTTCAAGCCAAAGAAGGACACCTAAAATCAAACAATGGAAGTACTTTAGTTTCAAACTTGAACATGGGCAGGAGGTCAGAACCTCCATGAAAATTAGGTACATGCAAGCATAATTATAATGAAGTCCTTTAAAACTAGTACTGGTTAATTTACAATCATAATGAAGTCTGTTAGAACTAGTACTGGTTTATTAACAATGGTATAGAATGGTTATGGTTATAGAAAATTGCCATTGGATTAATTAAAGTTTGCTAGCTTATTGGACATGATTGCACGAATTCAACTAGTACTGGTTTATTAACAATCATAATGAAGTTCCATAAAACTAGTACTAGTTTATACATAATCATAATGAAGTCCTTTTAAAACTCGTACTGGTTTATTTGCAATCTAAATGAGGTTCTATAAACCTACTACTGGTTTATTAACAATCGTAATGAAGTCCTTAACAGAAAATTGTCATTGGGTTAGTTACAGCTTGGTGGCTATTTGGACACAATTGATCAAAATAAAACTAGTACTGGTTTATTGACTATCACAATGAAGTCCTTTAAAACTAGTACTGGTATATTAATAATCATTATGAAGTCCTTTTAAACTAGTACTGGTTTATTTACAAAAATAATGAAGTCCTTTAAAACTAGTACTGGTATATCAATAATCATTATGAAGTCCTTTTAAACTAGTACTGGTATATAAATAATAATTATGAAGTCCTTTAAAACTAGTACTGGTATATTAATAATCATTATGAAGTCCTTTTAAACTAGTACTGGTATATTAATAATCATTATGAAGTCCTTTTAAACTAGTACTGGATTATTTACAAAAATAATGAAGTCCTTAAACAATAACGATTTATTTATAATCAAAATGAAGTCCTGTAAAACTAGTACTGATTTATTTACATAACTGTACATGGCACAATAATGAATAGATGTTACATGAAACTATAATTACATTAAATTATCTCAATATACTGATATATTGTATTGGATTTCACACCGTAAAGCATAATGATAATTAAAATTCATATAGCAATTTTACTTTCAATTGGTATAGAATCCAATCTTCCATTAAACTAAGGCTATGTTTTTGATTAAAAGAGGTGTACTGAAATGAATTTTAACATGATTTCCAGAGTTTAATAGTCTGGATTTTTTTGGGTTGTTGGGTCTTTGTCTATTCACATTTCTTCCTGATAAGTACAACAAGATCCACATTAATCTTGAATATTAAGTAGTGATAGTGAGACAGCATATGCTTTCTCTTCTGGAACACTTGATACCACTCTGTGATGGTGTTTTTCAACACTACATCTATTAACAATCCACATAGTTAATAATGTTTATTTGGTTTATATCTATTACTAAGTACAACACATGGGTTTAAAATGGTATTATTTTTGGGCATGTTTTCTATGGAAGCCTTAGTCTATACTAATACAACAGAGCTACTGATTGTGGGAAGAGTCTTTACTCTCATAGAACAGAGCTACTGCTGGTGGGAGGAGTCTGTACACTAATACAACAGAGCTACTGCTTGTGGGAGGAGTCTTTACTCTAATACAACAAAGCTATTGCTTGTGGGAGGAGTCTTTACCCTAATACAACAGAGCTACTGCTTGTGGGAGGAGTCATTTCTCTGATACAACAGAGCTACTGCTTGTGGGAGGAGTCTTTACTCTAATACAACAGAGCTACAGCTTGTGGGAGGAGTCTGTGTTAAATTTGGATCCAGACTGGGATCGCCAACAAATTCAGCATGGGATCTTTTAAAGTGTCTTTGCATATCGTATTTCCGACTAAATGGATGGTGACACACGCTGCACACAAATTTTTCCAGCTTATGTTTATCACTGATATGGCTATAGAGACTGTTCTTATTGTAATATATAACTTCACAGTAAGGGCATTGCTTTCTATAACTACTACTCTTCAGCACAGTCTTCCAATCAAATAACACCTACAATCAGACAAGGGTACTACTTTAGAATCTTATAATCAACAAAACATAGTATATACACAAGATATTTAATAACAAAATAAAACTGATATTTCAATCAATTCACAGAAAAATAAAGCAAAAAAGTATTCAAATATGGGTTTCCCTATTGTTTAGTGTCAAATTAAGCAAACTTTTTGATTAATTGGTGTTTTTAATGAATTAACATGTACTTTTCATCATATCATTATGTTCTTATTGCATATAATATAAAGTTTTAACCAATCATAAATGTCTGTGTATGTACAGTCTGGATAAACTAAAAAAAGACTTTTTGACCTTTCTTGATAGGTCACTCGGTCTATCCTGGTAATTCCCTTCTAATTGAGCTAATTATGAACATGTGGGACAAATTGGTATTTTTCCAAGTCATTAGAAGAACTCTTCTTTCTATTCATATCAGTATTAGCATTTTAATTTTCATAAATGAAAATAAGGGAACCCATCTTTAAATCATATCAATTAAAATCTGTACAAGCAAGACCATTACATTCATCAAAATCTCGTCCAAAGTAGTTAAAGTAGTGGACTCCTCTAAAGAGAAGTACCATCAGGTGTAAGGTCAACAGATTGATATATACCTGACAAAAACCAATCATCCAAGATGCAAGAAACAAATTTGTCAAATTATTGCCATATATGTACATGTAATTTAGCCAGTGGCACAATCCAACCAAAGATATGTTCAAGTCCATATCATATATTCCTTTGAGGTTTCAAAAGGGTACCTAGGATGCATATATTGCTTAAGACTTCATCCATACTAATTCAAATAGAAAATGTGTTAAAAATGGAAGATTTGAGAGTAAAAAAATATAGCAGGATATTGAGACCAGTATGTCTATCAATTGTCTGTTTTCGATAACAGGGACATATCCCAATTGGGGACATATGCACTTTTCTTTGGGAACATTGGATTTGTCGCAGGCTACGAAATTTTTTTTATCCAACTACAATACATACAAAATCTCATTCAACTACACAATATTCAGCCTTGGTTAACACTGGCTCATGAGTAATCAGCCAATTATAGGCAGCATACCACCAGAGACCAAGTCTGGTATCCAATCCTAGTTTATCTTTCAATATAAGGAGGCCATCGCTGTAATGCTGATAAAATTTGAGGACATATTAAAGAAGAAGAGTTTGAAAACCACTGTTATATATTAGGACAAGGCTATATAAATTCCAATACTGGTATTTATCATGGTGTAATCGCCAGCCCATATAACTACGTTTCTTTCTGCTTAACAAAATTTTACTCTGATTCAAACTCAATGGAAGGCTGTATTTCAGATTCTTCCATATCAATAAGGGAAATAAAATCAACATCTTTGTGAGTCTTGTAGTGTCTTTTACGATCAAATTTTCTCTTAAAACATCTGCCACAGTAGGGGCAGGGAAAGTTATTCCTGGAATCATGCTTGTCTCCAATGTGGCGCCATAGACTCCGTTTAAATTGATAGACTGCATCACAATACGAACATACATGTACCTACAAACAAATATTGAAATGGATCAGTGTTTATTCAGTAAGAAGCATTACATGTTCAATGACAATTAGATGTTATAACTACAAACAACATTTTCAATATTAATAACAACATAAAAAAAATCTTAATTAGCACTTTATATTATTCTGCCTTATTCATTATTCAAAAAATATTATCATAGACTTTGAAGATCTTTCAAAAGTATTGTCCTTTGTCTTCAAGCACATGTGCCACTCACATCATATTCAAATTTAACCATATTTGGACTCGAATCTTGCTCTTGCCCATGCTTCCAAGATTTTTGCATTCCCAACTTAATTATATTTATAATATGAAACGAGTTTGATAATTGTCTTCATGATTTTATCGTCTGCAAGACAGACCATCATCATCAATTGCATGATCTGCTTGTGATTATTGACATAGTGGAAAACGACTGACTGGAGATATTTGTCTCAACGTGTGCCTGCAGATGGTTGGTGAAACTCTGCCGACAAAAATCGCTGAACAAGACCTTTCGTGTGTCAGCACCTTTAGTTTTCACAAATGGCACTAAATGCATTAAAAACACTCCAAAACTACTGCACATTCAAATAACCTCTTAACAAACATTGAACCACTGTCCAAAGGCAGTATATTATAAATACTTTCAAAACATTAAAAGTCCCCAAAAGTAAATCCAAGGAACATCTTGACCATCATTATATCTTATTATCACTGCCCAATAAAGTGTATAGGCTTAAAATATCTGGCTCAAAATTGTTGACTAGAAATAACAAAAGGTCAGAAGATAAAAACTAATAGATTCGATTTTTCTGACTTTATCATCAAGCACTGACAAAAGATGAAAAAATAAAGAACACAACAACAACATGGATCAAAAGATCATTTGACTAGATAAAATCATGAAATCTCCAAGTGAGATTTGGAGTTCCTTATCATAACAAACAACCAAGATATAAAGGACTAGATTTGATTCTAAGCAAGTTTAAAAGCATATAAACTCTTAACATGGAGTATTTTAGATAAAGAGTGAGGAAGTTCATTATAACTCCTGTCTTTCAAATTTCAGATCTGCTTCTTGAAAGATGTATAGAGTTATAAAGATTAAGTATGATTCACCATTTTCAGGGTTTGATTTGGTCTTGAATATATGTATATAGTCTTCAGAAGAACTAGAAATGCATGAAAATCACAAAATTCCTTCAGATATACCATCTTCTATTTCTATACATTGCGAAAAGACGAGTTGTCATTTTAACTTTCAAACACAAATAATTCTGTACACACATTTAAAAGCTCAAATATCAAGGTGAGCTATGAACATTATTACTGATAAGCTCAGCTAAAAAATTCCTGTTTCTGTGACTAGGGTACGATTGGACAAAATGATGTCCCTTAGACACAGATCAGTGTAATATAAACTTTATGCTACACAAGTAGGACTAGAATTTAAAATCCAATAAATTAATGTAATATTAGTATTAATGTGGTGTAATGTGTGTCATGAGCACTTGATGCCACTCTACGACTTGTTATCAACATGTTAATCATGTCTATTTAGTATATATTTAAACTAAAACTGCATCAAATTGATGTCCAATTGGACTGGATCAAATTTAATTGTTTCATCTTTCTGGTTGTATTCTGAACTGGAATGATATTTTACATGAATTTGTGAATGTCTTTCGAGATGATATTTCCTATTAAATCCTCTATTACAGACAACACAAACAAATTTCCCTTTATTTAAGTGGCGGTCTTCAGTATGCCTTTTCAAACTTCTTGGGTTATTGTAGGAGGCACCACAGATATTACAAACACGCTTCTGAGGAAACATCACCTAAAAGCAGAATATTGGAAGTCGGTTTATTGTCAAATTGTTACTTAATTCATTTTGGGGAAAGTTTTTCCATGCAAAAATAGAATTTTTTCACAGCGATTCTATTTGAAATGAAACGAAAAGAAAAATACAACTCTTTTATTTAACATAAAAAACAAAACGAAAATCACAACAGTTTTTATTCTTAGCAGATTTATTAACAGAAGTTTTAATTCCTGATTTGAATTTTAGACTCAATTAACTTCATAAATAGTCCATTATTGAAGCAGAAACGAGCAGCAAACTATTGGATATATTATATATATAACATAATATTGAATTCAAGAACACCATGGAAATCAATTCCCAGGAATATAATTCCAAAAAACTAGATATACACCAAATTTGTATCCCAACGCAGATATAACTAAGCCCACAAATATATATATAGATATTGATTGCAATTGAATATTTTGATTTAACTAAATATGCTCTTTAAAAAGAATGAAAAATGCGCAAACTTTTCAATGACAAATCTTCATGCCTCCTCATCAATTTTATGTTAAGTCATTCTTGGATTTTTCATCAACATCAATAGAGATCTTCAGACTATGTGAATGTCGCTCTACAATTAACGTATTGAGCACTATTTTAACATTGGTATTTCTATACAGCTCTACAATTGATGTATTGAGCACTATTTTAACAGTGAAAATATTTTATTATTGTATTATATAATATAGATATTTATAAATGTACCCTGTAAAACCACTTTTAACTTATATATTTACATGAAGATATTTTTATCTGACACCAATGTTCTTGGCAAATGCATTTGAGAATGTCTATTGAGGTGGTATTTTCTCGAGAATCTTTTTCCACAGACAGTACAAGGGAATTTCATGTTATTTACATGTTTATCTTGAACATGATTATAAAGACCTCTCTTGGTTGGATAAATCACACCACATTGATTACAGGTAAAATCAAAACAACTCCTATTGACCTACAATAATAAAATAAGTATTCTTAACATTATGCAAAAAAAAAAAAAAACGGCTACATTTACTGTGGTTTAGGGGTTTTGTTCAGTTGGTACTGGACAAATTCTCAAAAGAAATGACAATGCAAATTTAAATGTAATTTAGCTTATATTCATGACAGGCTTATGTGTTCAATTTTCACTGGTTTAAATTTTTTTGGGTTTAGTTTGAGCTATACGAACAGAATTATTTTAAAGTAAAATAAAATATTTTCAATCTTCAAAATCACATGATGTCACTCTGCAACTGGGCTTATAATAGCCACACTCTATCCTTCGAACCACACATTTATCAAATTGACATTTATAGCAAAATCCACCTAATGTTTATTTTTACACTTTCAATTATGTTTTGTGTTTCAAAATGAATTTAATTCCCATATCTCCCATTATGACTAGGCAGGCTTAAATATTCCCTTCTGAAATGTTCAAATGATAATTTAAAACGCCAAGAACAGCAGGTGCAAGGGACAAGGTGACCCAATAATAAGTTTATATATACTCTATTGTATGGTTACACTTTTTCTTCTCTTTAGTTATTTTCCATTCTTCCTCTTTAGTTAATTACAACATATTTAATACTGGACTTATCAATTCTTTTTAATATATCACTTAGGCAATGCTGAGGATGATGCCAACAGTATGGTGTCTGTGTCTAATGCATGAGCATAATGATATTTACAATATATATATATCTACATTACTGTAGCAGTATACATATAAACACATCAATAAATCCACATAAACAAGATTAACAGATGAATATATACACAGATTAAAATAGATTAGAATAATTGGTGATAGTCATTATAATAAGTGAAAAAGTAAAATTGTTGGTTAAATGACAGTTGATCTCTCTTTTGCTTAACATCATGATAATACTGGTATAATATATAGACCTTCTCTCAAGGGGAAATTGAGAGCAAATTTCACAGGTGGTTGAAAAAAAATAAATCAACAGCCCTGTAACACAGCCAGTCTTCCATTGTTGGCCAAGTATCAACATTGAGACTACGGTGATGAGTCAATATCTACCAATATGAACTTTTGTACTTCATCAATATTATAATTGAAAAGGGATATGAATCACTATTAAAACAATTATGTTTTAAAATAGTCCAAAATAAATAGAAGGATCATTATCTTGTGACAATATTTATTATAAATCAATAAAATAAAATGACAATATAATTTGAATAAACAAAAGAGCAAATAATTCAGTATAGGTATAAACAAAAACATAAGTACCTCGTACAAGCAAACCCTTTCAAAGTGACAAATTCAAAAATCCTTTTCTTAAGAATAAGACATGATGAATTAGAAATGGCCAAAATGACCCATCGAAAATGGAAAAATTGCAAAATTACCCTAGTAATATAACCTTATAAACTCAATTCACATGAAATTAAAAAAATTTGTGTATTAATTCATTTGATCAACTTCTGAAAGAAGATGTTCATAATCTCTGCCCAACCTCAACACATGAGAAGTTACATGACGCCTCAAGTGATATTTTCTAGAAAATGTTTTCAGGCAAAATCTACATGAATATTTATTGAAGTCCCTGTGTTTATCGCGAATGTGATAGCTTAAACTATTGGCATTTGAGTATTGGGCACCACAGTCAGGACAGCTCTTCTTCTCAAGTAAACTAAACTGACTGGATACCTACAATCAAACAAAGTATAAAGTAAGTTTGTAGCTTAAAGCTATTTATGAAATTACAAAAACTTCAAGAAACTGATACAAAATTTGTGTGCACTTTTCAACTTTTGTTAAGGGCTGATTATATTTTTTTTATTACATGTTAGCTTTAATATTTTGAAATACTGCCCTAAAACAATTTTAAAATTAAATGTACCTATAGATATTCAAAAATAATGAAGTAGAATTATGTTATAAAAGTATAATAATATTTGCCTTCTGGATAGTTTTTCTAAATACAGGTTAGCTTTAATATGTATAAATTACTGGCCTATATCAAATCATAACCACTAAAACATTTTGATTTATACATAACATAAAGATGTACCCATAGATCGTCAGATATTCAAAAATAATGAAGTAGAAATATATTAAAGCTTTAGATTCAAACCCTAACAAATCTTAACAACAAAAACTGCATTTAAATACATTACACAAAGGTTTACCCATAATGGCATAAAATTTCAAATATTGATAAAAATAATGAAGTAGAAATATGTCATTAATATAAAAGTATAATCATTTTTGAATTCTTTTATAAAGATCTGATTAGTTTTTCTCATTACATGATAGCTTTAAAAAAATTAAATTACTGACCAATGAGTCTTAATCACAATAAAATTTACAGTCACATTAAGATGTGCTGTTCTTGGCATAAAACTTTAGACATTTAAAAATAATGAAGAAGGAATATGTAATAATAATATAATAATATCAGTCACTTTTGTTAAGGGCTGTTTTTTTTTTTCTTTTCATGTTAGCTTTAAAATTTTCAAATTTTCAAATTATCTCTAAAAAAATTTTATATTTACTTCATGGTATAGACTACTGACATTCAAAAATAATGAAGTAGAATATATGTAATAATGTATTTGCCAAAATTTTGAAAGGGGCAATTACCTTTTCTCATTTTATGATAGCTTTAAAATTTTCAAATTACTGACCAACAAATTAACCTTGAAATTTGGATTATTCATGATTTATCCATAGAACTTCAGATATTCAAAAACAATGAACAAGAAATATGTAATGATAATAAAATAAAGGGCTAAATATTTTTTTCTCATATCATATAAAATTCTTTTTTAAATTATTGACCCAAACTTTAAAAAGTTTATAAATAAGCTTACCCTTATTGGGAGAGATTTTGATATTTTGAAAAATAATGAAGTAGACATGTTTTATAATGAAGAACCAGGTATATACATTGTAGTTAAAAAATACACATATATGGTAACTGGAAGCTACTGTTAAACTTTGGCCCTCATTTTACGACTAGGTATTGATTCAAGAGGTAGATACAAAACTTAGACGACAAAAAATTTTACAAAGGATATGAACACTTTTTTCTTAGCACTGTATAAGTAATATATTTACATGTAACAAACAGCTGGTATTGCTCACATGGTTAAGAGATGACTGCAATGTCAACAAGAGAATGCATATCAAGGGGGACTTATTGTGTTGATAAATTTGAATTACTTATATGAACTAGTTATATTAATTGGCGAATTGAACACAAAATTATTGGTTTTCTTCATAATACTACATATAATATCAAGAACTAAATATCATTAAAAAAAAAACTCATTTTTGTAGTGCACAAGAGACTAAATAAATTTGGTAATTGGTAAAATCAAATGTCCAATTGAACAAGAAATTATTGGTTTTGTTAAATGGTTACGTATGACTACTTATTTAATATCAAATACTAATATCATTGAACCATATTGCATTGCTTGTTTTTCAAATTGTTATTATTTTTTTCACAAATTTCATAAACAAATACTAACAGTTCCTGAAAAACTAAAGAGTAGAAGAAATCTCAGAAACAACAAGTTAAAGGGGACAAACCAAAATTTTGGTTCAGGGCATGCGATGATTTACTTTTTCCTGATTTTAAAATTTTTGGCATAAATACAGTACAGTCACTTGGAATTCACTATCAAACCGAGTGTGCTGAAAATTTTACTATATTCACTATATAAATATTCTGAACACAACGAACAATTTTATTACCGTACTTAACACAATAAAAAAACACTTCTAAAAAAAATATCAAAGTTTTGGATGAGGTATTTCTTGAATATCTGGTATTGCTCTCCTTTTTAAAATCAAAACATAAAAAAAAAATTTATCTACTAATATAACAATCCTATGACTAATAAATGCAATAATATATTCTATGGATAAATGTACATTTTTAACAGTTAACTTGTGCTTATATCATATATATATATATCAACCCGTTGAATTGATGTTATTTCTGTTAATGCCCAGGAACTTGCAAAAAAAAAATATTGTTGTATTTTGTTGACGAGAAGTTGTTAACACTAATTCATGATACAGAAGAAGAAGAAAAAAATTTCAGCGCTTTCTTAGTACTTCCATTGTCCAAAATATATTTTAATAGTACTGCATGTTAATTTATGACTATGTGCTTGACAGTTTCCCTGCAAATTCAGACTGTTTAAAAATTCTGCTGATGTTTTGTGACAGAAAGCTTAAATGCAAAATGGATAGTCAGAAGTCATAAAATTTTCCAATTCTGATGAATACAACATTAGACTTTAAGTTTCGATAATTCAAGGCAATGGATATTGTCAGAAAATTTCCTATTTTCAATTTCCCATTTTTGATGGACACAACATTGGACTTCAAGCTTCAAAGCAATGGATACTGTCAGAAAGTTTCCCATTTCTGATGGACACAACATTGGACTTAAGGCTTCGACACTTCAAAGCAATGGTTCTTGTCAGAAAATTTCCATTTCCAATTTTCCATTTCTGATGGACACAACATTAGACTTTAAGCTTCAAAGCAATGGATCTTGTCAGAAAATTAACTTATTCCAATTTCCCATTCCTGATGGACACAACATTGGACACTTCAAAGCAGCTGACAGCTTTAAGAGATTGCAAAATGGATCCTGTCAAATGCACACAATTTTATTGAGGTAGCATTCCTACAAAATCATGATGAGTCGTCCTCATATGTTTGTTCAGATAATATTTCCTGGAGAAGGTCTTGGAACAGATACCGCAGACAAAACCACCCTTATTAATGTGTTTATCTCTAATATGATGATACAAACTTATCTCTTTAGCATACACTGCATCACAGTATTGGCAACTATGGCTCTTCCACATATCCATGGACATCTAAAAACAGACAATAAGGTTTCTTTTAGATATTTTATTTCATAAAAGTGTCATAATCAACATTCAAAACAATCAAGAGACCACTGTAAATGGTCATAAAATGTAGGAAACTTAAAAAATTGCTTATATACAAAAATTATGTCAATATTTGCAGCTTATCCACAAAAGAGATGAGTATATGAGTTTATTTATCATTACCATAGCAACTTATGTTTACTATCAATATCAGCTGCTAGTTGGAATCTATTCAGGACTATGTTATAACATAAAATTATGTTTATTTAGTTTGACAAATAATTACACTTATCAAATGGATACTGCTTTATGTTCTTATCAAAACAAGCTTTTAATGTACAATTTATCTCCCTTGTGAGAGTTGAATAAAGAGCCAATCAAATGCCACAAAGGGCATCTGCAATGGCCGACTAGTAGTTACAGCCACAATGTCCACTGTTTTTCTGTCAAGGCATTGTGAAGATGAAAGCAGGCATCAACAGAATATGCCAACAAGACAAATTTCATGAACAAATTGTTAGCCATTATCTATAAGGATGAGCTTGCCATTCATTTCTATCAGTTGCTCTATCAAACACACATAATCATGTGAAATGTCTGAGCAATAGGTGTAGCAACAAGCATCCCATGATCCTAACGTTATGCTTTAAGTTAGTTATATAATTGGAGATTCAATGGCAACCATTGTTACCAACATGGCTGAACAAGTGTGATATTGCTTAAAGCCAAATGCATTTCAATATATCCCCACTCTTTTCCTCAATAATTGTCACCAACCCTTTAATAATGTGTAGACAAAAGTCTTTTAAGTTGGTACTTAGATTTGGACCTCTCTAAACAAATTACACATGTATGCAAACTGATAGACATGTTTCTCTTTAATGTGCTTATCAGGATTGCCTTGGTAAGAGAGTTGTACTCAACAGAAGCAAAACTCTTCAGAAAGGAGATTGAATGAGGGAAGATAACTTATTCAAGGTCACATCAAACAAATGCTGGTTTGAATAACTGAGATTAGAACCTTCGACCACCATTTGTTTGATGTAACCAAGCAATTGATGTGATGTAGATTCCAATGCTCAAACAGACTTTGCTTCAGCCAATGCAGAAAGACAAACTGTCTTTCACTGTTGAAGAACAGACTCTAAAATCTCCTGGGCACTGAAATTCCTGCAGTATTTTTAAGTGTTCTTCAACAATGTCAAGTAATAATTCTTAGGTTTTACAACTTAATTTAATTCTTTTGTTTATCTGTATTAATAATTTGTGATTCAATTTAATAAAGGTTTGTAGTTGATTGATGCTTTTTTGATACACAAGCCCACAAATTAGACATTGAAAGCCCACTTCCGACCCTTCTGTTCTGATAATGAATTTAATGTTAAAAGCATAACATTGCTATGGATCATTGATGTCTGCTCTGTTTAATGAAATAGCAGTCTATACATCTTTAAAATGCTGGTTCAGAACAATTAAAGGGATTGTAAAGAAATTTCCCATTTTTTTTATGTGTGTCAGGGACACTGACAGCATCAATTTGCACCATTCAAATGTGTATGTTTGTCTTGCAACACCATTAATACTAAGCGCTTGATGACATTGCTATTTGCGAATGGCCTTATGTGTTAAAGCAAATTTCGTAATTAGTTAAGTCAACAAACACCCAGTTCGAATGGAATTGCAGGAATCACAGACATCTGAAAATTGGAATGATGCAAATTGATGCTATCAGTGTTCCTGATACGCATAAAAATTTATGTTAACTACTCAAGACCAATGATTTCTTGGAATGAGTTGCCATATGTCTGAGAGCTGTAAACTTGCGATTGAAAGCTTTACCACAGATGTGACAATCAAAAGTTTGAGCCTCATGCTTGTCTTTAATGTGCCGATTCAAACTTAAGCGTTTATCATAACTAACACCACAGTATGAACACTTATATTTCTTCCCTGTTTTTTTTCGAGTTTCAACAGTGTTTGTGGAATAGGTTGTCATTGTACCAGTAGATGCAATTGTAGTAGATGTAACCTACAAACAGATAATAAGTTGAATTTAGATGCGATGTTAACAGTCCAAAACCTGAATTTCATTCCTAATTTAGTTCCATCAATGCATGGAATAATTTAAAGATACCTTTGCCAATGATGGCATTTTCATCAGGACAAAAGTCAAAAGAGTTTGCAGGAAGAGTTATCAACTTTATAAATGGTAACATGGGGTATAGTTATCAACTTTATAAATGGTAACATGGGGTATAGTGTTTCACTTTTGTAGGTAAACCTCCTAAGAAGGACCAAGATTATAAATATTCAGGTCATTGAATTTCAAACTGGCCAATCAACACAAGGTTTTGTAATAAAACACACACAATGTGGAAAAATGGTTGTTTTAGTTAAAATTCACTGTCTTATATGAAGCTATTTCGCATCAAGTAAACCATGGTACCCATCTATTCACTGATGATTGATAAGGGTCCCTCACACAAGGATGAGCCACAAACCGCTTGTATACATCAAGTGTAAAGCTAAGACAAGGCAGTTTCTAATTCAGGATTATTGATAGCAGAAATTAGAAGTAAATTCTCAAGCCAGGGCGCAGACACGATTCAATTCTTCTAATCAATTTCCTACTGTATTGATAATCCTGCACTGATTCGTCTATTCCCACCTTTGGACAGATGAAATTGTGACTAAAATCAGAAGAACTTTCATAACCAATTATATATATCTCACAGGAGATAACCACCTAAGAAAAAGAACCAGTTTTTATCACATCTTATTCAACTTTTAATGAAATTTCAAATCTTTGTAAACATAAAAATTCAAAAGCAAAATTTGTTCTAAATGTAACAATTTAATACAATTATATAAATTTCATTCAATATTCAACATATAACAATATATGTAGATTTCTGCAACAAATGGCATAAAATTGATTGAAGTTTAATTAAGTATTTAAATAAGTATTAATTAATATGTGCCTGGTGATCTAACAACGGATCAAGGTTATATTTAAGCTTTAACTTTGTGCCAATACATCACGGTAACGCCAAAAAGGGACATATTTTTCGTATGAAAATTCTTTAGAGATGTAAGTGACCAATGAGTTCATTTCCGGTACTTTTGAGAAGCATATGCAGCACAGCGTTTCTGGAAGTCTTACGTCTCTGGTTCTTAACAGCAAATAGAAATTCAGCTTTCTGCAAATGCATTTGTGCTGGGTTGAACTTCAGCACAAGACATATCAAGAAGCAGTGCATAAACCTTACAGACTGAATGTCTTAATAAGTCACATCAAAAAAACTTTAAACCAAAAACAGGATAATGCCATAACCTATGGTTGTTTATTCATTAATTATGCGCATATGTTATATCCTAACCAAAATTCAGAAGAATGCAGTAATCAAATGAAGTAAATCAAAAGATATTTTAGTTGGCACATGTATGCTAAGTACCTTTTGGACTCCCAAAGTAACACCCTATCAATGTTATAATGCTTGCAGTACCTTCTCACACAACATAAGCAAAGGGAAAGGGGAAAAATACTGTAACCAAAACTAATGACCAGCTGTCTCTGAAGGGTTTGCTTATATATCCACAGGGCCTACTTATGATCATTGTTAAGTATACTTGTATTCATTGTCTACACAGTATTAATATCAAAATTTTCTCAGCTGTATAACAGTTGCCAATTGAGAGAGATATCCTCAGAAAGTAATTGCCATTTCCTGCACAGTATTATGTAAATTCAGATATATCTCTTCCAATCAGTTTTGCCATGAGGCAAAAGAGACCTATTGGTTCAGAAAGGTATTGTCACATCGTACGTATTCAAAATCTCATATCACAATTTGCTCAACTATGATTCAGTTCAGCTTTGCCACTCACAAAGAAACTAAGTATTTGAGTTGGTGTTAGTATTTGCTATGAACTTGAGTTACATGACGAATCAAATTAGCTTTACGATTAAAACTCGCACCACACAAATCACACTGTACATTACGGTTTTCATGTTTATCTTGAATGTGTCGATAGAGACTATTTCGTTTATCATACTTGGCACCACAGTGAGGACAACTCAGACCACCTGATTGTGCATCAAACTTAACCTATAACAGAAATAAGGCACTGATAAGCTAATAGTCCATGATAACATACACACAGGTGAAATCAAAGCATTATCATGTTTGTTATATGTATGTAAGAAAGAGTCTCTATCGATAAGATATTGGTTCTATTAGGCCCTAACATAATTTAATCACATTTCCAACAATGACCAAACTTCACCCAGACCCCCCTTTGCATCAATTGAACTGGAATGGCCTTGTTTTGTAAGTACTGGTATTGTATGATTGTTGTAGGTTAATTCAATCTTAACATGTCCACATTCATTCAATATCTTAGTGAGTGAGTGACTCAAAACACATGATACAAAGAATCCATTATATATTTCAAAGATATTGGTTTCAATACTATAGTAGGGTATTACAAACTATATAAACCATTTGCCCCAGAGTACAATTTAACTGTAAATATTGCCCTAAGAACCCTTGGAAAAATTCATTTGGCTGTCCAAGATGAACTTCGAAACACTTATCAAATACAAGTTCTGTTTAATCGGTATATATGGATACTAAGTAATAATCGGTACTATGTATTAAGTCGTGTTTGATTGGAATGTGTACAACTAAGTAAAACGGTCTTTTCAAGAGTAAAGTACATGTACAACAAAATCAGAAAAAAAACAACAGACCACAAAATTCATATCGCAGGATTCCATTTCAAAAACTTCATGTTATAGATTGTTTCATTGTTGTTGTTTATACTTCTCTGTTCGAGAATTTAAACCACTTTCTAAGTTGGCTTATGTTCCCAAACACAGAACTACAAAAATATTTCTAAGAGGGACAATGGCTGGGTTAGGACACTTACCTGTTTCTACTGAAAACTACCTGATTTAATTAAGTTTTTATTAATCAATTGTGACCTAGATCTCTAAAATTAGCCTCCTTCATACTTTTTAGGAGTTGAGTCGGGTGTTTGTCATTGACTATTTCAAAAGTGGGTTCTTTGGTCTATTATTTCGCGAAAATAGATTTCAGAAAAGGGGGTGTTTGATTGTCTCATATGAACAATTCATAATTAATATGCAAAATTCAGAACTACGTATTTGTTATCATCCAACCAATACAAAATAAACAGAAATGCTTCTTTAAGATCATGATTTTAAGCCAGTCAAATGAAACCCAATCAGTAATAATTACAATATCATTTTGAAATCAAGTAGTTTTCAGTATGGGAGAAATAGAATTGGCAATCAGGAACAATTTCAGATATTCCATTAAATAGAAGAGAACTTAATACAAGCTGTTCATTAAAATCATAAAAATGTCTGCTGAATATTCATGAAATGTTTTGCATATTGCTGTCATTTAGTTTTCTTCCATTTAATGTAATTACTGAAAAAATATCTGCCAACTCTATTACGAAGAAAGAGATGGGCATGAGGAAATATGTTATACTTGTAATGCATGCTTTAAGTGTGCATGATTTTGTGTGAGCTTAACACAGCAAGTTTTTGGAGGGTCCAAAATATCCAGAATGGATGGTCTGCAACTTGCAGATTTTAACCTTTAAGGCTTTTTGTTCACAAGGATCAGTCATACAGGGGCCCGAAAAAATAGACTTGGTTCAAAATAATTTTCCAAATTGTGAATACAGTGGGGCTGTTTTTCTGGCTCTATTCGGTCCAACACCCATCAAAAAAACTCAGCAAGTTTCAGACTATCCAAACTGGAAACTTGCTGTGCTACATCTTCATTCATCAAGTCTCTTTCTAAACAACTTAAAACTGTGTCATCAAAATTTGAAATTTTTCAACTCTAAGTTGTTTATGAATAAAAGAATTCATGATTGAAAAATTTTGTGTCTATGAAGACCACCAATTTCCACGTTTTACTTGGTTTGAATTTAGTTTTGACTGTTTGATAGGGAACTATTCTTGTTCTTGTATATAAGCTTATATGCAAATTTCTGAATGCCAAGTAAAATAGTGTAGACTGCAACCACTGTATCTAACTAGTGAACATCAGAGAAAAGTGAATGCAGTCTAACAATTGGACAAAAAACATTTCAAAAACTTTTTATAAAGCCATTTTGCCTTTTTTTTATCGAGCTACAAAATAAAATGATTTTGAAATGCTTCAAGATGCTATTATGGTAGTAGCAACAAATATTTTTGACGAACATTGTTGGTCTAAAACCTTTTGTGCATACCCATTTTGATCGAATTGATCAAGAACCATGAACCACCCTTCTGATCAACCAAACCCTACTACATTGTGCAGAATGGCATCAAACCTAGGCAAAATTTACGAAGCTGAAATGGTTTCCATTGTCTATTGCAAATATCATAAACATACACAGATCTTGATTAAATTTTACAAAAACTGACTGGAAATAACAAGAATTTGTTATTATATTACTCTTTGAGAATTTGTTTATTTTTTAAATTTGTGCTTCCCCTCGCATAGTTTTACATTTTGATAATAAACAGTATTTTAATATGGTTGAATATTCCAAAACAAGATCAATGTAATTTCAAAATGGTGGTTTTGCTCAGAAAGATCTTAGTTTAATCAGAAAGGTGGTTTTAAAAAAAAGCTCAGCTTAGATTTTAAAAATTCATTTCATTTTGAACAGAATAAGTTTTAACTCTACATGCACTTTGTTTTGAATTGTAGAGAAACTAGATGTCAGATTCAAAATGTGATAAAGGAAGCTTGACTTAGCTTAACCATTTATAATAATTCAGATGATTGTGTAACCCAAAACTATCATTAAAACAATTCAAAATTTCTGTAACATGAACTGAAAAATTTACACTAGATATTTGACTAACTTCAATCTATGTTTTTCCCAATAAGGGTTTGAATAAATAAATTAATCCCATTCCATTGCATTCAAAATAAGTAACTTTTGAAATCTAAGCTTTGCTTTATAAATAGAAATTTAAGTTATACTTACATTTAAAGAAGAGTCTAAGCTTCCAGCACCTAGAAAATCAAATAAATTTCTTTTAGACATTCTGAAAACATATTTGATAGTTTTTCATTAGTTCTAACAGACTCCTATACTGATTTTGAGAACCACAACAACAAGTGTGTGGCATTTAATGTCAGTAAGTTTCGGCAAGCTGTCTCTTCTAGAATACCTGATGCCACTTTGGACTCAACTCCCAACTCCCTCAGTTCCCAACTCTGCATCCTTTCATCCACATAAGAAAACAAACTTACCTGATTCTAAGTCACCCATTTCAGTTTTGAAAGAGCTAGTAGAAGGTTGTACAAGACTAGAATAGTCATCTGAACCCATAACCTGATCACTGGCATGTAATGCTACTGGAAATACGCCTAATGTCTTATCTCGTAAACCCGAGAAAAATTCCTCATCGGCGGAAGCATCGCTGTTGTGACCAAGTTGAGCTAAAATACAATGAAAAATTCATTCAATATTAAACCTGTGAACACCAGGTGTAAATATATAAGTTGTATACCTTAAGTTAGATATATCAAAACAGAACCTAAAAAAAGCTACGCGATCTTCAGACAACTGACCTATTTTCAGTCTGTGTCCATAGATATGTCATATCACTTGTTATAGATTATGCGTCACTGATGGCTTGAGTACAGATCATGTAGTTCTGCAGTCAGGTATCACCTTGCATTAAAAGGGTTAAAGTTGATGTTTTATCATATCATATTGAACTTCTTTCCATGACATTGAGCTTATAAGATGCAAAAAATTTTCATACTGAAAAATGTAAAAATTCTTACAAGAGTTGCTTCCCATCTGTTGATCAAATAGGTTACTGCTGTTGGGATCGTGTTCTTCTTCAGGTTCAGATTTAATATTTCTTAAGGATGAATCCATTTCAGAATTGCCTTGTGAGGGTGACGCTGTATTTCTATCATCGTTGATTGAGGTATCTGGAATATTACTGCTGGAAAAATCACATGAGTCACTTCCTAAACTAATTTGACTAGAATTTAACAGACTTTTGTCATGTTTCACAACACTGTCATTGCTCCGGTTTAAAAGCGTTCTATGTATAGGGGTGATGGAAAGACGCGGAGTTTTGGCTGGTGGGGATCTGGCTTCAATATTATGAAATGGTTTGCGTGATTTGCGACTGTGATGATGAGGTGTGGGCGTATGACTTTGATCTCTGTAAGCAGGATGAATAGCAGCAGGCGGATCTACAGAAGATCCAAAACTGATGGGCACCAGTCTTTGAACCATTCTTCCATCGTCTGTGAGGTCCACACTGACTTCTAACTCTGCACTTTTATTTTTGTTATTTTGATTCAGGCCATTGTCTTGTTGTTTAGCTGTTTTTTTCTGAGGTTGTTCCGAATGATAGCTGTTACTAACAAACACTGTTGAAGAGGTGTCATTTTTACACACTTTTTCGTTCACAATATAATCAATGTTAGTCTGACTGTCCACATTCAAGTATAAATGTCCAATGACTTGTATAGAATTATTAAAATTCACATGCCCATGACAGAGAACTTGCAGATTTTTCACTAAGGAGTTAATAAATTTGTTTGCCTCCTCTGCATCCATACCAACTGCTTTCTTGCTTCAGGATTGGAACTGTTAATTTTTTTTTTTTTTTTGATTTTGTTCTGAAATAAAATAAAAATCAATGCAAAAAATCTGAAAGATTCTACTTGAAAACCATCTTCATTTTAAAACAAGCTTACTTCAGGGAAGCCGAGGTCTACAGTGATTGTAAACAATAGGACATGGTTTTGGAAGACATTTTTAAAATAAAAAAATATTGGTGCAAGGTAACATCCCCTACTACCATTTGCTATGGCACCTATTGAGCTCCCCTAAACAAAAATATTGTTGTCTGTAACTGTCCTTTCAATCAGCCAAATATAAAAAGCAGTGCAAAATTTTAATTAGAAATTATTTTACATAATTATTCCTCAGTGAGTATTCAGTGATGCATAACAATAACACATACAAATAGGTCTACTTTTATTTTATACTATCATTAACAGAGGCCTCTGGAATCTTAACTAACGTAGCCAGATTTGTTATTTTACTCTTCACTAACCTACTAGCAAATTCAAAATGTCGGATTCAGATAGCAAATATAACGACTGCCTCACTGTGGTTAAAATAGACTGCGCAAATAGACTGTACTGACTCAGATTGAGTCAGCTAGGTCGGCGTGATGCTTGCGCTGGCTGCCAAGCTAAATTGAGCCGGGCGTCAATCTTTTGTTCAATAACAAGCCATTAGCAGAGGCGTCAAATGTTTGATCATAACTCTTATTTCATAGGGAAAAAAATGTGACCTGAACCCATGCTATTAACTTGTAATATTTCATATGCTTTGCTTTAATAAATACCTTAGATTTTAAAAAAATTCTTGATAAATTTGTTCCTCCAGCTTTTCCCCGTTACCGCTCCTTCTTCTTGGGCTGCCCTGGCCTAATTAACATATTTTAAGGGACAAGTTTTTGAATTTTTAAAAAAATTATGTTCAAATTGTAAAATTTCATAAAAATTACATCAGATCTCAATCTGAAAGATTTTTTTTTCTTAGTGGTGATACAAAATTTATGAAAAAAGAAATATTTTTGTATAAAAGTGTGGAAATTATAACTCTAATTTCATGTTAAATGAGTTCTCATGCAAGGTGCCCGTACGTCATCATTATGCGGCGTGCACTGCATTGACTCGGTTGCCCAGTTGCCTTTTCAAACAAAGCATTATTGGCTTCAGGTTCCTTGCTTTTTTAGAAGCTTTTCTTATCATATTTGAAGCATTTTTGAATCCATTTGTACTAGTGGCGAAGAAATAGCAAAGTCCAAACTAAAATGAAAAATATCTAATGTTAGCAGTTTGGTTCATTTATTATGCTTTTGGTTAAGTCTGATTGATCCCGACTATTTCGCGTGATAAACTAAGGGAGGATGTATTGAAATATAATTTTGTATTCCATTTTAAAATTTCAGTAAGAGTCATTTCAGATCTGTTTTCTTTCAATGTCTTTAAATAAATATTTTAAAGTCATATCTGGTTATGAAAATGAATATTGTCTAATAATTTTGGAAAGGAAGTTGGCATAAGAATATCATTAAAAACATTGCAATAACCCCTCCATGCAGCCATTGAAATCTAAGATCTATTCTTTATCATTTTGGCATTATAAAGTAAGTTTTTTTCTTTCTGATTGTACCATTTGCTTAAGTTGTTTCTTTACTGGCTTATCAATGATTATAAAAGCCGTTATAAAAGTTTTATAAAAGATGTTGATCATTGTTGTCGCTATGATGATTATGAATTGAGGTGTGTGGCACAATGATGATCATTATTGACATTATGAATGCAGAATGGATGTTCATGTGCCTTGCCTTGGACCTAGAGATAGATTGCTCCATCCCCAGGCCCAGGCGCTAGACCGAGCAATTAAGTAGAGCAGTATGCAACTGGTAATACTGTCATCCTCACCCTTACCGACCAGGTAGAATCTTAGTTTTTTATTTATTTCCTTATTGCAGTTTTAGAAATAGGAACAGATTCAAACCAAAATCATCAGAAGAGAGCACTGTCACAATTTCAAAATGGATACGGAAGAAGCCAACAAATTCATTAACTCTCTAGTGAAAAACTTACAAGTTTTGTGTCATGGTCATGTATCATTTGACAGTTCCATTCAGGTCATAGGTCATCTGTATTTAAATGTAGACAGTCAGACCAACATAGACTACATTGTGAATGAAAAAGTGTGTAAAAGTGACAATTCATCGACCATGTTTGTGAGTAAAAGTTATCATTCAGAACCTCAGAAGAAAGAAAAGAAAAATACAGAAAAAAATCAAACTCGAGAACGTCGTTCTTCATCACAATCAGAAACAAGCAATGATGACCAAAACCAAAGAAATGACAGACTTGGTTTTGGCTCAAATTATGGTGACGTGCACCAGCCTCACCTCCATCAAAAGACATCAACCCCAATGAGAAGACCATTACATCATCCTATGGAAGGTCCATCAATGAAAATGCCACGCCTGTCCCATCCACAATCACCTATGTCACCCAGTAATATTGGAAGTAGGAACTCATCTCATCCCGGTTTAAGACTTGATAATCGAAATGCAATGGGAGATAACTCAAGCCATCAATTTGATTTATCACGTCTGCAGCAATCAAACATATCTGAGACATCATTTCACCTTCAGCCACACATCAGTAGCAACAATTCACAGCGTAATACATCATCATCATCACCATCATCCAAAACAGTACCGGTAGTCAAACAAGAACCTGTGCAAATAGATCTTAGTAATGTGAAGTCAGAACCTCAAGATGATGATGGGGGTAGGTAGCCACATTTTTCAATTATAAGGCTTTTGTGTAGAAAATCAACAGTTGAATCTGAAATCTTAAATCTAAATAAATTTTACAAAATAAGTACTAGAGGATATGGAATACTTTTAAAGTTGGCATTCTGATCTGAGATTTTTTTTTGCATCAAGCTTTTAAATCATTAAATAGTGGCAATGGAATAGCTCAGTCAGTAGCAAGTTGGATTATTGTCCACTAGTTTAGGTGCCATTTCAAGCAGATTGTGGACAGTAATTGTTTTTCATGCTTATGTCAATTTCATTCTGTAATTTTTCTATATTTATTACAGGGACAGAAGATATGGGAAATGAAATGTCTAACGAAGAATTTCTAGCTAGTCTACATGATAAAACATCTAGTATATACCCTGTTGCCTTACATTCAAATGAAACTTCAGCGTCTAATTCACAACTCGATTTTAACTTACCTATTAGTTTTCAACAGGGAGCAGGTAATGCTGTGTTTTAAGTTATTTTTACATCAGTGAGTTTGTAGTAAAACCTCACCCCAAAAATGATTGGTGAAATACAATTCCCATTTTACCTATCATAGTACCTTAATTTGCTAGGTCTAACTGTCTTTGTCATGTAGATGTCCAGCCTCATGGAGCCACTATCTTTGTTTTATTAATTAGTATATTGTTTTGTCTATTGTAGGAGGTGCTGGTCCTTCTTTTGCTCCCGATGGCTCAGCAGTAAGTATTTATTTTCAATTCTTTAAAAAAATTCAAGAACTTTCAATGTAGAACTCTGTGGCATGAAAATTGATAGAGATGTTTGTAATTTAAAGGGTCAGGTGGGCCATTTTTATAGACATACTTTAGTCTCAGAAAGAGGAATTTTATAGCCTAATCAATCAGTAATAGTAATAGTGACTCATCAATTTAAGTTATTCTATGATATATAGATAAGACATTGAAATAATGAGTTTAAAAGTATTTTTAAAGGAATTATGTAATTTTCGTACATTTCTAGTACTTCTGAAAGCTATTTACATTTCAAGGCTAAAATCAACCCCCCAAAATGCCGCATTTGTCCTAAAAGCAGAATTTTAATTGAAAATTATTCTGAAAATGTTTGAATATCACAGAAATGCAAACACTTCAAATATATTATTACTACTTGAATAGCTATAGATTTGAAATTATTTGTCTCATACAGAGACATTAATAATGATGTAGAACACAAATTGAATTTATAGATTTATGTAACTTTGTAAAATCTTATTTAATCAAAGATCTTATTAAATTACTTAAAAAATTCCAAACTCTTTTTATATAAAGTTACCAATAAAAACCTAAAATACATCAATTTCATGTAGCAGATACCATTGAAAGTTCTTGAAAGGGTGAAATTCAACCAAAAATATCAAATTCAAAATGTGTAAGGAAATTATATGATGGCTAACAGACATAAGTACAATTATATTCTCTGCTGGCTTTTGTCAAACAGAGCTTCTACTTTTCTATATGCATTATTCTCAATAGGACTCCAATTTCTTCAGATGCTTTCTGAATTGTTCGTTAAGGTAATCTTGGAATTGGATTGATATTCTTCCTCATATGAAAATACAAATTTTTCACCTATATGTTGTTTGGATTTTTAGTTTTTAAACGTTAGCACTTGGTTTATTTCATTGAAATGGTCATGGAAATTGTTATAACAAATTTAAGTTACAACAATAGAAATATCACAGTCTTCATAATAGTAACATGATAAAAGAAATGTAACAAAATCAGATTGGAATTTTGTTAAAATGACTATTTCAATTGAGTACATCAGTGTATTGGCATACAGTACTTATTTTCCTATTTCCCATCAGCTGTCCTGATGAGGAGTTTATATCCCAAACACATTTCATTTTCTGATATTTATTAGGTTGAGTTTCATCAATGATATGTTGGGCAAAGCCCAAACCTTTTCATAAAACATGGTGATTATTTTTATACTGAAAATATGAAAATAAAAACCATTTCTTCAAGATTTTGAGAATCTTGTTGGTTGACTGTTTCCAGAGCTCGCAAAGAAAAAAAAATGATTTTAGGGGTGTTATTGCACCATAAATTATTTTGGCTCCCTTTTCGTTTGACTACAACTTTATGGTACTTTTTGTGCCTTTATGCATAGAAAATTACATAAAATTTGGAAATAAATGCATTCACCCAGAAAGCATCAAATATGTACAAACCAGATTCTCAAAAATGTGAACTTGCAAGAACTGAAGCTTTGGACAAATAGGATAAAGTAAGCCAACTCAGATTTTATGTAAAAGCCAGAAAATGGCTCCAGTCTGAAGGCTCAATTTCTTCTATTAGTCCAGGCAGGAGTGAAACATCTTAGCCATTATTTCATATGGCATTACTGGAACGTCCATCAAAGAATGTTTTAAATCTTGGCTGTTGATTTAGAATTTCTGTTTGCTTACAATCCCGCTTGAATTGGTCTGTGAAATATGGCTGAATTATTTTTCTCAAACCCAAAGTTTTGATCTTTGGAAAGGTTATCCATATTCAAAACTAGTTGCCCTGATGAAGTATATGTTTCTGAACATTTGTCAACAGCATGAAATGAGTACTTCAGTCTTTCAAGACTTGCAAGAAATGACAAATCAAAAGCCACTTTTGTAAAAGTGTGCCCTCTCACAAGTGCTATAACTCACTATGTGGCCCAATAGCCAAGAAAGTTAATGACATTCCCATTTCCTCCCTATATGTCGAATGTCTTTTTGACTTAAATAGTGAAGACATACAGAGATTTGCATAAAGTCATTTGAAAATCTTTTCACTGTTTGAATTTAAATGACATTTGATATATGATGTTTCACTCCCAACTCCCTCACAGATTGCCCTCCCTTGTCAGAGCATAACTGATCCCAAAATTGGATTTTTGCAATTGAAATATTATCCTGTCCCCTTTGGCTCTTGATTAAGATTTAAAAGCAAACTGAAAGTAACATGACAACTTTCATGTCATTTTCAGTTTCCTTAAATTTCATTATCATTTGAAGTTGATGTCAAATTTCTTCTAAAAATTGGGCAAAAAATAAGAAAAGAGGGAAATGTTCATAAATATAAGTTTCTTAAAAACAAAGGCACATAGATTTTGTGGATATTATTAAAAAAAAAAATGATAACTTTTTGTAGATTAATTTATTTGAAAAAATTGACACTTTTTTTGAATGACATTAATTTTGTTAAAAAGCGATGACATTTTTGAAATTTAGATAATGTTTTGTATAATGACATCAATTTATGATAATGAAATAGAACAGGTAAGTAAACTGTAAGGCCCTGTATAGTTGTAACTTATTGTGATTAAATTGTCTAAGATCTTGTCAGATTTTTGCCTTCTGAAAGGCAGGTTGTTGTATTGAGAGTGCTTGTTCAAGTTGACATTTCTAACACATATAAATTAAATCCAGTTTCTTATACTATTCAGTTGAAAAATTTCAAACATATTGTAATATCATAATGGGAACATATTGAGCCCAAATAGCATGTACTCAGTTAACTACTGTTCACTATAAAAACTGTTTTTAATCTGAACATTATTAATTAACTTATTTTGTGAACACAAATGATTGTGCAGGTGACAAAATATCTGGTTTTATGAATATGACTAATAAACTTGTTTTGTAAACTTGACTACTTCTACATATAATAGTATTTGTTTTGTGCACATAAGTAAATAACTTTCATTGTGACCATGACCAATTAGCACTTGTTTTGAAAACATAACTGGTCTTGAGAACATCACTAGATAGTACTTATGTAAACATGACTAGATTGTACTTATTTTGTAAACAGTACTAGATAGTGCTTGTTTTGTAACAGGACTAGATAGTACTTGTTTTGTAAACAGGACTAGATAGTACTTGTTTTGTAACAGGACTAAATTGTACTTGTTTTGTAAACAGGACTAGATTGTACTTGTTTTGTAAACAGGACTAGATAGTATTTGATTTGTAACAGGACTAGATAGTGCTTGTTTTGTAACAGGACTAGATAGTACTTGTTTTGTAAACAGGACTAGATAGTACTTGTTTTGTAAACCGAACTAGATAGTGCTTGTTTTGTAAACAGGACTAGATAGTGCTTGTTTTGTAAACAGGACTAGATAGTACTTGTTTTGTAAACAGGACTAGATAGTGCTTGTTTTGTAAACCGAACTAGATAGTGCTTGTTTTGTAAACATGACAAGATAGTTTTGTCATCTGGAAAAGATAGTTTTTGTTTTCTGACATAATTTATCAAAAAACGTATTTCATAAACATGATTAATAAGCTTATAAATGTGTATATAAATAATTCATCTTGTGAAAAATGATTAGAATTATTGGTCTTTTCTTCATGTTGTATTCAACAAATATAAGTGATGATGGAAAAATCGGTGACCTTTATGCCTCAATGCTGATAATTTTACACAACAGAACAAGAGTTAATCTGAAATGTCTTGAGTTAGAGTTTTGAAGAAATTATCCTTTATAACTCACTGGACTAAGATAACTGGTGCATTGGTTCTTAGCTGCAATCTCAGTAAAATGTGGGCTTCTTCCTTTTTGGAGTATTTTATGCCTTATAATACTGAGCCAACTCTTCATGATTGAAGATCTTGCATCTATATAATCATCTATAGAGTGAAAAATTGTATCTCTGCTTTTTCAGCATTTTGCTACTCTTTATATAACTAGTAATTTCTAGAGCTTAACATCAACTTCACTCACCCATAAGAAGTACAGTTTATTTTGTAGTTCGGCAATTTATTGGGGGCCAAATGAAAGCCAGCTTAAAATCGGCTTTCATTTTACTCCGTGGAAACACAAAAGCCATCTTTTTCTCATTTGGCAATATGGGGTGTACTGGTCTTTCTGGTCTGTTGCATTTCTTGCTGGTCTAAATGGTAGTCTTGTACATCACAAGTTGTCAATAACATGCGTCTTTGCGATCAAGACTAAAGTCGTTCAGGAACCAGTTAGGCCTCAGTGTAAACACAATGCGTTTGGCAATAAAGTTGACTCAAGTTAAGTTAGAACTAGCTTTACCATACAATTCTCAGTGGAAACACGGTTATTATCTTGAAATGTTTGATACCAGTTTTTCCTTTTGAGTGTTTTTTTTTTTTTGGAGAAGGATCATATAGAAGGCACCATTTTCTTTGATTTCATGATAGTACAATAAGCTATAAATACAAATAATATACTGCACCAGACAAGGATTAAATGTTTCATTTTTTTAAGCTTGTAAGATATAGAGTTTCATCATAAGCATGCTAAAAATAGATTTCTAAGAATAAAGCAGTTCTCTTTTCTTGTTTAGGTTGGTGGATATATGAGTCAACTCATGGCAGGCACCAAAAAACGAACCTTTATATCACCTGAACAGAAAAGAGAGCTGTGTCTATTTACAGAAGATAATCCATATGCCACTTCCAAGGAAATCGTGGAGTTCTTTTACTTGAAATTTGGATTGAAACTTGCCTTCAATACACTTAAGAAAATTATGAACATGAAAGAACGTTGGTTGAAAGTTTAGGTGATATCTGTGCTGATGTGCTTGTTTTATGTCAGATCTATGTGGTATATGTTCATATTTTTGCCAATTTGATAATCCTTCAATGGTATAGAAGTACAAACTTATAGATGAATAAATGTTGTTGGTTATTGATGTGTTTGTTTTATACCAGATGAAAGATAGAATGGGTTTTAACACTAAAGATGTGAGATTCTTTTAAAAAAAATAGCTGATGAAATCCAATTGTATGTAAGGGAGAAAGTTGACAAGAATAATCTACTATTCCAAAAAAACAGTGTGAAATTTTGTAAAAAGGACAACCCTTGATAATTCTAGACAGGGACAGGGACATTTCTTCACCTTTTAAGTTTTATCTAGACTGTAGTTTTAAGAAATTTTTCAATAGTTTTGTGGTTAGTACCATATTTTTTTGGAAGCTTATACATTTGCTTTAAGCTAAAATTCCATATATGCGTCATGCGGACATAAATGGCCCTTGCGGATCCCTCATGCGTCAAATATGATTCCATATGTGCGTTAAACGTATGCGTTATCTTTCTTTTGACGCACAGACTTCTGAACAGATGGATGCTTTGCTGCATAAAAAAGACAGGGAATCACCACAAAATATGTCGCATATGTTCTCCTCGTGGAAAGGCGTCCGGATGCGTCAAAAATCGGAGACCATTTGACAGATACCGCTTCTGCATATATGGAATCATACCCTCTTAAACCAACCATATCGATTTTTAACGCATGACGCTTCGCATCAATTGATGAAATAATTTTTAAAAAGTGGTCCTGGTCCTTGTTACCCTATATAAGACATATAATCAGCTTAATAAAAGTAATTGAATAACGATAATTGAAGCAATTCTCTTTTCTGTTTGTTTAGGTTGATACCACATCGTTACAGTTAAATCTAATACGGAGTGTACTGAGGCCCTCTGAGACCAAAACACGTACGTTCATATCAACAGAGCAAAAGAGAGAATTGTGCTTATACAGTGAACAAAATCCCAATGCTACCTCAAAAGACATAGTGAATTTTTTCCATCAAACTTTTGGAAAGCTTCTTGCCTTTGATACATTAAGGAAAATCATTATCCAAAAAGAAAGATGGCTGTGATGAAGTTGTGGCTGGGGTGGCTCAATGAGTTAAAATTTCATGCTACCTCTCAATACCACCAGCAAATTTATCAAATTTTGGAAAGTACCTCATTTATGATACATTAAGAAAAATCATTATCCAAAAAGAAAGATGGCTGTGATAAAGCACTTGCTACTGTAGCTCAGTGAGTTAGGCACAACTTCCATAGCTACCTCTGAAGATACAGTGAATTTTATCCATCAAACTTTTGGAAAGCTACTTGCATTTGATACATTAAGGAAATCATTATCCAAAAAGAAAGATGGCTGTGATAAGGCAGTTGGTTCTGTAGCTCAGTGAGTTAGACACAACTTCCATAGCTACCTCTGAAGATACAGTGAATTTTATCTTTCAAACTTTGGGAAAGCTACTTGTATTTGATACATTAAGGAAATCATTATCCAAAAAGAAAGGCACGTGCTGGGGTGGATCAATGATTAGTTCACAAAATCCAAAGCTGCCTCTTTAGATTTCAGCTTTGGCTTTGGTGAGGCAGATGCTGAGGTGGATCAGTGAGTTGTTCACAAATCCCAATGCTACCTCGAAAGACCTCGAAACAATGCTCAATCTGAAAAGTGTAATATTGTGTATGATAAACATAACTTTTTCATATATGTATATATATAACTAAACTTCAAAAGTCTTAATTTAGATTATTTACATATAAATCATGAATGTACTGGTACATATACAAAAAATAATTTATGTCTGATCTTGCCCAATATTTAACAGTGTGTTTTGGTTTGAAAAAGTCTTAATTTAAAGGGACATATATGCTATTTTTTTATGACCAATCATACATTAGTCTCAGAAACTGGAATTTTTGAGCTTAGTGTTCACAGCTTACCGTTGAAATTTGAGCCTTCTAATACATGTGTGTCCAGAATTTTCTGCGTTTGAATTTTAAAATGTTAAAATGATGACTCGTCAATTTAAGATTCTCTGTGATATATAGAAAAGAAATGTATAGAAATAGTGAAATATGTGATTTTTGTACATTTATAGTGCTTCTGAAGACTATTTACATATATTCAAAACTAAAATCAACCCTCTAAAATGGCACACCTGTCCCTTTAAGTCTATTGCTGGAACAACTATTAGTGAATCAATATATTGCTTTAGGATGATATCACATGATCTTGTATTGATATTTGATTGATATCATAGCCCTCATATCTTTTCATTTTAAATATGAGCGATAAATGAACCATTGTGCAAATATTTTACAAATTTGTATCATTTTATGAAATAAACAATTTGAAATCAATTTGTCTCTGTTTTTATTCTGTAGGTGAAAAGTTATGATTTCAACTCATTGTTTCGAACTAAAAGACGGACCTTTATAGACAAACATCAGAAAAAGGAATTGTGCCTATTCAAAGAAGAGAATCCTAATGCTACTGGAAAGGAAGTTACAGACTTTTTCACCAATCGTTTTGGTGTTGAAATCCCCTATGACACCCTGTATAAAATTATTAAAAATAAACACAGATGGTTGAATGAATCAGATGATTAAAGAGAAATTGTTATCTCATTAATACTTTCTTTACCAGCAAGCAGTTTTCAGAATTTTTTTATATAAAAAATATGTACTACGGAAGTTTAGACTTCAGCATTCATGTGTTATGAATATTCTCAGTGTAGATTTTATATAAGTTATAACCACCTTGTTGTATTGCAGTAAGCATGGCATCATTGGTTTTAAGTTATTCATTATTACTTATATCTGCATGTCAGAGAATTTATAACAGTTATATCATGCATGCAAATATTACTTTTATGAATTAAGTCCAAGATGTATTACTGTTGTAAAAGCTTAATTTAAGTTGGTTGTATATACTATATAATTGCTAGTATAGCGCGCACCAATTCATACACATGAGTACATCTGGAAAATCTATTACTTAAATCTGGTAATTTGTGTCACAACATACATTTTTGTTTCAATTTCATTTATTTGTGTCATTTGGTCTTTGGTCTGTGTTGATGTTATGAAATTTAAGAGTTGGGAATATTTAGTTGATCACACTTATTTAAAGGGTTCTTCATGTTGAATAATGAGCCATATTTCAATGTTGTTGTGTAAGGAATGTGCCATAAAATTATTCATTCTTATACATTATATTGTGTTTTTTTTATTATAATATTGAAAATAGTGCTGAAGAAATTTTTATTTGTAGTGCAAACTTTATTGAATGCCAAAGGATGAAGAAGTATTTAACTGAAAAATTTTATAACCCAAAACTTAATTACTTACTTAACTAGTATACCGGTAACCTATAAATCGTTAGTTAAAGATGGGTTCCCTTATTTTCATTTATGAAAATGAAAATGCTAATACTTATATGAATAGAAAGTAGATGTGTTCTAATGACTTAGAAAAATATCAGGTTGTCTCACATGTCCATAATTAATTCATAATTAGCTAAATTAGAAGAGAATTACCACCAGAATTCCAATGAGTGACCTGATCAAGAAAGGTCAAAAAGTCTTTTTTTGTTTATCCAGACTGTACATATATGGACATTTTTGATTGGTTAAAACTCTTTAGTTATATGCAATAAGAACAAAATGATATGATTAAGAATACATGATAATTCATTAGAAACACCAATTCCTCAAATAGTTTGCTTAATTTGACACTAAAAAATGAGGAAACCCATCTTTAAATCTAAGAAAATAATAGAAAATTTATCAAACCCTCAAAAAGTGTAGACAAATTACCAAACCCTAAAACTGCATATTCCAAAATATTTGAAATTGAGATAAAATGCATTAATTCCTTCAAAAAGAAAGCCATAGAGATAAATACATATTCAGGGTTCAAAAGTCTGAAATTATATATGGTAGCTAGTCTTTATAATTTTGTGCTTACTATTACAAATTATATATAACAATTTTGTGTTAAAGCTCACAAACTAAGTCAATATTTTTGTTGTTTGATAGGTTTCTAGGAGCTATGGTGATGTCGATACGAATGAAGTCAATGAATGGAACCAGAATTATGTTGCACCAAGAAGTCGTATGTTTATATCTCGGGGAGAAAAAAGAGAGTTATGTTTAATACACAAAGTTAATCCAGATTATAATATTGATGACATTTGTAAAGAATTTGCTAAGAGATATGGAAAAGTGCTTCGAACTGCTACTGTTTATTATATCATTAAAACTAAAGAGAAATGGCTTAAAGACGATGACGATATTTCTGTAATTTCAATATAAAATTACCGTATATTTTCGAATAAAATGTGCAGTTTTTTTTTACATAAAAATGGGCTCCTTAAAGAAGGGGTGCACAATGAAATAAATTTTGAGTACTATAATAGTCCATACACTGCATTTTGTTGAACAATGCATCATAAAACAATGGTCTTTGCAAATTTTTAAGAAAAATTGTTGAGAGAAATGTGAAAAAAACTGATGGTGATAGCAAAAATTATTAATGTTTGAATTTTCTCCCAAACAAGACTCTTAATTTTTATTGACATATTGTAATCAATAGCAGCATTTAATTGTTTTTTTTCGTGATTTTTTGCTATAATCAATATTTAAAACAAAAACGTATGAATATATTTGCTAACTGTTGCTTAATCTAATAGTTTAATAGCTTACTCCATGACTTTATAACAAAATATTCAAAAGTTGTATATCCAGACTTCATAAAATCATCATTAAAAGGTTAACCCATCTATCATTTTATCAGACTGTGGTAGAAGAATTAAAAACCTGCTCTTCTTTCAATTGTCTGGTTTCTTAAAACAGTTTGCGAAAAAGAAAGCATTAGCCACTGCCTCTTAACTACATAGACTTATTCATTAGAAAACAACAAAAACGTTTTTTTTAACTGATCGCAGGGATAGTATATTAGTTCTTCCATTCTTTGTCACTAATTCTGTCTTTTTGCCATTTCCTAGATAACTGGCTCAGGTAGAGAAGAGATGTGGTCCAAGTTACTGGGGAATACTAGAAGTCGTATGCTAATTTCTAAAGCTGAAAAACGTGAATTGTGTCGTCTCTCTCTTCAATATCCCAATTCTACACCAGAAGAACTGAGTCATTTGTATTGTCAGATATTTGGCAAAAGAATAAAAGGGAATACACTGTATTATATACTTAAAGATAGGGAAAGATGGTTAAAAGATGATTCTTAATGTGATGTTCAATTTAAGGCCATGGTGCACAATTTTTGGGAGTTGATTTGGGTCTTGAATATATGAAAATAGTCTTCCGAAGTACTAGAGCTGCACGAAAATTGCATTATTGCTTCAAATATACCGCAAACTAAGAATTTGACTCTTGTCATTATATATTTTTTTTTATATGGCGAAGTCATCATATTAATTTTAAAATGAGGCTGATTCCACTTACCATTTAATACCATTTTCACCTTGGTTATTACCAATTACATGATAACTGCCCATGAAAATGTTGATATTTCCTTTGAAGTGACAATAGTCTAAACCTCAAAGGAGTCATAATTAGGTGATTAGGTTAATTCCAAGAGATTGTAAAGGGTTTTCTAGATTTTAATGTGTATTGGGTACACTGATAGCATCAATTTGCACCATTCTAATTTTCAAGATGCCACTAAAACTAAGCATTTTATGATGTCACTAATCGCAAAGGACCTTATGTGATAAAGCATAATTTGAAATTGAAATGGTGAAAATTGATGCTATCAGTGTCCCTTATACACATAACAAATTTAAAAAAACCTCTTTACAATCCCTTTAATGTTTTATTGCTTTAAAAACTGTCAATTTTTTTTTGTCAAATCTTATGCTATGTATATGGGTGGGGCCAACTTGAAAGTTTTTATTTTTAGTGCTGAATGTAGTTTGATAACAACATAATCACAATGATTTTGAAAAAATCGAATAAATTTATCTTAAAAACGTGTTTTTATTCATACAACCACGTAAAATAACAATTGGTGATATTCTGTTGATTTTGCTTTATATATGGTCACAACTGACTTACCAACTCGAGGTTGTCTGATGTTCAATCCTGGCATAAATTTTTGATTTGAATGACGTTAAAAGGGACAGGTTTGCCACATTCAGAGGTTGATTTAGGTCCTGCATATATCTTAATAGTTAAACTAGGAATTTCATTTTATATTTCTGTGTATGTCTTTGCTATATATGACAGAGTCTCATGTCTGCAGTTCCTGCAATTCCACTATAAAGTGTTCGATGATGTTACTAATCATAAAATCTGCTTTATATAACGCCCTTTGCTGTTAGTGATGTCATCATAGACTTACTTTAAGTCAATTGCAGGAGCATAGATGTCTGATTGAAAATTGGAGTGGTGCAAAGTGATGCTATCAGTGTCCCCAATACACATAAAGAAACCTGTTTACAATGCCTATAAGATATGCACTAAACTCTATGACAGTTTCTTTTCATCCAACCAATATATGTTAAAAATAATAAGGTGGATTTAAAGATCTCAATTTTTTTCTCTTTTCTACAGAAAATGCCAGTGGAACAAATTCAACTACTCTTCTCAATGTCTCGAAGGAGAGCTACCATAACTTCAGAACAGAAGAGAGAAATTTGTTTACTTCATCAGGATAAACCATCAAGAACCTTAGATGAAATTGCTAGTATTTTTCATGAAAAGACTGGAATACAAATTGCTATTTCTACTGTTCATGGAATTCTCAAGTTTAAAGAAAAATGGCTATGATCTAGCTAACCTGGAAAAAGGAATTTGGCAATTGTGTAAATGATGGATATCTGGAAATATTTGAGCAAAATATATGTGTTTAAAAACTTATTATAGCTGTTTATATGGCAAATCAGTGCTGAATTATATATTGCTTTCCTTAAATGCTATGCATTTTTCAACTAGAAATAAATAATCTATTAAATTATTTCCCATTTTGAATATTTTCTAGTCTGCTGCTTTCGATGTAGGGCTGTTGCATTTTGAAATGTTGTTTGTGTCAATGTTCAACTTACCCACTGTTAATTGATCTTACGTATTTGACTGATACATCTCTTCTGGAAAAAGTTTGTTATTTGGGTGTTTAAAACTATGTGGACCAAACTTAAGTAACAATAGTTTTAAATCTCATTTGAACATCAGTAATAACCTCTTTAAAGAAAACCGGTTTGTGTTTGTGAACTACCTCCTACGTTTGAAGAACAGGGAGCCCTATTGAGTATTCACAAAAGCTTTACTTGTTATTTAAGCATTTTCTTAACGCTTTGGTCAGTTACTAAAAAGGATTTTGAATTGAGGTGTATATCATCTTCAACTACTTATAACTGCATATTTTTTGTTAAAAATGGGTTGGCGTTTTAATAAATATATTTATTTCTGATAATAATATTTCCCTAAATGTAGCTTAAAGTCAATTTTATTTTATATTTTCTAGTGTTCTGCGGAGCAACTTGTTCAGTGGTATACTTCCTCTATATCTCGTTCCAAAACAACCATAGAACAGAAAAAAGAAATATGTAGACTGCATGAAGAAAATAAATCCAGGACTTTAGATGAAATAGCACTGATATTCTCTAAATCTAGTGGTCTGACCCTGGGCAAATCTACTATACATAGAATATTAAAAGACAAAGAAAAATGGCTTGCATAGTGTGCAATGGATGATTCTCACTACTTAGGAAAATGATCTAAAATGCTATTGCCATTTATATTAATGTTTTTAAGCTGTGCTATCTTCTGTATTATGAATGCATCAGGGATACCAGATTTTCTCTTTCTAGATGAATTCCTCTATTTTTCTGGCCAGGGGTATTTTTATTTCAAAATAAAATTACTAAAATTTAGTTTAAGGGATGTAAAGATTGCTTCTAAGGACATTATTCCTAAAGCATCTTAAAAATAGTAAAACTCCAGTTAAACCCCACATAAAGGAGGCTGTAGACCCCTTGTTCTTCAACTGATATTTTTCATTTTTTCCTATTTTTTTTAATTCCTTACTGGAAACTCTGGTACGTGTAAATCACACTTTTCATTTGCATGTCGGTTTTGAACACAAAGTTATGATTTGGTTGAAAGAAATGTTCTTCCTAAAAGCTTAAGAGTTTGTACAGAGAATTGAAATATTAAATAGAAAGCTAAATGCTGTTGCTACTTGTATTAGAGTTTTTATGCTGTATTATCTTCAGACAACTGATATATTTCAGTCTGATGTTTAACCAGTAGTGTTTGTTCTTGTGTCTTCACTTTGAGATATATCAGAGAGCTTAATCATAAAACCTATGTCGTGTGAAGCAGACCATGATTACTTCTTTCGGAACCCTTAATGGTACTTCTCTTTGCAGGAGTCCATTACTATACAACTTTTACTCTCGATTTTTGCCATTGTCATACTTAGGACGTGATTTTGATTTACGTAATTACCTTGCTTGTAAGCATTTAAATTTTTATTTTTTAAGTTAATTTATTATTTTTTACTTTTGTAGGCCTCGATTTGGTTAAGCATGTTTGGTCAGAGTTCAAGGTCATTTATATCAACTGAGGTTAAAAGAGATATTTGTTTGTATAAGGATGCAAATCCTCAAGCCAGTCTAAGAAATATTTGTGAACTTTGGTAAAAAATATGATATAAAATTACAAGCACCAGCTGTGTGTAAAATATTGAAAAATAAGGACAAATGGTTACAATATCATTGAATGATTTTAACCATGGTATATTCCAGCAAATTTATGTGTTCATGAACAATTTAAAATATAAATTTTAGCTGTTTATTGCTTTGAATTGAGGTAAATGTAGTAATTTAGTGGGACGAATTGATTTGTTATTGGTACTATTCTAAACCTGTACATGAGGTGTTTATTTTGTTTTTAATAAACAGGTATTTGTCTATTTATCTGAGTATTATTCTAAACATAAACAAGATCAGTTTATTTTGTATTTAAATAGGTATTTGTCTATTTATCTGAGTATTATTCCAAACATAAACAAGATCAGTTTATTTTGTATTTAAATAGGTATTTGTCTATTTATCTGAGTATTATTCCAAACATAAACAAGATCAGTTTATTTTGTTTTTAAATAGGTATTTGTCTATTTATCTGAGTATTATTCTAAACATAAACAAGATCAGTTTATTTTGTATTTAAATAGGTATTTGTCTATTTATCTGAGTATTATTCTAAACATAAACAAGATCAGTTTATTTTGTATTTAAATAGGTATTTGTCTATTTATCTGAGTATTATTCCAAACATAAACAAGATCAGTTTATTTTGTATTTAAATAGGTATTTGTCTATTTATCTGTGTACTATTCTAAGCATAAACAAGATCAGTTTATTTTGTTTTTATAAATAGTTTGTGTTGAGCATGTTATTTACTTTGTCAAAAGCACTCAATCTCGAAAGTAGATTTGTGAAGTATATTTTTTTTTATTAAACGTACAAGCTTCAACAATTTGTATTCTTTACTTTGTGTGTTGAATCCACAGAAAAGGGTCACGGGGGAAACTAGGTTAAAAAAAATTGGTTCTTATCTCTAAGTCTTTCAGAGTAAGCGTGTATCTCACTGATCATCTGCGGCCTCGATGTTTAATGAGTCTTTTGTTCATCAGAGGTCTTTCATAACTATACAACAGATTCCTTATGTAATCCAATAAATCTATTAAACAAAAATGCATTAAAGTCAGTAATTTTGAAACATGCTTAGAAGTGTGTTTTAATAATTATTTAAAGAGCAGGATAATGCCGCTGTCCTGGCAAAATTTCCCTCATTGTACCCTGCATGGCGTTGCCCGTCTTCATTAGCCCACATGGTGCAGAAAAGTAGGACGTAAAACTCCATTTCATTTCATTTTTTTAATAATTATTTAGTTTAATGGATATAACATCATTGGATTTTATTAATATTTTAACTTCTGCGTTCGCTTTATTGAAAACGGTCCGATTTCCAACTATTTTCGATCAGTTTAAACTTTGCTTTATACTAGCCTATGTAATAAATTTCTCAAACTATGCATGGGAAAAATCGTTATCATTTACCATTGATTCTGTTTAATTTTGTAGGTGAGGCCCTATGCATGTGATCAGTGTGGTGTTAGATATGCTCATAAACATGGTCTTGGACAACATTATAAGGAAAAGCATCTTCAACTTAAAGTGTCTTGTCCAATATGTAATGCATCTTTCACAAGAAAGACTTCTTTAAAACGGCATATATTAGCTCATTCCAAGACTGTGGACCAAAGCTTACAGTGATCGTTATATTAAAAGGATACTACTTCTGAGAATGGACATAAAATTTAAAGTTTCAAAGTCAACAAGTGTATATATTTATCAGTTTGACTTACCAGGTGCCACGACTAAAAAATATAATCTCTATAGAACACAATACAAATTTTGTTTTAAGAATTTTCAATTGAACTTTAATTTGTATTGCAATAAATCATTTCTGGCTAACCAACGACAATTCCTTAACCAAGGTCCAAAAGCAACCAAGTTATTATTAAGGTAGCCATGATATTAGTCCAATAGTTATCTTAGATCATTCAAGATGGAGATGTGACTTTTCTGAAAACTGCAAATATGAGCCAAGAATGCATTTCTCTCACATTGGGCAACTCCAGGCAGTTTCTGTAAAACAATCTATATTGCAGAACGCTAGCTTATGTTTCACAATCGACCGTTTGAAACTCTTGGTAAATGATGTAAGCTGTTTCTTGGATCGCTCAAGGTGGGGAATTGACTGGTCAATCTCTCTCTGTTTGATAAAACTAGCCAAGAATCAGAGGCGTATCTAGAAAATGACCGAGGAGTTTGCCAAAAATGCCCCTGAGACCAAGGGAAGCTCTTATAGTATATAATGTAAAAGTAGTTTTGTTTTCACTTTTGTGTGCATCGGGAATCCCAGACTTTCTCTTTTTATGGGAATTCCTTTATTTTTCTGCCCTGTGTTTTTTTTATTTCCAAATAAAACCACTAAAAATTGCGTTCAGGGTTGTAAAGATTGCTTCTTAGGACATTATTCCTAAAGCATCTTAAAAATAGTAAAATCTCCACTTAAACCCCACATAAAGGAGGCTGTAGACCCCTTGTTCTTCAACTGATATTTTCCATTTTTTCCTATTTATTTAATTCCTTACTGGAAACTCTGGTACGTGTAAATCACACTTGACTAAGAATAGTTTTGGGAAAGTCTTTATCATCTATTATAATTGTTTCATTGTAGGCAAAGGTGTTGATAAGTTCTCAATTGCTTCTTGATGGTTACAAACAAGTTGGCCAACCAGTTTACAAGACGAAATATCATATTACTACCTTTAAAAAAGAAGCAATAATCGAAGATGAAAGTAAAAAGGGGACTTTACGACGACAATCATTGAGAAACAGAAATAGAAAATGAATCAATGTTACATGGTCGTCATTGAAGACTAAATGTATTAAGAATTATCTTAAACAACATGCTTTTTCAGTTGAATATTTGTTTTCTTGTTATAGTACAGTTATTTTATTATGAAAGGTTCTGAACATTTCTTTCCGAGACAACATTTACTTGTGACGAATAAGATCGACTTCATCCTCGTTCACTTGTATAGCGTCGTTTTGTTGCATTATAGGAGGCTTTATTTTTTTCGACATTTTTTTAATATGGCTAACCAACAATAGTTTTGAATTGCCAAGTTTCTGAGTGAAATATTTAAATGAGACTTATTGGGGTGGCAAAATAAAGTACATCTCCCAGATCTCTCCTGCAAAAGCTCAATCAAAATTGAAGATTTAAGGTCTGAACTGCCAAGCCAAATTTCGTAAAGTCGTTACTACAAATCAGTTTTAGAAATATATTGGTTAACATCTTCTGTAATAAGTACTGTGCTATCTTCGTCATTTTACAAATCAGAAAAAATTTCAGAATTGGCACAGATATACAAACTACATGTCATTGCAATTCCAAGCGTTCATTTTGAAGTCCAATCTTAATTTTGAATTTATTCTCGTTGTAGGTAGAAAATGATAAACTAAAAAGAGCATGTCCAGTGTGTCATCAAGTTATGCATAGAAATTCTGTCAGTAGGCATATAAGGGAGAAACATTACAATATCAAAAGATTATCTACCATTAACAGACATTGACTGTTCTTTATCAAATGAAACGACTGATTCATCTCGAGTTGGTAATTGAAAATTTTGTAATGTAATGAGTTTTTTTTAAGGTGAACTTTCTATATGGAGCAAGAACTGCAAGATGTTGACTTCACATGTATTAAATTTAAGCAAAGTTTTAATTGGTTGAATCTGTGAACATGCCCTTGTTATATTTGTAATTAGATAGAAAAAGGATGAAGTGACACTGCACTAAATATATCAAATATTTCGAGCCTTTTTCGATAACCTTTTTTGTGGACCAAATCACTGAAAATACGCTCGCAACTGCAAAAGCGGTCCCGATAGGTTATTCTGTGTTCTTCAAGGCAGAATTGACAAATAAAATAAGTTGCTTTGTACACCGAATATTCATGTGTATTATGATTGAACAACAGAATACTTTTAACCCTATAAAATAATTAAATAATTCTTGTAACCCTACAATATAATTCTTGTAACTCTAAAAATTAATTCTTGAAACCCTACAAAAGAATACTTGTAACCCTACAAGATAATTCTTGAAGCCTTACAAAAGAAATCTTGAAACCCTACAAAATAACTCTTGTAACCCTACAAAATAATTCTTGTAACCCTACAAAATAATTCTTGAAACCCTACAAAATAACTCTTGTAACCCTACAAAATAATTCTTGAAGCCTTACAAAAGAACCCTTGTCACCCTACAAGACAATTCTTGTAACCCTACAAGACAGATACGTCTTATAACCCTACAAGATAATTCTTGTTTCTTGTAACCCTACAAAAAATACTTGTAACACTACAAAAGAATACTTGTTTGTTAGCTATTTTTTGTCAATCAATTAACTTTTTGTTAGTATTTTGTTAATGGTTTTCATGCTGTGAATTAAAATTGTTCATTGTAACGAATAAATGGTGTACTATACTATATCTTTAATGAAATTTCTATTTGAAATGACTATAGTGTATATTGTAAACTGAATTAAGTTTAAAATAGCGATGTGTGCCAATTGACTGGATATCATTGAAATACGTATGGAAAATCTTCGTAATAAAGAGTTTGAAATAAAGGAAAGGTAAATGGAAAATCCGACTTTTTTTTTTAAAGCTATAGCCTATTGAAGGATCATAAAAAATGTATTACTCCCCCCTCTACTGTCTTTAGTGGAATAATCAAAATTAAATTGAATTGAATTGGCAATATTAGCATGACTTCAACGTTTATGTAGTTAAATACTGAAAGACCAGAAAGAATTTATTTGCAAGTTCTTTTTTTATTTGCCGGTACTCCCCTCCTATCTGTTAAAAGCTTCCTTTAGTGCATCATCTGTTCCAGACAATGACAATTAACACCGCTATGCACACTATAGGTTTGAAAAACAGGAAGTTACCCTGGTTTAAAACAAGAGCGTCATTTCTCCTTATGTTGTCTATTGTGTCCGACCTTGAACCTCAAACGACGACCTAGCAATTTGACCGTCATGCAAGATGATACAAAAATGCATTCGTTATGCAGCAACGTTTGTAACATTAAAGTTATTGAGGTAGGAGAGTGTTGTATTCAATTGTTCACTTTTTCAATTTTTTTCGTATAATTTTTATTTCAAACTAAAAATCTCGCTCTTCTCTAAACGTATATACGAAGTATCACCAATTCTGATTTGGAATTCTGTTTGTTTTTTGTAGGTCCAAAGTGCCAAAAGTAAAGGAAATTGTCCGATATGCGGTCAACAAATGCATGCAAGATCAGTTAAACGGCATATCAGAGAACAACATTTGAAAATTAACAGATATGCAAGGTTTAATCAAGATATTGATATCCAAGATTCTTATAAAGAAACAATGAATCAAGATATTAATATTGCTGGTGCTCATGTCAAAGAAGAACAAATAAGTCAAGATAGTAACATAACATTCATGTAGTCGTTTTTGCCAGAGAAAAATATAAATCAAAATATTATTATATTATAAATGTTATTACAGAAAACATTAACAAAAGTTTTCAAGATATTTATGACGAATGAAGATAGTAATAAAACAGATGCTTATATCAAAATGAAACATAAATAAGAGTTTTGTGTAATAAATGTAATGTAGAACAGTCTGTGTAAATGATATTTTTAACGAACTTTTCCTCGAAGTTAATTATCCCTGTTAGGCAGAAGGAAACGTTCATGGAGTATTGTGTTATATTGTAAATATGAGTTATGTAACGTGTTGAGATTTTAAAATTTATTCATCGTATACTTCGTTATTGAGGTACATGTATATTGGATAATGGATTATGTAGAAACAAAATTTGATCTGATCACAGAAAACGTTAGTTGTATATCGCTCTCTAGCTAGGGCTGATTATCCAGGTTTTAATGGCATAGAGTTAGAACAACTTTTCTGAAAATATAACGTGAAGGTGGAAGAAGATAAACTCTTTTCGGCATTTTCTTGTCTTGTTTGTGTTAAAGTGTATCCATTTTGTGCTACCCCTCAACTGTTTCTGTTTCTAAAACAAGCCACAAAGTGCCAAAATTTACACATAATATGTGTATTCAATGGCTGTGACTGTTTTATGATTCGGTCAAGTTCCATGCATAGCACTCGATAGATAAATCGTTTTCTGTCACCTGGAGAATGAAGTGAAGTAATGCCTTTGTTGCATAACTACGTAATCAGTAGCAGCTTACATTCGTATGCATTATTTTCTGATGCGTCTTGTGCGTCGCTTTACTTCCTTTCTGGTCCGGCCTCAAAACATGAAACACAGATAGCTTTATTAACTGCATTTCAATTTTTTAATTGTAGGTACCCAATGTCAAAAGACAAAGAAATTGTCCAGTCTGTGGCCTTTTAATGCATGAAAAGTCAGTTACAAGACATTTAAGAAAGATACATGCAAACAGAAAAGAACCTTTAAGATTGGATACACATTTTGACCCATTTTGAATTTTATACTTTTACCATTTATCTTTTAACTCTAATAAAATTTTATTTAATATACGATAACCAGTTATTTTTTTATTATTGAAATTAGTAATGATGGTCTTTAATTTACTTTGCGTTGATAACAATTCAAATATATGCACATTTTTGTCATTAATAAATGTATGTACAGAGGGTACTTTTAGGCCAAAAGCGTTTGTGGAGAATTTATCCAGTGGAATCGTGTTTGTTTTCTATGTGAAGCTACAAAACATAATATACTAGTAAATAAAGCCATTCCAGAAAAGCGTTCAGATGGGACAATAAACCGAGTGCTACAGGCTGTACACCTGAAATATCCCTCGACGGTTTCAAATCGAAAAAAAGCAGGCAAATGCCACTGTCCTGGCAAAATTTCCCTCATTGCACCCTGCATGGCTAAGTTCGTCTTCATTCACCTACATGGTTTCATTTTCAGAAAAGAGTTTATGTCTAGTGCTTAGCTCATGAGGACTGTGTCGGACCCCATACGTGTGCTTTTACTCAACATGAATCGTCAAAAGCACACAGACTCAAGTACCATCAAACCGATTCTATGCCTTTTCCATATCAAACCCTCACTTGCAGCTATCACAATGGAAACTTAGTATTGTCTAGCCCAGTGCTTCTCGACAGGGGAGGAAGTGGAAGAGCATAGTTAGGGGTTATTATCAAGAGGGTAAATGGGGAGGAATCTACTGCTGCCATTTCCAACCATATATTTGGTGGAGTGTGTGTTCGTGTCAAAATGACTGATTTATTCATTGATGATTTATCTTTCTGAGGTTGAGAAGCACTGGCCTAGCCAATTGTACAGGTTGATCACCCGACATCCGGTTAAGCAAGTGACCAGTTGATTGAAACAATTGTGGTGTTGAATGTTGAAAGCAAGTTTTGCTGAGATATTATCCCTCTTAAGGGTTTGAACCGATGACTCGAATAGTTTGTGCGTGGAATATGTTGTGAATACCAAAGATTCTTCTGTCTGTTATCAACATTTGTTGTCGATGAAATTTCGTTTTCACCAAACTTCATGTGTAAAAAAAATCTTAGAAGATTGATGATTCCTGTGGCCTTTCAAAAGCCGTATTTTTTCTATTGCTCTTGTTCTGTTCAAATAACAAAGTTCACCTCTTTCTTTACTGCAAAACAAATCAGCTTACGGCTATATACCTAGATCCACAGACGTGATATGCAAAATGTGATTCCATCACAATTTGGGCACATACACCCAATTGTTTGATATGTGACTGGATTATAACCAATGTTTTGGGATTACAAGTTTTTGAGAAATCTACAAATTTCTATGATATACGCCAACATTAAACGGATTTTTTTATGTCTTGCAGGGAGATTATTGGAAAAAAGGAAATTATCCAGTTTGTTTTATGTCTATGCAAAAAAATTCTGTATCAAGACATGTAAAAGAGAAACATCTTCAAGTTAAATACCCATGTGATGTCTGTGATTACAAATCTAGCAAGAAATATAACTTAAAAATACACAAGTTGAAATACCATAGTAGATAGTAAAAACTCTAAGGTAATCATTGCCTTTTCCGGCACCAAATAATTGTCAAAATAATTGATAATATAGCTTAATATACCACCGATTTACGAAAACGTTTGCTTTGCATTATACTGTAGAGAAAGTAGAAGTATTACCGATAATAACCCAATATAGTAATTGAAGCCAAGCTTAAACTTCAAAGATTCCACCAGACAATGTTTTCGGACAGCAATGAACACTGATACATTGTGGAATTTCTATTCCGGCAGATGCTCTCCACCCACACATAAAATGTTGATGATACATGTATATAAGTTCATTGCATTTAAATGGAAGTGTTTACCTTTCAGCGGCGCTTCTTGCCTGTATCAATGACCAGAGAAACGGGTTGAAATATCTCCAAAAGTACTATTACGACATATGTTTGGATCGAACTACCATCTAAAATCTAAATCATTTAAAATGCCATAGTTTCCTACGATTTGAAGTTAATCCGAAATTCCAACTTTTATTTCTTTTATTGATTTTGTTTCATATTTTACTTGCAGGATTCTGATTTGGAACCAAATAAAAAACGATGTCCAACATGTAAAGCCGTCATGCATAAACGATCGATCCACCGACATATACGAGAAAAGCATCTTCAAATAAAATATAATTGTAGTGTTTGTGGACAGCAGTTTAGTCAAAAATACAATTTAACTCTTCACATACAAAAACACCACTCCAGCTGGGTTCCTTAGTTAAAACAAAATCACCAATACGTGGTTGAAATAACCGAAATAAATGTGATTTTTACTGAAGGGCACTTACACGACTACACTCGGTTGAATGTGTTAAGACATCAAGACTCGATTGAATTGGTTGTAAATGAATGTGTTAAAACATCAGTACTTGGTTGAATTGGATGATATGATGTATTTTTACTTAGACACATATAAGAGATCAATTCTTGGTTGAATTGGTTAACTTAAATGGACATTTACAAAACATTAATACTCGATTGAATTGGTTGAAATGAATGTATTAAGACATCAATACTTGATTGAATTTGTTAAAATAAATGTATTGAGACATCAATACTTGATTGAATTGGTTAAAATAAATGTATTGAGACATCAATACTTGATTGAATTGGTTGAAATGAATGTATTAAGACATCAATACTTGATTGAATTGGTTAAAATAAATGTATTGAGACATCAATACTTGATTGAATTGGTTAAAATAAATGTATTGAGACATCAATACTTGATTGAATTGGTTAAAATAAATGTATTAAGACATCAATACTTGATTAAATTGGTTAAAATAAATGTATTAAGACATCAATACTTGATGGTTGAATTGGTTAAAATAAATGTATTAAGACATCAATACTTGATTGAATTGGTTAAAATAAATGTATTAAGACATCAATACTTGATTGAATTGGTTAAAATAAATGTGTTAAGACATCAATACTTGGTTGAATTGGTTGAAATGACCGTTGTTCGCGCCTATGCACATAGAGCTATCACAGTTTGAATCTCAACAGACAGCTATCCCTCCATTACGTCAGTCTGCCCACTATTTTAATCTCCAGTCTTGGGAGGCTTTCTGGTTTTCTGGTTAAGATAATTATATTATGTATATACAGGGAGTATTGAATGAGAATTTTAAGTAACTGGTAGATGTCGACATCTTGATGTAGATCGTAGCTCGAGGGAACATGCTTTTACTCTTCTCTTTATTTGTTATAAAATCATACATTTGCCCTGACATTTCCGATTATTTCGTTTTAGGTGCAGAATTTCATGGAATGTACATATTGTGGAAAGTTAATATCTAAAACCAACTTACAACGCCATATTAAAGCAAAACATCTTGGAGTTCGTTTCCCGTGTCCAGATTGCGGCAAAGAGTTCAGTTTTAAAGGAAATTTAAAGACACATTTGATTTCCTGTCCTGCCTTAAACGACAGAAAATAGCCCATAAAGCCGTTTAAACCACACTCACTGGCTATAAGTAAATTGGAAAAGCAATTGGCTAATGAAAAAAAGCCTTACAGTGAACATTAGACCAAGACATTTTCTGGTGTTCTCTGGTTGGGAACCATGAACGTTGGCGGTTGGAGACGGGTACTAGACTCAGTAGCAGTATTCTTAGTCGTGATATTCTTAGTTGATTGGCACGATTTTTCAATAAAATAACATCAACACTAAGACTTTTATAACTAGCAGTACACTTATGGTTGTAGCTTGGAGGTTGTATCCATGAAGTTTGATGTATGTTAATAAAAGTGGTTAATACTTGAATTATAATTTAACTGTGTTGTACATAACATTTACCTTAAGTTCTAAACTTTTGTTGTCCAGAAAATTAGTATATTATTAATTATGCATTTCTTATGTCATTTAATTAGGCTGGAAGAAAATTCTTGAATATCAATATTATGTTTTGATTTGTGTTGCCAGCCCACTTTTGTATGGTCAGCTTGTATTTGACACTATTGGGTGACTATTCCAAGAACATGGTGTAACGGAGAACGTAGCAGTAACTCAACCAGATGAGTTGGGGGCCCGTGGACACAATAATGTTTTTTTTAACATATTCTCCCCTGCATTCTGAGATCACAGTGCCTATTTAATACCAAGATTTTCAGACAGTAGTGCTATTTCACTCATTTATATATTTTCATAAATTCATATTCTGAATGGTGGTAGGGACCGATGGACGTGCATTAACCAGCCCCTATGGTAGTTGAGCCACTGGGAACAGTATAGCACATTTAATCATACTTTGAACGGGTTTGCGTTTTACTTGTATGTTTTAATATAGCGTTTCTCTGATGAGAGTTCGATTTCCTAAACTTTTATCTTGTGAGAATAAATTACAATAGAGTTGTGAACAGCACGCACTGAGCGTGGCCCGCGACATTTTGCTCCCAGCTTTAGGAACCTTTTGTACTCTCAGTCGGCATATGATTAAACATATAATGTGTATCTTATTTTGTATTGCAGACTTTGGATTTTGATGAAGATGGAAAAGTTAGTTGTCCGTTATGCGGTGTGAAATATCAACATAAACGAAGCTTGAGACTACACATGAAATCAACACATCTCCAAATTCGTTTCAACTGTCCACTTTGTGGCACCACTTTCACAAGAAAGTCAACGTTGAGTCGCCATTTGAAGAGTATACATTCTGATATCCATATTGAAAATTCAGCGACAAAACTTGAGATAGGAAAGGAATAGTCTTGGACGTTTTTCCTTTTCAATAATAGATTTGCGGTCCTATTCGCTTAAAAAGATTGTAGCACTCTCTTAATCTGATTGGTCAACCACTAAACTTTATTTTAAATTTAGTTCTATTAACCATTTACTGTACGGTATATCCTTAAATCTACATTTTTAACTAAAATAGGTTTTCGAGACTATCCCCCACTTCGATCAAAAGTATTACAAATTGTTCCTTTCAATAGTTGGACAAAATCTCCTTTCGCAATGCCTTCGTAGCGCAACACGAACTATTCCTTTATCCTAAATTATATTCTATTATGGATAAACATAGACTGTCCTAATGGTGTTGCGTCCCTTTAATCTTCAGATTCAATAACAAGTCTTGTTGTTCTGGTCCTATACTGATAGAGACTGACTTTGCTGGCAGTGACAATGAGGAGTATGTCACCAGAACAGCCGCACTTGCTTTCGAGCCCCCCATGCACAATCCGTAGCGAACGGCTTGGTTCTAGGTTCACCTTTACATCGATTAGATTATTGTTCATGCTTTACCCTCCAACCTACAAACTGGCAAAGAGAAAGCAGGGGTTCAAATCATAGGATACTGGTTCGACGCAATTTCCTTGGGCAACGAACGGACTCGCTGGACAACCCCGGCTCAATACGACAATAACTGGGGTTGCCATCTACACAATCTTTTCTATTTATTAACATGGAAACACAATTAATGTTCATTTTATCTTATTTTCATTAAAAGATTGCTTAAAATTATTAATCAATATATCGTTTTTTATTTATGGGATTGTCGTGTGCAGGTGGAGGCATGCTGCATACGTCGCACAAATTTGTCCAACAACTAAGTGCTGTATTGAATGAATAAGACACATCTTTCCAGTGGGATTAACTCGCCCACTCGTTTTCCATTCCCAACTGTCTGAGAACTTTAACGTGACTAGCTTATAGACACTTTCTTTGAAAAAACATTCGATCTACCAGCCAACGCCATTAATTAGTTACGACTATGTCCATGTGTTGAATTACTAATTGTTTTAAAACCGATCGAACACCAACTAAATTTCATTAGAATGTTTTGAAACAGTCATAGATCACATTGCCTAATGAATATTGATGATCAAATTTATTTCATTGTCTTGGGTGGAAATAAAATTTACATTTCAGAATTCGATATTCTCTTGGTTTGCCTACGTCTAGACCCAAACCGTATTCAATATCTAGGTAGTAAATCACCAATTTTAAATCCAAACTTGTACAAAACATTTCCGACCTGGTATTATCTGCTGTCAAATATAAAGACCAGCCCTCTGTTCAGTTTACTAAACATTACGGAGCTTTCTGTTGTTTTCCACTAAACAAATCGTGTATTAAGCGCGGAGGGAAATAAGGTTGGAATTGTTCTGATTGGACATGAGGCGTCCAGTGAGCGAAACTTTTCCCAATTTCAGTTTGTAGCACGTTATAGTTCCCTCTGCAGACAGAGGAACATGCACAAGAACGATCATAACCCTGGTCCCGGCTGAATGTTTTTTAACTGCTGTCCGAGATCATCTCGATAAGCACTGCAAAACTTGCTAGTTTGGTTTGATCTTCCACTATTCGTACAAACAACCCAAATTTGATTCTATGAAGGAACTCACCTTGAAATCAAACTACGAAAAGGGAAAAAAAATATTCAAAAAACACAATTTATAAATTGTTTCAATGTATGTTTGTAGTTATACAGTTCATCTTCTAAGAAAGAAGAGAAAAACCTGGTAAGCAACCTCGACAGTCGTCCCCAATTGAATTAGTCTGCCTCTTAATTGTTGTCTAAACCCTGGGAGGCTGGCGCCGCCTCTGATGGTAAGGTGGGTGTAAAGTGGATAAACAGTGAATAACGAATATTTAACCACTCCCTAACAAATATGCGTGCGTTTTTCATTTTTTTCAATTTCCACCTGCTTAAACCATAAGATTGTAGGAAGGGGAAGTTCTTGTGTTTCTTTAACAGTCGACATCCCTCCCATTGGTTTGGTAAAAAATATTGAAGCCTTTAGAACTTTAATACGATTGAGAAATGCATATATTTGCGTCTGGTAGTGGTATTCTGACGTCATAAAATTCGGTATTTTCGACGATAGACTAGATTTTTATCCTTTTCAAGAATGTTTTCCAGATCTCTGAAGATGTCAGAAAGACATATCAAGTACATCTACTCGGAAGAATTCGTATACTAGAAAAACTAATCCCAAAGGCGTAGTATAAGTGAGCTATTTTGTAAATTTAATGAGCTTGTAAGTCGCGGTCAAACGGTAGTCATTAATGTGAACAATATCTAATGACGGTTTATAACGTCTTGTCCACCTGACAAGAGTATTATTTCAAGAGATGTCAATTTGTTTTTAAAACAACCTACACCTGAGTCAGCAGCGACTGCTTCGGGCAATTAAAGATAGCAGTGTTATTTACAACATCCCTTTAGCTCTTGTTAGCGTTGAGAAGGACTGGTATGAAATGCGTCTCGTCGATCGAATGGGACCATATGGGATGGGAGATCCGGTAGGTTACAAACTGTGCGCATTTAAGATCCGTTAGAAGTTGGAAACAGAAAAACAAAGGCTAATGACATTGTCATGGCTAAATGGCAGTAAGTGACCCCAAGGATACGAAAATGTGTGATTAATAGACTTCTTGGTCTCAGGTGTCAGAACACTATCATTATTTTCTTTTATTGTCTTTAGTGATCAAATATACCACACAAATACAAACTCCTCTCGAGCTAATGTGACAAATGTAAGACAACTGGTCAGTTTTTACCTTTCAATAAATAACAAACGGATCTCGTGTAGATGGTCGAGAAACATCTGAAACTCACTTGAAATTTCACGCTTAGCTACAATATGTTGTTCATATCATTTGGCAATGTGTTGCACTTGGATGGGTATGGACTGATCAAACTCAATGACATGATCGCCGAACTAATGTTCGATGATCGATGTGTAGTGTAACAATAACAAAAGATGATCACGATGACTTTCACGATTTGGATCAAGATTTATCACGGTTCAATGACGAAGGAACCCCGTTGGATATACATACAGATCAACCATGGACATTATTGCATCCTGAATTTCTTTACAGAGCAGGGGATTTTTCTCCTTCACGGTCGATCCAGATTTTCAAAAGATCTTTTCAAAGATTATCTGCATTAATTGTCATTTTAAAATCAGTCACACATGATTCACTGAGATTTTTCTTCAAAAAATTATGACATTCAATCACCTAGGTGAATCACGCAGGAAGAGACAAACAATCCAAATCTCAATCCAATAGACCGCATACAATTTGATTAAATAATTATTTTCTTTCTTAATGAACAAGTTACAAAGCTAGTAAAAATAGCAAAACAGTGAGTACGAATACCATATTATTTTAAGATGCTCACATGAAATGAGGGGCGTATATTGGCGAGTAGTAGTACTAGGGCTTGCAGATTGGACGCACTTCATGGGGATATCAAGGGCAAAATGCATCCAATCTATAAGCCCCCCAAAATAGACCTATACATCCTACATTCCATCGATTCACACCCAAAAAAAGACATATACACCCTACATTTCATAATTAAATTAATTCATTTAAAAATAGGATGACTTTAATTTTTTAAAACACGAACAAGCATAACACATATGAATTTGTTTAATCTGTTAAAATGAACTAATAATGGATCCATAGTTGTTGTATATGAATAAATCCACGCAAGGAAGTAAATAGTAATATATAGGTCTGTCCCAACATCTTGAACTATCAAAAAAAAAATAATAATCAGAATCCTATAATCCCTCTTCACTTAGATTAGAATAATTAACTAAAAGAGCATATTAAAAATACCCTTATACAAAATAATTTCCTTGATTTGCTTAACATCCGGTTTTTGTATAGCTTCGTTTTTTATAGCCTCGTTTTTAACAATGTTATTTATGGGTTCTTTTTTTTAATCTTCTGTAAGAAAGATAACTCTTGTTTTGGAAAACAGACCACAATTTCTTCGTTAAATTAACTCATTTGAAAAAAGGATGAGTTTAATTTTAAAACACGAACAACACAAATTCGAAGATTATTCAGGCGATGGTATCTTTACATCAATATTTTCTCTAGGTTCAAGAATAATTCCAAAAGTAGCTAGCTTTGTTTCAAACAACAAATAAGCTATAGGATCTGTCGCGGAAGTGAAAAAGTCTGACGAGTTCGAAGAATTACAACTAATAAGAGAACTGCGAAATAGGAGATTAGAAGAAAGGAAATGAAATGTTTTAAAGTTACAGGATAAAAATGATAGTCGCACACACTCCAAAAACCTATTTTGGTTTAGATATACAAAAGTCATTGGGCTTTCTTCCTGGTTTTCCATGGGCAAAGTATCCTGGAGAAAAACATCTTCCGGGTCACAAGTACACTGGCCCAGGTACTAGGTTAGATCTACGCTTAGACGAAAACGGGTGAAGAACCAGTCAATAGTGTTGACGCTGCTGCACTTAAACAAGACATACTATACAGAAATAAAGACATAAAGTTCAGACACGAAGCAGACAAACAAATGATAATCGAACTTGAAAATATTCCAAATCCATCTTTCAAGGAAAGAATGCAAAGGGCTCTGATTATAAAACTGTTAAAAGCAAAGACGAAATTCGATATGGGATTAGCAGATGCAATTCATAAAGAATTCAGAAAAACTAAAAACTTTTTAAAAGTTAAAGTATTTGAAAAAGATGAAATATGGTCAGCGGATTTAATTAATATGCCAATTAATATGACTTTTAAAAATGAATAGCTTTCTCGATAAATATGGAACTGATACAACCACAAACTTTCAACTTATGAGATTGGCGAATGAGTTAAATATATCACCGTTTTATTATTGTATGAGAGATGAAATAAATGATCTCAAGGATAAGAAAGGTAAATTTTATGCATACTTCCGATCAAAAAGGAGTTTATCATTCTGCTTTGTACAAAGACTCTTCAAATAACTTATATTTTTTTTTCTTTTGGATTAGAACCAACTGAATAAACCAATTCAATTACCAGGACAAAAGTTTTCTGGACAGCTTTCACTGAAGAAATTATAATAAATTTAACTTAAGAAAAATGGCGCACAAATTTGGTTTAGGTTCATTATCTTTAGAAACTAAAAAACCTAATACTACAGCATGGATAAATAAAGCAAAACCTTACTTTGTGGATCAAATCGGAGACACTCTTCAAGGTGATTTAGATATGAACAATTTCAAAGTAACTAATTTAAAATCCCCGGAAAATGATAATGACGCTGTTCACAAGAAATATTTACGGGATCAGATAAATTCAATTGAAGTAAACAAAAACCATTTAAAAGATAAAATAAGTAATGTGAAAAGATTCTCCAAACGTCAACTAAATAATAAAAATTTTATTATTGATACTAAACAACAACAAGAGGTAGCAGGTTTAATAACTCTTCAACTGATTTATTTACCTCAATCGATATTCATAAAAATCATCAAGAAAAGCAATTTATAATATTTTCATCAATAATTGAACGTAATGTTAGAACAAAAGTTGGAGGTATATATACATGTGGTTGTATAAGAATCAATATTGAAAAACCAATTTTTTCAGTTCATCTAAATAAGATTAATGATTTAAAAGAACAAATATCGTTAGTAACTGTAGAAGTTTTTATTATTAAACCTGAAATAATTATAACAGATAATGAAAAAATACTGCCTGGTGGACATCTTTCTGAGCATCCTATTGTAGAAACAATTTCAAACTTTTGCTTTATCAGAAGTTCACTTAATTTAATTACCTAAAAATGGAACTAGAAAGCATTTTAGAAAAACAAAATGAACTGAAAGAAAAACTAAAGCACTTCAACTAATGCAGAAAAACATGGAGTAGAATTGATTCTGTTTTCAAAACATTAAGCACAATTCTAACAGTAGGAGTAACAGTGGCAACAGCTGTAACTGGTGGTTTAATGCTTCCAATGATTGTCCCAACTGTATTAGCTGCGTTTTAAATTCAATCTTGTGGATTGATTACTTTAGGTTTCACATCAAAACAGAAATCTCATTATAAAAAGAAAACAGAAATTTTAAATACATATCATAATAAATTATTTATCTTTTTCGAAAGATCAATGAAATTTTAGATAAATTTGATGTAGAAAAATCACCAATAAAAGCGAAACATTCCTAGTTAAAAAAAGATACTTAAAAATATGAATATCATTGAAATTTTAGACGATGAAACATTCATATCAAATGTGCTTTTTTCCAATGTTATTATGGCTGTTCGTGATAAATTTTCAACATTTAAAGGACAAATTGAATTAGATGGAGAGATAATTCAAGATGGAGAACACAAACAAAACATGGAATTTGTAGGCTTTAATGCCACTACTTTTCACAATTTCTTCGAAACATTGGATGTAAAATCAGATGCTTCTGATTGGTATTTCACAGGAAATATCATTTTACGTAAAAACGATTTCAAAGAAATAAAAAGATCAAAAAAGGGTAGTGGTACCACCCTACTCAAAAAGATAAATGAATATGCTGGTAAAAATTGTTACATACCAAGCGATGGGCACTGCTTTATAAAGTGCGTAAATCGTGTTTTGAACAAAGACTACAAAAAAGAATCTCAAGATTTCATCAACAGTTTTCAAAAATCAAATAAAAAAGGAGTTATAGCAACTGCTAGAATCAGTGAATTCAAAAAGAAATTTAATACTTTTTTCAAATCTATATGCCCAAAAATAGACATTTTCAACCAAAGATAGTATCCGAGGAATTAGATTGGGTATTTTACTTACATAAACCACATTTCTGTCTCATAAGAAGAAATTACAAAACCTTAGGCATTAAAGAAATAAAAGATAATTACGACGAAAATGTATGGAGAACTTGTAGAGATGATGACACAATCTAAAACTAAATGTTTTTCCAACAATTCATGATGGTTGTTTATACGCATGGGATTGCGAAACTTATAGCGAAAAAGAAACGAATAAAGCAATGCCTTATTCTTGCACGTTAATTAATTTAGAAAAACATAACTTTCCAGATTTAAATCCCACTGATAGTGTTCCAGAAGAATTTTATAATAAATTGATGAATATAGTAGAAATATTTGTGGGTAAAGATTGCATTGATCAAATGTTGCAACGTTTAGGAAAAGACCAAAAAGATTAACATTAATTTCTCACAACGGTAGCGGTTTTGATAACTGGATTGTTCTTAAAAATGCAAAAAAACTAACACAAGTCCACTATTTGATCCAATCCAACTACCAACTACTACGACTACCTAGTTTGCGATATCAGCATCCGCTGGAAGCTAACGTTAACTTGTCATCTACCTACCTACATCTTGGAGCTTGTTTGATAAAATATAACAAAGTTATGAAAGAAGTTGTATTCCAGAATATTTCCAATAAACTAACGGCTCCTTCTTTATCTTTAAAGGGTTTGATATTTTATCAGACAATCCATTAAAGGTGGAAGAGTTTCTGCTAACAGAAAATCATTTACAACAGATAAAATGGATGAAATTTGTGATGTATTAAAGGAATACACAGAACTCGAGAGTAGTAATATAATTGATTTATTTAAAGAATATAGTAAAAGAAATAAAGATAAAACGGAAGTTAATTCAAAACTTAAAAAAATGAAATGTACTAAACTAATGGCGTTCGATGCTAACGGTTTGTATGCTTCCGCCATGTCAGATTTAGACAGCGAATATCCTAAAGCGGAAAGTGATAGACCGTTTCTACCAGAAGAGAATAAAGAATTTGTTAAGCTCTTTAATGAGCAGAAATTCAGACCTAGAACAGTTATTTTAAAAGTCTGATTTGAATATCCTACTAACATGTTCTTCCAACCCATACCAGCATAAATAAAATTACTTTTACGAACAAAGGTAATAAGGAAACTGGCACTAAAATCAGATTTAGAAATGGTTTCTGATCATATGTTTTAACATCGGTTGATATTCAAGAAATAGCTAAAGCTGGTGGACGAAGTATAAGAATATTAGATGGTATAGTATATGAAGAAAATTTTAAAACTCCACCATATAGAGATTATATTTTAATTTTGAGAGATCTAAGAAATAAATATAAACGAGAAGGTAATCTTGTGGGTAGTAATTGCATGAAATTATTAGGTAATTCCTTGTATGGTAAATCTATTCAGAAGGATATAACTACATCGAGACATCTATGGAGTGAAACAACTTTAAAGGCCAACTTCGATTCACATGTCAAAAGCTATCCTAAAGTAAATGAGACTCAATATATCGTTGAGAAGAAAAAGAATGTGACTGTATACCTCCTAAATCTACACGACTAACGCCTGATTATTTGGGGTCATTCGTATTATCTCAGTAAAAAAATAATGAATAATTTTATTCATGTAATAGATGGATTTTATAAGCCGGAAATATACTATACAGATACTGATAATTTATACATTTCATCTAGTAATTGGGATAAATTAAATGAAGCTGGGTTGGTATCTGAAAATGATTATTGTAAAGGAAAGAATGATTACGGTGATGGTGGAATTATATATGGTTTATATTTAGCGCCAAAAGTCAAATATTATATCATTCTAACTTCTGGCGGTATTCTAAAAGACAAGAAAACGTTTAAGGGCTACTCTAATGATAAGATAAGTGTAGAAGATTATATTCAATTAGCTAGCGGACATGATTTGACGAATGAATTTAAGAAAAGATGGGAAAATAGTTTCACCAATGGAATAGTTATTCCAAAGGATGATGATAAACAAAAGAAAGTTTTAGAAGTTATCTAAATCTCGTTAAGAGAAAAGCACCGGACGATGAAGGAATTATGTATCCTTACAACGACGGAAAAGAATTGAACATGGATGACAACTATGAATTTGGTGATTTCGATACCTTACTATTCAAGGAGAGAATGAAGAGTTAGTTCTTTTGTTTTAAATGAAGTTGATTATAATTTCTTCGTTACCAAAATTCATAAACCTATTTTTACCATCTTTGATTTCCAGATTTATATCTTTAATCATATAGGAATTAAGTGGTAAATATGTTGTTTGAAATGGTTTCTCTATAATTCTATATCCAATCTGTACAGTGAATGTTGGAAAGCTGTAGATAATCTGACGTTTGTATGTTGAAAAATCCACCGTTTATCAAATTGCAGTGAATATTAATGACATCGATATCATTCTTGATATTAGGTTTGTGTGGTGCTAGTGTTGATTCCTTATATATGCCAAGTAAAGTCTTTAATAAATTTTCTACATTGAAATCAACTTGACTCTCATTTCTCAATATCCTTCGAATTCAATATTGTTTATACCATTAACACTTCCTCCATATTCAGAAAGGTAATCGTTAATGGCTACGTATTCATAGTTTCCTGATAGTTAACGTATGGTTTTGAATGTAACTCTATTATCTGTTGATATTTTTATTTGGTTATTATTTTCGTTGATATTTCTAGTGGAATTGTAAACAGAAATACTTTAATCCCAATTCATAAGAGTTCACACTCATAATCTAGAAACAATTTAATGTCTGTTTTATTTGAGGTGATAACGAATAGTTGTTCTATTTATAATCATTTTTATCTATACCTTTCTCTAGGAGTCTATTTAATATACAATTTACCTCATTATATTGTCTGTGTGATTGACCTTCTTTCATTGCCGCTAATATTATTTGTAATTTATTAAGTAGTTCCTCGTTGTTGTCGGATAAAACGTTATGCCTTGTCCAGATACCATATCTTCGAATTCGTCTATTTCTTGTGTGATTGAAATATTATCTGCTTCGTCAACTTCATCATAATCATCTGCTTCATCAACTTCATATTCATCAGCAATAACTTTTTTCATATATATATATAGATAAACTTCTTTCAATCTTCTTGTTTTATGTCCTGACTTTCTAATTGCATGTAGAAATTTTGAGTATGCTAAATATAAAGTCTTTTTTATGGATTTTGAATATAGGGTCATTTGGCTTAAATCTTATTCTAAAACCATTAAACATTAGTCCCACTTCATCAACGATTGGTCCAATCGCTATTCATTTTAAAAAAATACAATTAACATATGTCGATCATAACTCTTTCACCCGCAGGTTTTCTAGTATTAACAAATACATATCCATGATCATCTGGGTTTCTCTATTGTGTTTTACAAACCTTTTTAAATGTATCTCTGTCCATTCCGTGATTTATCGACTGAATGATTTTAGAAAAATCTTTGTCGTTTAATTTAAATAATAAAAAAACAATTTGTGTTTTTCCTAATAAACATTGCCTCCATTCCGTAGAAAGATTGGGATTGGTATATGCAGTGACAGTTGTGATGTCTTCCTTTCGTGAAAAATTCTTGTTAAACAGTTGTACGCAGTCGTCCAAGACTTTTAAGTTGTTTCGATTGCTATCAATATTAGAAAAGTCTAGATCATTAACATTTTTCGTAAGAAAAACTTTTATATCCGTTGGATTGAAAGATGGATTCTTTGCTTTAATGAAGTTCTCTGTGATATCTTTTATTTCCACTTCTTCTTCGTTGTCTTCATAATATTGAAATATGTCTTGAACATCTTTCGTTGGTAAATATTCTAAAGCTTTGAGAAATCGATAATATGATTGCTCTGGTGTTGTTGAGTAGATATACAGAGAATCGAAATCTAAAAGGTTTGATGTTGTCAACATGTCAAGTGAGATGTGTTTTCCCAGAACCTGAACTACCGCATTTACACAAAAACATTGGGTTACCAGGAAATATGTCTGAATGTTTGAATTTCTTTCCCATTTTTATTATTTCATTTTGTTCCAAAAATCACTCTTTCTCCTTTATACTTTGAAAGAAATAATCCTTCTCCAGTGTGTATGTTTAGAAATATTCCATTACCCTTATGTTTGACTCTCATTTCTCCTGTGTCGATTTTGTCTATGATATTGTTTAATCCTTGTTTAACAACTTTCTTGGTTTCTTCCCCAAATCGTTTTCCAAATTCTTTTACTGTTCCTGATATATTTGCCACTCCTGAACCTTTTTTTTATTTTTGCAGTAGCTGCTTCATGTGCTTCCTTTTCCATTTTTAAATTATGTCTACGTTCTTCAGCTGCTTTATCTTCGTTGGCAGTTTTTACTGCGGCAGCTGTACCACTAGTTATTGCACCCGCTGCGGTAAGACCAGCAAATATTTAAAGTAGAAAAGCTAAAAACCCACCTTCCTTTGCGTTCGCGTCAATTCTTTCTATTTTGTCTCTGACTTTACAATATTTATAAGTTTTTAAGTTATGTTGATTTTTTTACCATTGTAAGTTGGTGAAGCTGTTTCAATAGCTTTTATTATTTTCTTGACTAAAGTTTCTAGTTTCATTTTTAAGGGTGTATTTTTTACTCAATTCTTATCATTTTTCTCCTTGTGTTTTTTCAATATGAATATTTATATTTACTCCTGTTTTGAAAAGATCTTCTTGGTGAGCTGATAGATCAAAACAGAAGATTGGGTGATTAATTGCAAAATCTACATATTCAAACTGAGGTGGATTTTCAAATGCACACATATTGTTATAGTTTCTATACAATTCATTATAATCCTTTGTGGATGGATTAATTGTTAAAGGTTGGTTAGGATAATTATCGTTGTTTAATCGTACTTGAACCTTATGGATTATAGGATCTTGATTTTGGTTCATTATCACTCTGAAGACATTATTGTTATTCGTCTGAGAGTCTGGTAAGTTCTTGAAACCAACCATTAAATATCTTGTATTGGTTATTGGCCAAGTAGTGGATTCTCCAGTTTAAGTCATGCTACCAACCGTGTTACGACGAATAAAAGCTATTTCAATATTTAGTCAACATGTTGAATATTCTCGTTTCTACTTCAATTGATGGTGTTATTACGGGTATGTAAAGTTGGAGATTCGATATTTCTAATTTTGCATTGGAAGCATTCTCTTCAAAGAATATCTTATCATCATTGATTTCTCTTTGTAGATGAATTTTATATGGTAATCCTATGAAAACTTTTCTATTTTCCAACAGACCGAATAAAGGATATAACTTCCAATTTACGTAATTACCCCAACTATTATTATCAACCGGAATATTGTACTGAAGTACTCGTTTTTCGAATCCGTGATTAGCTGCTCGTCCTACTCTTTCTATTGTGTTTCGAGCAATAACTCTCATTCTAGCTTCATCTGCATCATTTGGAACATTTCTTACCGGTTCTTATAAAACACTTCCATCACCAACATCGGGTATCCAGCCTGAGACTGAATCGTAAATTTTGGGATATTGAACTGTTTTCAACTTTGTGTCAAATTCCCCGGATGTTTAATGGTTTCTATAGGATTTGAACCGGCTTCCAAAACTATCTCGCTAAATAAAGATGGAAAGAAATTGTTTTCTAACGTTGTATTAGTTAGTTTGTGGTACACAAATCGCATCTGAAATAAGCATCGGAAAGAAGCAACCAATTTGATAATGAATTTATTTCAAAGGTAATTCTACCACCATCATTCAATTGGGATTTAGAACGAACAGTCGGTGAGATAATAATATAATCCTCTTTTTCTTGTTAAATGAATAACGAATCGGATCGTATAATTTAAAGATTGGATTTGGTATGTAATTTTTATTTGCCATTTTTAAGATTATCTTTCTTACAGAAGTTTCTAAATTAAAAAAAGAACCCATAAAAAAAAACAGTTAAAAACGAGACTATAAAAACGAGGCTATAAAAAAACCGGATGTTAAGCAAATCAAGGAAGTTATTTTGTATAAGGGTATTTTTAATATGCTCTTTTCGTTAATTATTTTAATGTAAGTGAAGAGGAATTATAGGATTCTGATTAATTTTTTTTTTGATAGTTCAAGATGTTGGGACAGAAGGATGTGTTTTTTTTTTAAATTAGTGTGTATTTGCGATGATTTTACGAGTGTTTTTTGTGTTATGACTTATATATTACTATTTACTTCCTTGTGTGGATTTATTCATATACAACAACTATGGAATCAATTTGAGTTAATTTTAACAGATTAAACAAATTCATATGTTATTCATATTATGCTTGTTTGTGTTTTAAAAAATTAAAGTCATCTTATTTTTAAATTATTTTACGAGTGTTTTTGTGTTATGACCTATATATTACTATTTACTTCCTTGTGTGGATTTATTCATATACAACAACTATGGATCCATTATTAGTTCATTTTAACAGATTAAACAAATTCATATGTGTTATGCTTGTTCGTGTTTTAGAAAATTAAAGTCATCCTATTTTTAAATGAATTAATTTAATGATGAAAATGAAGGGTATATAGGTCTTTTTTGGGTGTGAGTCGATGGAATGTAGAGTGTATAGGTCTTTTTTGGGGGGGGCTTATAGATTGGATGCATTTTCCCCATGGAACGAAACGGAATGGGCGAAAGTGCATCCAATCTGCGAGCCCTGGTACTACTTTGGCGTCACCCATGTCCGCCCGTCAACAATTGTTGGTAAACACTCCTGAAGGCACACTGCTTGAAGTTTGAAGAAACTTGGTGTGAGTGTTTGTAATCACCCAAAGGTAATCCAAACAAAATCGAAAATAATTAGTACGAGTTATTTCCCCTGTTCTTGAAAACATGCACAATTTTTACGTTTACGTTGTCACCACTGCAGATGGCACAATTCTCGATGGATATTGACGAGACTTGGTGAAAAACATTTTATACGAGTTATTGACCTCGTTCTTGAAAAATATTTTAATATTTTAGCTCGTAAACAAAATTTGATAATACTGTCCAGTAT